CCTTCCCAAGCTTGTAATGGAAGACAATTTCGAGACGAGCACGGTTTTTCGCAGCTCAGGAATGAAATAGTTGAAATAACTCGACCGTGTCCTTTATCGAGGGAAAAAATCAGCCGTTTTCCTCGCTCATCGAGCAGATCCAATCTTCTTCGCCGCTCTTCAACAGCTTTCAACACAGCTTCCAATCTTACTCCTTCATTGAGAACTATTTCATATCTGACAAACTGGTCCAGAGTCTTCTTGGCCTTTTCGATAGTTCGTTGTGAGCCAATGGTTACTCCTTGGTTTGATTGAAGAAAATGGTTTACAGATAATAGTCCTTTATTTGATAGATTGGCACTTTTTTTCATACCGAGTAGAGCTTCTGGAGTTGGAGGAGTCGGTGATTTGGTTTGAATATGTGAGGTTGAAGCAACAGAATCATCATCGTTTTGCTTTGCTTTTGCCACATAGACGGCGTTTTGACGATTTTGCTCGGCTCTTTTCTTTTCATTATCTTTCAGAATCCTTGCCTCTAGTGCTCCTTTCAAATGTGCTTTCCGGTCGAATTCTTTTTCTTTTTGTTGATTGTCTGCGGATCGTGATGAGCTTTCTTCTTTTGATTGCACAGGATTTGCAGGCACTTTCCCACTTCGTAATCCGTGCATGTTGTTTTGATTCGTTTGGCGTCCATGTTCCAAGTTGCCACTTCTAGACTTTTTGGCTTCTGATGTTCGTCCCATCTGCAAATTATAACTTTTGTTTTGAAAGTGTAGGAAATACGAATGTATGTAATAAGAAAAATAATAATAATAAGCTAATAATCAAAAAATAAATAATCGGGAAGCAAAATTGTCTGTAACTAAATGATTTTCTCCTGCGATTGACATTTATAACTTTATCATCTGTCATGCCTTTGGCATAGTAATTTATCGAGTAATTGTCCTACTATGCCTTTGGCATAGTAATTTATCGAGTAATTGTCAAGGCTGTATTTGGCTGTGCACCTGGGTTGCCTACCCGAAATTGACAAATACTCTCAATTTCAACTTTCCTGGAATTGTAACTCTTTCTTCAAAAAAAATTGCGTTTTTCACTTTTTTTAGAATAAATTTTTTCTAGACTATACCAGATCTGCAAGTACCGCAGAACCAGAAAAAACTGCATTCCAGATTATAAAATCGGACAAAACTAATAAAAAGTCAAATTTTTCGGGAAATTCTTTCCGCCATGTTTAAACACATAAAAATGCTTTCGAATGATATATAACACTTGATGATTTGACACAAAAGAAAAATTTTACCAACATCAAAGGTGCGCGCGGGCCATATAACCGCGCACTTCTAAAAAACCTAGGTTTCGGAGCTCGCGTTTCCATTGACCAAAAAACAAAATTAAAAAACAATTCCCGACCAACTTTTTGCGTAGAATTCAGAAATTTGCTTTTTGAGCCTAGTTTATCAGCTAGATTTTCGTGAAAAAATTATTTTGACTTTTCGGCGCCGAATATGGAAAAAATTTCATGGAAAAATAGAATTCCACAAAAACTCAATTCAGCATTTTGAAAGAGCGTGAAAAGAGCTATTGAATGACATATAACACTTTATGGTTCGATGAAATATGAAATTTCACTAACATCAAAGTCGCCGCCTTTAATTCTGAAATTTTGGATGATGCTTTTCGGATCATTTTATTTTTTCCGTTCATTTTTGGGCCTAACTTAAAATTTGTAGTGTTCGGATTTTTGATTTAAAGAAAAAAAAAATTTACACAGGGGTGTAATCGATGTGCTTGGTCCCGCTCTTGGTTTTGATTTTTTTTTTCTTTAGATTTAATGTTTTCTCATGTCCCAGTGAGTGAAAAGCGCTCTTTAAAGCTTACTTTCGATGTATGTGATCCGGAAAGGAAAGCTCAACGGGAAGTTCGTGCTTTTCCCTAGTAAGTTTTCCCGTTCAAACAGTTCCCTAGTGAAATCGGCTGTAAAAGGTTTTTTCTTTTCTGATTTATTTTGATTTGTTATCGTTATCGTTTTGATTTTATAGTTATGAAATGTTGAAATGAAGAATCTTGCAAGTACAAGGCCTCAAAAGCGCTTAGACTTAGAAGCTGATTTTATTTGTTTCGAAAAGGATGGCTATTTCGTGTAAAAGCTAATCGATGTGCTCGTTTTTTGGAGCTTTTTGGCCTCGATTTGCCTCAAGAAAATCGGCTAAATTCTCTAGTTATTCGAGTTTTCTCTTTGAAAACCGAAAGGAGGCAAAAGCAAAGGGATTTTTCTACTGAATTTACTGATAAGAGATTTTTTTTCAAAAAGAACTCCTGGGAAAAGACGATTTGTGTCAATAAATTATCAAAATTGAATTTTTTTTTTGAAAGAAATATGTGAAAAATGAGATACTTTACTTATTTTCTCATTTTTTGCCTTTTAAATCACTTTTCTGACTCAATATTGGATGGAGATGGGGGTAATTTTGAAATTTTGAATTAATCCCTTCTAACTTTTGAACATTACATCCTTTCACCCGAGAAACTATTGATAAAACGATTATCGATATTTATCGATTATAAATTATCTATTGTAAACATTTTAAAGAATGAAAATTGAATTTGAATCTACGAAAAAAGATCTAGATAATCTAGATCTAGATATGTAGATAAAAATGAGGAATGCGAGATTTTCACTGGTCAAGACGATCCAAGCACCGAGAATCTCATGATCGCTATATATCCACAAAATTTGGACAACGTCACACTAATAAATGTAAATTTTTATAACTTGGATCATAGATTTTATAGTTTTGTATACAAAACTAAGAAAAAGATTTGAAAATGGGGCAGGTCAAAAACTCGTGCACCGACACGAACCAGCAAAACACTTGGTCCCTTTAATCCAGAGGGATCTAATTGCCAGTCGCAACTAGAGCAGAAGAAAAGAGTTTTGACTTGGCGGGACTCGAACCCGCGATCTTTCGCTTACCAGCCTAACGCGCTAACCATGACACCACAGGGCTCTTGTTTCGCCTACTTTAGAGGGAGTTAAGTTCCCTCCTCTCTCGACGAGGACGGTTCCACACGATTTGTCTATAGACCTAGCGTGCTAGGTTTGAAGACCTTAGCTAGCATTGCAGAGCCCTTTGCAGAGCCCTAGCATTGCAGAGCCCTTCCGTGGTCGCCAGTTGAAACTAGGATCAAAAAGTCGAACCGGAACTCGAACCGGCGATCTTTCACTTACCAGGCACTTCTAACCATTACACCATAACGCATTTAATCTCCCTTACTCCAGAGGGATTTAAGAGGGTTACTCTTCTCGAAATCAGGTAAAATTTTTCAAATCCTTTCAGGTAAAATCCTTCATTGAGAGCTGGCTTCAACTTTACAAGGGTGGGAAAGCAAATTTCGCGTTCGCTTTTGTTGGTTTGTTGATTTTGATATTAGTCTTGATACTGACAAGTAAAGAAATTGCTGATTTTTTAAACGAAATAGAAAACAGAACGAAAAACTGATCAGCTCTAGTTTGCTGATTGAAATGAAGAGCCTCCAGTCGGGCCTTGTAGGCCAGACTCAGTGCCAGGGTTGACCGGATCTGGATTTAGATCTCTACGAAAGAATAGAAAGAATGACACTACTAAACGCCTACCCAACGGTACTATAAACTTGTTCAGAATGCACAGAAAGTCAAAAATGCCAAACGACTTTCACGGAGCCGTCAAAAGTCGTGAAACGCTCGTGTTCCTCAATTGATTGGTTTGAAGCGGACGAGGGATTTTCCTTTCTCCACTGCATCGTCATTCATCCAACTGGTTAGAGTGCTTTTAAACTCAACAATTATCTACAATATCTATAATATCTACAATATTCCAGTATTGACTGTTCTTTCAACAATCGACGCCACGAATCTTGACTGTGGTCGAGTGCAAGAGGATCGATGCGCGATTCTCGAAGATTTTCTGCATCGTTTTCAACCAGTCATCCGAACAAATCTCACCGAATACACGTACCGTAAATACTGTAATAGTACCCCACCCCCATAATGACGATGCGGAGTGTTGCGTAGTCTAGCTTTGAACGAGTTTTTCTCTACACTGGTTTAAGCTAAAATCTTCGTTTTGGTATCAAAAAATAGCCCTGAATTTCAGCTATTTTTTGATACCTAAACGAGCATTGTAGCATAAACTAGTGTCGAGAAAAACTCGTTCAAAGCTAGACTACGCAACGCTCCGCATCGTCATTATGGGGGTTGGGTACTATTACAGTATTTACATACAGAATGTAAGTACCGTAAATACTGTAATAGTTTTTGATACCAAAGCGCGCATTCTAGTACCCCACCCCCATAATGTGGAGTGTTGCGTAGTCTAGCTTTGAACGAGTTTTTCTCGACACTGGTTTATGCTAAAAACCTCGTTTTGGTATCAAAAAATAGCCCTGACTTTCAGCTTTTTTTTGATACTAAAGACGCATTTTTTGAAAGTACGGGTGCTTTGAAAAAAAATGAAATACTAAAAAATTTTTGCGACTACGCGACTGTACGAGGGGGTGGGGTCCAATTACAGTATTTACGGTAGTAAAATGACTCAAATTGTAAATGAGATTTTTTTTCAGATTCCTTTCCAATCTGAAGGACCAAATCCCGTTGATTACAAAAAATCGACTTGATTTGACAACTGTTATCTTCTTTGCGCCTTACAAGTGAGGTTTTCAAAGTCGAGATTTACTAGATGATTTTCTAAAGCAAGCTCCAGTTACCGTACTCATAAATTGTCCTATAAATTGACCCATAAACTGTCCCATAAATTTCAGCCATTTCTCTCAGTTATCCTACCCTAAAGTGTGATCTTGTGTCCAGTTACCGTATCCCATTCATTTCCTCATTTACCCTAGCTCTAAAGTGTGATCTTGAGCTCTATTTATCGTATACTTTTCTCTAGTTTACAGTATTGATTTCCAGCGAAACGGTAGTCGCCGATCTGTCAACGGATCCGAAAATCAAAGCGCTCATTGATTCGTATCAAACTTTCGTGATGATTAGCATAAAGGAACCGAATACGACAATGATCTATGCACCAAGGTAAGCCGTTGAATACAATAAATAATCCAATAAACAGTTCAATAAATAATCCAATAAATAATCCAATAAATAATCCAATAAAAAGTCCAATACAAAGTCCAATACAAAGTCCAATACTAGTCCAATACTAGTCCAATACAAAGTCCAATAAAAAGTCCAATACTAGCCCAATACAAAGTCCAATACTAGTCCAGTACAAAGTCCAATAAAAAGTCCAATACTAGTCCAATACTAGCCCAATACAAAGTCCAATACTAGTCCAGTACAAAGTCCAATACAAAGTCCAATACTAGTCCAATACTAGTCCAATACAAAGTCCAATAAAAAGTCCAATACTAGTCCAATACTAGTCCAATACAAAGTCCAATAAAAAGTCCAATAAAAAGTCCAATACAAAGTCCAATAAACTCCAATAAACTCCAATAAACTTTAGCCCAAACTCGTCAACAAGATCGAAAGAATTGTGCGTTGATATGTCGGATTTAACGAAAAACTCTGTCGATGTCGGTCAGGCGATCATCCAGGCAACTCAGGGAATCGTACCAGGTAAGATATCGATCCTGGGCTACGGTAGCATATCCAACAACACAGCCATTGACCAGCCACCGTCACAGCCAAATATGTGACCGTCTTTGTGCGCTTTGTGCGCTCGTGTGATCGCTCTTCATCTAGCAAACCGCTTCGGTATAGATCCAACTGTTTAGATCGTTTCAAATGTTTCGCCGATTCGACAACTGGCTCAGCAAGCAGTACGACGAGTACGAGCAAGGCGACAACCAAAGCATTCACAACAAATATGATTACAACTACTAATAATATGGGTACAACTGGTGGAATCATTGAAACCACAACTGAAGCCAGTCAAACGACAGAGAACATGCAAACAAGTAGTGAAAGCACTGAGACTACGTCAACATCGACTAGAAATGATGAGGTGAGAATTTCAGGTTCTAGAATACTCTCAGTAAAGTAAAAGGCTCATTTTCTTACTATCCTACTTAACAAAGTCGGAACTAGGGCAAAAAATACGTTAAACCAATTCAATCTTGCCTTCCAGCTGGTCTGGAATTCAATCTTGCCTTCCAGCTGGTCGGAATTCAATCTTGCCTTCCAGCTGGTCTGGAATTCAACTTGCCTCTAGCTGGCTTGGAATCAATCTTGCCTCCAGCTGGTCTGGAATTCAATCTTGCCTTCTAGCTGGCTTGGAATTCAATCTTGCCTTCCAGCTGGTCTGGAATTCAATCTTGCCTTCTAGCTGGCTTGGAATTCAATCTTGCCTTCCAGCTGGTCTGGAATTCAATCTTGCCGTTAGAATTGTTCTAATCTAAACCTAAAACATTGACCTAAAACATGGAATTTACCTCTTTTAAATTAAACATGGAATTTACCAACTTTAACTCTGTTAAAGTCAGATTTAAATCTAGCTTCTAGCTTAGGTCTTTTTATGATCAGTAAAGCCATGCTTGCAGTAAAGCCAGGCTTGCAGTAAAGCCAGGCTTGCAGTAAAGCCAGGCTTGCAGTAAAGCTAGGCCAGGCAAGTCCAGAATTCAGGTCAACATCTGGATAGTTACAGTTTTCTACTTTGATCGAAGTTTATTTTTTTTTGTAGACAACAACTACCACGTCCACCTCATGCTATGGTGTCCAACCAAATGAATGTTCTTGCGAGCCGACGAGTTTGTGGAATGATTTGGTTGTTGTGATTGATCGATCGAATGAGATAGGAGAGAAGGATTTTGATGCGGTGAGGTTACGGTAGCTTTTCAGAAAAACCATTTTAAAAGCATCTCAATTTCTAGACCGTCTCAGCAATTAAAACAATCCTTTTCGGCACATCAATCGGTCAACGCGATGAGAATGAGACTCAACTCGGGGTCGTTCTTTACGATCTCAAGGTTGAACTTTTTTTGGCTTAGGCTACAGATGATCTATCTACAGATTTTAGGCTCAATTAGTTGCTGATCTCACTGAGTACAAGAATCGAGATGATATGATGAAAGCAAAGTGGCCATACTCGGGTGGAGATGGCACGAATTTGGCTGAGTGAGGTTTTATCAAAGAATCCTTTGTTCTTCTCATGATTAGGCTTAGAAATCGGTTCGTTTTTAACTGATGTTTCTAATCTTGAGCCAGCTTGGAACTGATCTAGCTAGTCCAGTTTCAGCCTTAGCCATAGCCTTAGCCATAGCCTTAGCCATAGCCTTAACCTTAGCCTGTGCAACACTGTGTTGCATATCAAGCTCTTTATGTATCTAAGTAAAACCTACATTCAGTCTTTCAGTGGCTTGGATATGGCGATTGACATTCTGGCTGCTGATATGAGAAGCGCTTCTCGACAAGTGATTCTGCTCATCACATCCGTTTACCATTGGCAAGAGTCAGTTTTGGTTTTGGTTTTCGGAAAGTTTACTTAAGAAAGGCTACGTTAAGAAAAGCTACGCTAAGAAAGGTAACGGTCTTTTTCTAGAGTCTCAGCTTTCTAAAGAATCCCTTAAGTTATCAACTAGATTAGAAAAGGTCGTAGTACCTTTTACCCTCAATTCTTCCATTTTCAGCGGTTTCGAGGATCCAATCAAGGCAGCTACTGGTTTCAAAGATGATGGTGGACTCATCATTACATTGGGTTTGAAAATTTGATCATTTTCTAGATAACAAGAATTATTTAGGTATTGGTGGGCTTCACGGAAAGGTAAACGAAACCCTTCGCAATGTGAGCAGTCCCGGTTTCTTTATTCAACTCAAATCAATAAACTCGTTGACAGAAAACACGACTCGAGATGAGATTTATCGATTGTTTTGTGATGGTAAGGGATCAGGCTTTGAAAAGTTACTAATTTTTACATTACAAATCTCTCGACTATTGTATTGAAATAGAAATTTGCAGCCAATTGCTTTTGTCCGGGTCAACTCGACGAGATCACAGAAGATCGTTTTAGTCCTGTTTCAACCACTCAACGAGAGAGTGTCCCTGATGGGGGATGTTTCTTTGTGAGTCATTCTAGAAGTACAAACATGTTTTAGCCCAAGTTTGTTGTCTGTAAGATACCGTAAAAACTCTAGAAGTGCCCCTATAGGAGTGTCGAAGTTTACACTCAAAAAGCCGCTCATATCTCGTCGCAGAAACAAGCAAAGATATGAGCGTTTTTTTGAGAGTAAACTTAGACTACGCGACACTCCTATTGGGGGCTTTTCGAGTTTTATGGTACTCATTGTTATAATTGTTACAATTGTCACAATTGTTACAATTATTATAATCAGTATCCAAATATCGGATCAGTAATTAGTGCAGATGAAAGCAAAAGGCTAGAAGCGAGGTTCAAGCAATACAGGGACTAGCAGAAAAGCTGGCTCCTGGCCTCGTCTAGTCTGATCTTGAAAATTACAATCAAACCTGGACCAAGTCTGGCCAGGATCAAGCCAGGACCAAGCCAGGACCAAGTCTGGCTAGGGCCAAGTCTGGCTAGGACCAAGCCAGGACCAAGTCTGGCTAGAACCAAGCCAGTCTTGGCTTCTAGTGTGCCTAGGGACTTGCAAACAAAGATAGACCAGGCCTATAATTAGAGGCCCTTGTCTGACCTGACTCGAATTGCCTGCAATTCATTTAGTTTCTGTGCTCAAATCCTTTTCCAGGACTCAAGTCTTCCCTCATCACAAATCCTTGTCGAGCGAACATGTAAAACAATGGAGGTGGCTGTCAACAAATCGATGACAGCAATGCCTAAATATTCGAATCAACAAGCACATATTCTACGCGCACAACAATTCAATATTACCTATTGGGTGGCATTAAATTCGACAAATGGCTTTTGGAAATGGAATGATGGGACGGCTTTTGTGAGTTACGGAGAATTTGTATTGTACGAATTAAAAATTTAAGAAATTCTCGAGTAGTCTTGTACTCTTAATAAATACTAAGTGCAATTTTAAAAAAGTATTTCTTTACCTCGAAGTCTTTAGTGTGGTGCTGAGGTGCAATTCGACGATAAATCACCGGCCGACGCGCACTACGCCGTGCTACAATGGACAGATGATGGTGAGCTTTCTCTTGTCTTGCTTATCTACTCAGTGCCCAGGTGCAATCGTCTTTAAAGCAAGAGATCTTGATGCTTCGGCTTTTTTTGCTTGCCAGGCGCCTCCATGCTCAAGCAAAAATTATTGTAAACCGAAAGGGAATCGACGAAAGTACAGAAGAAGAGAAAGACTTTAGAATTAGAATTTCTTTTCATCTAATAATAGAATTGGTGTCAATTCTTTGTGATTCAATGCTCTGTTATGTTTGCAATCTTCTTGCAATTCTTGAAAATCGAAAGAAAATTTTTCTGAAAATCGGAAACCCTTCTGGGTTACACCAAACACAATTTGCCAGAAAGCGTGCGTTTATCGTAGAGCACAAAGTACAAGACTTGAACACTGATTTCTGATCTCTGCTCTCACAAAAGAAACTGGTAAATCGTCTAACTGGTTGGAGATTGAACAGATCATTGAACAGATCAAAAGGCTGCACTCTTCAACAGATCTCCAACAGCTCTCCCACAGATCTCCAGCAGATCTCCCACAGATCTCCAGCAGATCTCCCACAGATCTCCAACAGATCTCCAACAGATCTCCAACAGATCTCCAACAGATCTCCAACAGATCAAGAAATGACGTCACTCCATTGAATTGATCGATTATCAGACACAAAAACAAATATGACAGAATGTTGGGGATAAGCTGGAATTATAGAGAAATCTCGGGGTTCAATTGATAAAGAATTCGATGAATTGAGGCGGAAAGGAGCTGATTTCATCCCATTGTTCAGTTCTGGTAAAAGGAAATTTCTTTAAACCCTCAAAACCTAATGTCACTCTCTCGATTTCTTGCAAATTTTTTTATTTTAACGCTTTTTATTCAGGTTTGTTTTACCTTGGCTTTTAGAACTTTCTAGAAGATCTGTTGGAGATCTGTTGGAGATCTGGTGAAGATCTGGTGAAGATCTGGTGAAGATCTGGTGAAGATCTGGTGAAGATCTGTTGGAGATCTGTTGGAGATCTGTTGGAGATCTGGTGAAGATCTGTTGAAGATCTGTTGAAGATCTGGTGAAGATCTGTTGGAGATCTGGTGAAGATCTGTTGGAGATCTGTTGGAGATCTGTTGGAGATCTGGTGAAGATCTGTTGGAGATTTATCTCGTACTCTGTACTCGTAAACACCCACTTTCTAGCAAACTTATCAAAAACAGTATTCCAAGCATGCGAAAGAGCACAAAGTACTAGGCTTGAACAGTGTAATTAAGCTTATATGTAAACGCACTCTTTCTGGCGCATCTGATTTCCCATTTCCTTAAAGCAACGGTTTGAAAGGAAATTCAGTGCACTAGAAAAGGTGTTTTTACAAGAGAGTTCAAAGTACAAGGGATACTCAAGTTGCTAAAGAAGAAAAATTGCAAATTTTTCAGTTAACACTCGCCGATTCTACTGTAGATGCTTGTAAAGTGTGCTCATTTGTGCTGGGTGGAGCAATCGATCACTATCAAGGGAATTTCATGGATGAAGATGATATGAGACAACAATTGAGTGATGTGAGTGAATTGTGGGACGATTTTTAGTGGCCGGGCGGCGCCGGGATTCGAACCCGGGACCAAGCGAACTCTCAGTTCCCAGACGAACGCTCCGCCAATGAGAACCAACAGCTTGTTCATTGCTGGGGGAAAAGCTTATACATTGCAATAAACCAGGTTCATCCATGATCCATGATTCAGCCATTTCCTGATTTCTAAGCCTGAAAAGCATGCAATTTCTAAAATTACACTTATTCTAGTGTCTAAAATGTTTAATACTCAAGTAAAAGTCATTCTTTGTACTTTTATAAGCATTGTACATAGTATTCTCTCGTCTTAAACCTTGTTTTACCAGTTGTGCACCCGTTTGGGCAATATCGATGGAGCTGAGGTACATCAAGCTTGTGATTCGCTCGTTCAGGCAAACATCGATCAAATCTATGCGGATTTAACGAAAGGTAGAGCTGTTTTTGGAGGAAGACTTTCACTTTCACTTTGACAAACTTTTATAGGCATGTCAGCTATTGACACTTGCATCAACATTCAACTTTGCAAATCGCCACAACCACGCGTTCGCTCTGTCAACAATCGACTCATCGAAACAGCAAAAACCCAATAATAAACTTGTAATAAATATTTAATGAAAAGCAACAATTGTTGAGTGTTGTTGAGTGAACAGCAATTGTTTTTGGTGCTGTGTGAAAGTTTTGTTGAGTATTATTAGTGTTAAGAAGTATCTAGATGGCTATTGCTGGCTATTGTTAGTGTTAAGAAGTATCTAGATGGCTATTGCTGGCTATTGTTAGTGTTAAGAAGTATCTAGATGGCTATTACTGGCTATTGCTGGCTATTGTTAGTATAAACAAGTATCTAGATGGCTATTGCTGGCTATTGTTAGTGTTAAGAAGTATCTAGATGGCTATTGCTGGCTATTATTAGTGTTAAGAAGTATCTAGATGGCTATTGTTGGCTATTGTTAGTGTTAAGAAGTATCTAGATGGCTATTGCTGGCTATTGTTAGTGTTAAGAAGTATCTAGATGGCTATTGCTGGCTATTGTTAGTGTTAAGAAGTATCTAGATGGCTATTGCTGGCTATTGTTAGTGTTAAGAAGTATCTAGATGGCTATTGCTGGCTATTGTTAGTGTTAAGAAGTATCTAGATGGCTATTGCTGGCTATTGTTAGTGTTAAGAAGTATCTAGATGGCTATTGCTGGCTATTGTTAGTGTTAAGAAGTATCTAGATGGCTATTGCTGGCTATTGTGAGTATAAACAAGTATCTAGATGGCTATTGCTGGCGATTGTTAGTGTTAAGAAGTATCTAGATGGCTATTGCTGGCTATTGTTAGTATAAACAAGTATCTAGATGGCTATTGCTGGCTATTGTTAGTGTTAAGAAGTATCTAGATGGCTATTGCTGGCTATTGTTGTGTTGAGTATCTAGATGGCTATTGCTGGCTATTGTTAGTGTTAAGAAGTATCTAGATGGCTATTACTGGCTATTGCTGGCGATTGTTAGTGTTAAGAAGTATCTAGATAACAAAAATTGTTTCAAATGCTTATTTTTTACGAGTTTAATGTTAAAATGCTTTATTCTAATATGTGGATTGCAAGAATTTAAAAGAAAACGAAGTGACTTACAAGAAAGTTTTTAATAAGTTTCTTTTTGCTTATCTATATTTGTGTGGAATAATCTTAAATTCAGAAATTGTTAAGGCGTAAGCTAAACGATTCCGTTTGGCTAAATATTTGCGTTAAATTTTGTGAATTTTTATCTTGCTTGCTCACAAGGGAACTACATAAACTTATGGACGCCGATTTTCCTCAAAATTAGTGAATACTGAATTCTCTGTAAAAGTGCACCCCGCCGAGTCGAGTTGATAACGATTTTACGGTTTCAAAGCTTTTACAGAAGCTCAACCCTCAAATCCCCCACAAGATCTCATCGTCAGCTACATTTTCCGCCCCCACATCGATAGGTTCTGATAAGTGCTTTTCGAGATCTCGAGAAATTTAGGCAAAGCTTTAGGTGCACGACTATTAGGCAAAATACGGTATTCAGATAGCACACTTGTTTGTTCTATGTGTATACGCATTCCTTTTAAGCAAAAAGACGCATCGATATGCCTTTTTAAAGTACTAAAACAAGATTTTATGGATTAGATCTAAAAAGAAAAAACAAAGCAGCAGGATAAGGCAAAAAAAAGGAATTACCGTATTCTCTCTAATAGTAGTGCACCCCACTGAGTCGAGTTGATGGCTATTTTACGGTTTCAAAGTTTTCACAGAAGTTCAACCCTCAAATCCCCCACTAGATCTCATCGTCACCTACATTTTCCGACCCCACATCGATAGGTTCTGATAAGCGGTTCTCGAGATTTCAAGGAATTTAAAGAGAGCTTAGGGTGCACTACTATTAGAGAAAATACTGTAAACTTACGGATGCTGATTGTCTCCAATTTGGTAATAAAAGCGACAATGGGGTTTCTCTCTTCGCAACGATATTACGCTTAGCTAGCACCGTGGATTCACTGCGTGGTGGTGTAGTGGTAGTGCATCCGGTTACAAAGCCAATCCTTTCGAGTTCCAGTCTCTCTACGAGCTTTTGGTAGATTGGGGATGTAGATTAGCTTAAATAAACATCTTTTTGTTTTGAGCCAAGTGTAGATTAGATTAGATAAACATATACATCAAGTAGATAGAGATATATTACTTGATTCATAAAGCGTTGAAAAATCGAGCAAAATAAAGAATCAAAGGACTCGATAAAGACTAAAAAATATATCGAATATTCCCAGCAACAAAACATGCAAAAAGCAAAGCAAAAAGATAAGGTCGAGATTCTTTATGCCATTTGAGAAAGCGAAAAAGGGATTTGTTTGGCGTAAAGTTAAGGGAAGGGCATTTTAAAGTTTTTCTGTACGAAGTTTTAAAAGACCATGGCATTTGACAGAAATTTGGACCTACCGTAAATACTGTAATAGTACCCCACCGCCCTCGTACAGTCGCGTAGTCGCAGTTTTTAGTATTTCATTTTTTTCAAAGCACCCGTACTTTCAAAAAATGCGCCTTTGGTATCAAAAAATAGCTGAAATTCAGGGCTATTTTTTGATACCAAAACGAGCATTGTAGCATAAACCAGTGTCGAGAAAAACTCGTTCAAAGCTAGACTACGCAACACTCCGCACCGTCATTATGGGCGGTGGGGTACTATTAAAGTATTTACGGTACTTACATTCCTTAGCTTTGTTTGCAAAGTTTTAAGCACTTTTCTAGTGCACAAAAGTGATCAAGAGTTGATTGAGATGGCTTTTATGTCTAAACGCTATGTCTAAATCATTCTAGTGCCATTTTTTCTTCATTTAACTGCTAAATTCAATTTGAAATTTGAGAATTTAGTTTAAATCAATCAAATGTTGGTCAAATTTTCGTGCTTTACCTTGATCTTGATCACATCGAAGTACAGCACGTACAGCACGAAGTACACACGTTTTGTCATCATCGGGAATCGGTAAAGATGGTGCAATGGTGATAGTGGTGCACCCTAAGCTTTGCCTAAATTTCTCGAGATCTCGAAAAGCGCTTATCAGAACCTATCGATGTGGGGGTCGGAAAATGTAGCTGACGATGAGATCTAGTTGGTTTTTAAAGTGTTGAGCTTCTGCAAAAACTTGGAAACCGTAAAATCGTTATCAACTCGGCTCGCCGGGGTCCACTACTATTAGAGAAAATACGAAAGAGAAATTATGGTTTCCTTGCCAGTTTTTACAATAAATATATTTTATATAACGTAATGATTGCAATTGATTTGTTTTTATATCACAAAACCTTGATATAACGTAAACTATAGCCTGATTGTAGACTGTGCATTTTTCTGCCGCAAAATTCACAGCCTAACTAGCAAACGGTAATCTTTTACTCGACCCCAAATCGTTTTTTAAACCATTTTTGATTCAGGCTTAGGCTTAGGTCCAAGTGACTCAAAAGAATTGACTTTTAACTTTCTGAAGGAATTAGAAAGAAAAGGTAGATCTCCGGAGAGGGTAGAAGGTAGACCATCCAATGCATCCAATGCATCCAATGCATCCAATGCATCCAATGCATCCAATGCATCCAATGCATCCAATGCATCCAATGCATCCAATGCATCCAATGCATCCAATGCATCCAATGCATCCAATGCATCCAATGCATCCAATGCATCCAATGCATCCATCGCCTAACCACTGAGCTATCCAGTAACTTAACTTTTCAAGACAAAGAAGGAAAGGAAAGGAAAGGAAAGGAAAAAGACTCCATTCTCTTGGAAATCTCAGCTCGCTGCTTTGGTATAGCTTTTTCTAGATTCTTTGGATCCTGTTCGACTAATCCGTAGTCAGAAATGGGAAATTGCATCAAAATCAAAAATTTTGGTGCCGATCTTGTGAACTTTTTGCGTCTTGAAATCAGAGTCGAAATCCGGTTGTGAGAGAAAAAAATCCAAAAAAAGCCATTTTTAGTCTTTCGGTTCCGGATATTTCGACGCAGATTTCAGTTTTGATTTTTCGAGATAAGCGGAGACCAAATCTGGGGGGAAACGCTCTGATTTATGAGTTTGGAAAGGGGGAAAGCAGTCAGAGAAGATCAGAAAAGCTCGGCTGATAATATTATGCAATAATGATTTTGCTGAAAGGTTCAGGCTAAGTGATTGAACAAGTAGTCAAGTATGTGGAAATATCGGAAGATTAGACATAAGGTGGCTGAATTTAGCGCATACTAAGGGTTAAGCACTCAGTGGAGACGTTTTCTGAAAGGTGCGCTTCGGAGAAAGCTACCGAAAGCTACCGTACCCGATTACCGTTCCTCAAAGAAGCTACCGTACCCTAGAAAGCTACCGTTCCCCAAAGAAGTTACCGTACCCGACTACCGTTCCCCAAAGAAGCTACCGTACCCTAGAAAGCTACCGTCACCGATTACCGTTTCTCAAAGAAACTACCGTACCCCACCTGCCGTTTTTAATTCACAAGCTCGCCCAGTAAAACCCAGCCAAACTACGGTAGTCAGACTACAGTACCCAGTACGATAATAACCAAAGTACAGTAGAAAAACAAAGTCAGAATACGGTACTATGGTAGCCAAAGTATGGTAGCTGAAATTAAACCTAATGGTTCTAGTATTACATAGAAAGGGTACGGTACAGTACTGAAGGCTACAGTAAAGTACTGAAAGGCTACAGTACACTCATCAGAGTACAGTACAGCAATACTCATTCCAGTACACTTATTATAAAAGCTACAGTACAGTACACAAGGCTTGTCTGTGCTCTATGTCAAGTCACACGAAAATTCAAGTCCTGAAAAGTGCTAGAGTTCAGGGTGCAAGTGTTGGCAGCACTTTTCTCCTTATCATCTCGTTTTCAAGCTCCCATTGAAATTGGTATAAATATGGGACACTCAGGCTCTCAGCCACTATCTCATTTTGAGAATTTTCTGATCTTTTTCGAATCTTTTTCGAATCTTTTCCTTTTTCAAGATAGAATCTATTCTATGCTTTAGACTCACGAGAAATAGCCTCGAATAAAAGAGATTTAGATTCCCTTGAACTCTTTGACTTTTATAGCTCTCGATTAACATTTTCTCAATATTATCTTCGTTTTTATATAGCAATGAGTATCAAAAGATATTTAGTTATGAAATTCCTTGTTGCTCTCCTCGCCCTCACCGCTGTCGTCTTGGCTGTAAGTAAAAAAAAACGAAATTTGAATAAGTTTTTGAAGTTTTATAAGAGAATTAGAATTATTTTAGCTTATATTATATTTAAATAAGCTGAATTTTGAATTGTTTAGCTTATAACTTTAATCTAAACTAGCCGTAAGCTGTGAAGGAGTCAGTAAGCTCGAAAGCTTAAGCTTTATTGCATTGGAGGGGGATTGCTGGCTTGCTGGCTTGCTGGATTGCTGGATTGCTGGCTTGCTGGCTTGCTGGATGCATGGGATGCATGGGATGCATTGGATGCATTGGATGCATTGGATGCATTGGATGCTGGATAATCTAGTTAAAATCTAGAATGCATCTTTGTGAGTGATTTGAAATAATCGCCATTTCAGCAACGGCCCACCGGACCGCAGCCCACCTCGACGCCGTGCCAGATCTGCAGCTACGTCGTCTCTCAAGCCGAGCACCATCTCCGTCGAGGACGCGTCGACGAGGGAGAATTGCAAATTATTCTTCTTGAGGTGAAAACTTGTACAGCTTGTCAGTACAGCTGTCTGATTAGACAATTAAACACTAGATTAGAACTAGATTAGAATTAGAACTAGATAAGATAAATCCACATCCTTTTATCGGTCGGCTGATCGGCTGGGATTCGAACCGGCGATCTAACTGTCATATGCTGACAAGCTAAGACCTTATACTTTCTACCCAATGACTCAAATCTAAATCTACAACGATTTCCAGGAATGCGAGACTCTTGAACGTTATTATGGTCGCTCAGCTGTGCAATCTTGCGTTCAAATGATCGACGACAACATCGGCACCATTCTCACTGACGTAAATGCAAGTAAGCGACATTTCTACAACTCTACTTGCAGTTACAATTTATCTATTCTAGCTATCGTTTAGATATTAGGCTTTTGAAATAGTTTGCTAGAGTCAATCAAGTAGAATTACGATATTTTACTACTAAAGCCTTTTGTAAAAGCATTTCTCATAATTCAAAATATTGATTTTAGACAAACCTGTCTCTCAAATCTGCCAGGATATCAAGCAATGCTAAAGAAAATATCGAAATACTTCAATAAAGATTTTAACGTAAATCTCATAAAATAAACGATGCAAAAGCAAAAAGCAAACAAACATTGATGAAAAGAATAATAAAATTTTGAGCACAAGCACAAGTCAAGAGTTCTGGTGAACTGTACTGTACGGCTCATCTAGCGCACCACTAGACTCTCCCATTGCCACACCGTACGGTTCATCTAACGCACCACTAGACTCTCCCATTGCCACACAGTACGGTTCATCTAACGCACCACTAGACTCTCCCATTGCCACACCGTACGGTTCATCTAACGCACCACTAGACTCTCCCATTGCCACACAGTACGGTTCATCTAACGCACCACTAGACTCTCCCATTGCCACACCGTACGGCTCATCTGGCGCACCACAGTAAGCCAAATAGTGTAAGTCACCACATTAAGGCAAATTCCACTAGTCTCCCATTACCTTCCATTTCTCTAATCGAAAAAGTACAGATAAAACTCTAGTATTGAAGCTGTAGAAAACTATAGAAGCTAATGAGTACAGAGTCCACGAGTGCACAAATCCAAAATTCTTATCTGAACTGATCCAGCTTTTCTATGTCTTTGTGAGAAAAGGGGAGTCTTGCCTTCTTTCTTTTCTTCTTTCTTTTCTCCTTTCTTTTCTCCTTTCTTTTCTTCTTTCTTCTATAGATAACCACTATAAATAAGAAGTTATTTTGAAGATTTGAAGATTCACCGATTTTTCTTAACAGTTTTTATGGCCTTCTTTTTCTAGAACACAAGGATTTTTTAAAGGATAGTCCTTGATCAGTTAGGAAAAGTTAGGAAATCTGAGCCAAGCCAGGTACTTAGCCAGGCTGACTTTTAGCTGACCGACTACTGTAGCGGGCTAGATCAAGCCAGAAGTTAGCCTGCTTGTCCTGACCTAAGCTGACCTAGTTTAAACTGAACTTGATCTTGAAGAAGAACGAGTCCGATTCCTAACTTGGTCTGAGGTTTCTTTAAGAACAAGTCTGATTCTTAGCTAGCCCGGGTACTTTGTAGGCGATAATGCTGTAATCTTTGTAGGCTATAATGCTAACCAATCTGGCTTACTAGCTTAGTTTTCCCTGACTCTCTGATTCTGGCTTTTGTAACAGATCAGATCAAGCAAAAAGTTAGCCAGCTTTTTCCTGTCAACAAACAAAAGCTTGTTGCTAGCTAGCTTTTTCTTGTTTCTAAAACTTGAGCCTCTTAAGATGACTTTGAAATTTCTTTAATTTGAATCCTGCATCCTTCTAGAATAACTATTTCTGTTACCTTCAAAACTTTCTTTCTTCAAAACAATCAATTGAATTCAGTCATGAAGTACCTCATCGCTCTCATTGCCCTCTCGACCGTCGTTTTGACTGTAAGCTAAAAACTAAAACTAAAACGATCAATGTGATCGAAAATCGTATTCCAGCAACGCCCCACCGGACCGCAGCCAACCTACAGTCCATGCCAGATCTGTTACTACATTGTCTCGCAAGCTGAGCATCACCTTCACCGGGGACGCGTCGAGAAAGGAGAGCTTCAGATTGCCCTGCTTGAGGTTGGGGGAAAGGGATTGTTGTACTGTAGTTCATCCAGTAATCCGTTAGTCCTACTGTAGCAGAGTACTGTAGCAGAGTACTGTAGCAGAGTACTGTAGCAGAGTACTGTAGTCAATTACCGTATCTTAATTTCTATCGTATCTTGGTTGACTTGAATGGTATCAATTTGAAAGAGAATCCCTTCATTACAGGAATGCGAGAGCCTGCGCCGATACCAAGGATATCAAGCCGTACAAACGTGCGTTCAAATGGTCGACGACAACATTAACACTATTCTCAATGACGTTAACGCCAGTGAGTCATTGACATTTATCAGTACTGTAATTTTTACAGTAATCTTGTTATTATTCTAGTAATATAGTTTCTACAATAATCTAGTGCCATAACTTCTACAGTAACCCGGTAGTACTATAGTCTTGGCAATACGGCAATCTTACAGTAATCCGTTAGTCTTATTGTTTGGCATACTGTAGTCTATTACCGTATCTTAACTAAACTCTTTCATAAATCTTGCCACTGTCAAAATTTGGACTTGGTGTTGATCTCTCGAGAAATCCACGTTCCTATCAGTTTTTGGGTGAAATTTTACGAGGTGTTTGCGAAAGATTTACAATCGGGGAGAGATTCGGGAGAGATGGGGATTAAGGAGTGATAAGGCCACTATTTTGACGCCAAAGATTGCTTCTGGACTTTTTTTTTCGGCGAATTGAAGCCGCTTTCGTTTGGGGGTGAAAAAGCCAGTAAAATTTTCAAATTTTCAGACAAGAACGTCACGACGATCTGCCAGGACATCAGCCAATGCTAAAAAGTGCTTATCAACCACGTAACAAATCCCAATCTTGTACTATCAAATTTATCTCAACCTTAAAACGTCAACATAAAGATCACCTTAAAAAACAAAACAAAATAACAATTTGATTACAAAACTTTAAAAAAATAGAGGTGACAAAAGGCAGCGCGGAAAGAAAAAAGAACTTTTGGGTTGACTCGTCTGAAATGTGATGTGTGGAAGAAAAAGAATTATGAAAGTTTTCGTTTCGAAAGCGAAATTCACTCGGGAATGACTTAACACAAAAAAAGGGGGGAAGGCACTTAAAAGAATTGGGAAAATGATAAGAAGCATACAAGAAACCGGGTGTTTATTGATCTTTCTTTTCTTCATCTCCTTCTTCGTCTTCGGGATCCTCCTCACCGTCGGGCTCGCTCTCGCTGTCACTCTGAAAATAAAAATTTACAAATAGATCTACAAAAAAGTATCTAAATGACTTTAGTTTCATTTTAAGCTAAAGTAAATCAAGTTCTTATCCAGAAGACAAACACTTTTTGTTTTAAAATCTACCTCATCCGAGTCGAACTTCTTCCGGGCCATCTTTGACTCAAGAGCCTCCGTGCTCATGTACTAAATGATCGCAGTTATTACGATTGAATTCTTTTAAATTTAGTATTTTAATTAATTATCAAAATTACACGATGTAGCTAATAGTACTGTAAGAACATACCTCGGGAACGAAGAACTCCTTTTCGTGATCCAACGGAAGAACGACATTTACTTGGCTGTCCGTGTAGAACTCGAGAACGACCGAGGTCTCGATACGGGTTTCCTGAAAAGAAAAATAGAACTTGGTGAACTTGAACTATCAAATCTTTGCAAAAATGAAAGTCCACTGATGGAAAATGAAATGAACTTTTGATTTTGTTTTAGCTACCAAGCTACAATAAGATTTTAGAAAAGGAATTACCTTGATGTACTCTTTGATTGCCGCGTAGGTGTTGTTGACGAGCGCGATAATTGAAAGGAATCCGTCGAACGGTTGAGTGGCTTGAACGGCTTTGGAAACAGCTGGGAGGCTCATCTTTTCGTAGCCGTGCCTAAAAATAGCAGTAAGATTAGTGTTTAAACAAAAATAAACGCTTTTATACACAGAAATATCAGTAGCTTTCTTTCAAGAAGCGTAAAAAAAACATAAAACTTTACCTGGTCAATTGCTCCGCGTAATTCTGTTCGTATCGATTCTCGCCATCCACTAAACATTTCTTGTTATAAATTTTAATCCAGCGCATTTTTACCTGCAAACACCACACCAACGGCCGACTGGAGAAGATGCTCGGCAACCTGAACAAAACTTTATTTTTTTTAAACTAATAAAACTAATTACCTCATCAGGATCATCGTAGTAGATTCCAAAAGTTGTAGCCCCGGATGGAAGAAGTGATCGAGCTTCTTTCATCAAAGCGCATGATTGCTAAAGCGCTTTGTAAACAAAGAAAATCTTAAAAGTATAAAAACGAACCGATATTGAAAACAAACCTTGTAATGACCAATTTGATGTTTGTAATAGACGACGAGTGGTTTTGAGATCAACGCCGGCTTATCGGTTGTTGACACCTGTAAATGGCAACAAAATAATTGATAGATTGATAAGCTACAGTAGTCGGACTTCTAAAAGGATTGCTCAGGGGAACAGAGATTCTTTAAACATCAATGAAGCTTGAAAAACTCAAAAATGGCTTTAAAGCTTAATGAGTTTCACGTTGTTTGATCGTTTCGCCGGATTTTTCAATAACAAGTTACAATAGTCACGCTAAACTTTTGCCTATACCTCCTGATCAAAAAGTTTTGATTAATTGTCTTTAAATCGAGATATTTAGATACTTGTTTTCTTTAGGGCTTCAGCTATAAACAATTGATCAAAAATAAACCTGTGTTTTCGAGAGCAAACCACTCTTGAACACTTTGTAGACGACCCAGGCGCCGATCGCGATCAACACCCAGCACACGCCGCAGTCGAGCATACTGAAAAAAAAGTTGTGGAAAATAATAAAAAAAGAACAAGCAAGATTCAAAGAGTGGAAAAATTGGAGGGAAACTTTTTCACCAAAAATTACCGGAAAAAAAGAGAAAAGTTGAGTTTTTCCCTAGATAACGATCTCATTGGAGATGAGCGTTGTAAAGGAGATTTTAAGCGGGAGTTTCGCAGGAAATTTGAAATTCGCAGATTTCTTAAAGTTTAGGCAAAAAAAGAGAAATTTAATTGACGAGACTTGAATTTTAAAAGGAAACGCGACGAAAAAGGACAATGAATTTGAAAAACTTCTTTCCTTTTAAATACTCTTTCAAACACAGGTGAAAAGATATTCAGTCGCATAACTGAACATCTGTAATCGCTTTTTAAAAGTCTATTCTGAATTTATGGTTTTTACACGAACTTTTTTTGGGAGTGGGACAAATGCGACCTTTTTTTGCGCACCCGGACATTTGCGCACCTTGCCCATTAGCGCACCTTTTTTCGCGTTTTAAAAAAGCTCTAAAAAGCTAATATTAACCAATTTCTATTCCAAAAGTTGTTTTTCTAGGTAATTTTAGGGCGTAGAATCGAAATTTTGACATAACAGAGCGTGTGGAACCAATTTGAAAGACAAAACGGCTAGATCAAATTACAGAAAATTGTCGATTTTTCTCTTTGTATAACTCCGTCCGTTTGTTTCCACAAGCTCTGATATGTCAAAATTTGAATTCGACACCCTCAAATTACCTAGAAAAACAACTTTTGGAATAGAAATTGGTTAATATTAGCTTTTTAGAGCTTTTTTAAAACGCGAAAAAAGGTGCGCTAATGGGCAAGGTGCGCAAATGTCCGGGTGCGCAAAAAAAGGTCGCATTTGTCCCACTCCCGAACTTTTTTTAAGTTTTAGATGGCAAATTACGTTTTTTGGAAATTGTAGGAATTTTTAGTTTTCAGCCGCGTTATTATATTTTTCTGGTCAAAAATTGCAACACAGCTGGTCAGTGATTTAAGAGAAAAAGCAGGAAAGGGCTGCTCAAATTTCACAAGGAAAATTTTAACATTGCATCTGTGCCGTGGCTTTTTTTCAGTCAGCTGATGGGAAAAAGTGCGGGAAAGGCACACACAAACAGATAAATAAAGAAGAGAGGGAAAGATGGGAGAAAACTCTCGAGTGGTTCTCTTTCTGCGTGGGTGATGGACAGGCAAAATGGGATGGCGGGGACACACATGAAAATGAGGGGAAAGAGACACCCCAGTGTGTGGATGGAATGAGTTTGAGGAATTTGAGAGAGATAGGTCCGATCGGGTGAATGAATGAAAGGAAAAGAAACCACAGTAAACAACGATTTGGGAATATTGATTGACAAATGAAAGATCGATTGTGGAAATAATTGTTGGCACACTTGCCACAAGCAAGCCGGATCAAGAAAACGAATGCGCTAAACGAGTCAAAATCCAAATATTCAGCAATTTGTTAGTTTTAGGGCAACTTGTTACCTATAGTATACCACATTGCTTCATTATAGTACCCCCAAATAAAAACTATTTAATCAACAACCCAAAACCTGAAAGCTATTCAGTTATCTATCCCAGTTGAGCACTTTTATCCAGTATACTGAGAAGGAGGCTAACAATAAGTCTTACGACAACTTTCAGTTTTCAAAGTTATCAAAAAAATAGGAATAGAAGGTAGGAGGTTAGGCTTACTCCAAGCTAGATACATGAATTGTAAGTAAAATTGCTTCTTGCTAGACTTGAATAGAGACCCAACGAGCACTTCTACACAAAAATGAGAAAAGAACCCAATTGTTGAGAGACAGTGCAAACCCAACAAAGAGAAAGTGAGTAAACAGCTCAGCAAATAACGTTTCGTATCGATTGGAGGGACGGTGTGTAGTTCTTTGCTTTTGTAATTGTTAGATCGTTGCAATACAATGGTTGGGAAAAGTGGGATGCGTTATTGATTCGGAGTTTTGAAAAAGAGAGCTGTTGAGGAAGCAGAATTGGATTTATTTGTCTGTTCCTCTCCTCTAACCCGTTTTCTAAAACCTGTCCCTTTGCTCGACTACCGTAATCTCGTCTCTATTTTTATCCAACCTATCCACTTTTTTGCCTAATTTTATGAGGGTTCACAAAGGATATCAAAAAATACAAAAAGTAGATAGATTTTTAAAAAAAGAAGCAAGATCACAATAATCAAGAAATGGTACACTTTTTAGAAAACGGATTAGAAGAGACTGACCCTTAATGATTAGTGACAGTCTCAAAAACGAAAAAAGAGCAATGGTCAAGTGATTTCTTTTCTCAAATGTGTCACTCTTGTTGTTTTTTAGCGGAGACTCCACCACGCGCCAAGTTCCGCTTTCCAATGGGCGCCTAGGGAAATGCATTCAACTTTTGAATGTTTGAATAACTTGAAACTTTTAAGTGTTTGGAATTTTCAACACCTCATCTTATTCTCTCCTTCTCAAAAAAATCATTCTCGAGCCTTTTTGCGCAGAACTAAGGAAGTTCTTGTAACTGTTGCTTTTTTAAAAAATGTTGGTGCTATACGGGTCGGGGGGCCAAAAATTCTATATGCTAATTTTTGTTCCCGGTTATGTTCCACATCACAAAATTGCTTCTTTTCTTTTAGATAACAACATTTATGAATTAAAATCAACATTATCAACAACAAGACAACTTAAGTCAGAGAATAACGATCATCAACAAGTTCCCAGAACTCATACATCAAGCTTTGAGTATTATGCTGCCATTTTCACAAGGCTTCATAGTAGTGGTCGTTCCAAAGCTCGCCCTTTAATCCGTTTCACCACTTAATCTGACGCTTAAACTGGCTCCTATTGCAAAATTTAGCAAAAAAAAAAGCGAAATTAGCAGATAAATTTTTTGCCCCCCCCCCCGACCCTAATAGCACCAAATTGTCAAACGCTGTTTTCATGCTTCTTTTGCTTATTTTATACAATATCTCTATGTCTAATCGTTTCTGATTTTAGTCAGATGGCCGACGAAGAGGTGGTGAACAGTCGCTTCAAGCATTTACTCAACCCCATCAAGGATCTTGCCAAAAACTTTAACCTTGATCTACAGAAAGTGAGTGGTTTTGATTCTAAGTTGGTTAGCTTCATCAAATTTAAATATGGATATGTAAAACGTTGCGGCTAGTCGGGTTGGACGGCCCCAGCTTTGAAGCCGAAGGTTTGTTTTAAGGGTTAAAACTTGGTTGCCGGGCCGGTTGCCAAATATTTTGATGCGCGGATGTTGAATTTCTTAGCGTAGTAGCCATAGCTATTAGTAAGCTGTCACCTCGTGCCAGTGAACCTGGTCTTAAAAGAAATGAGAAAACGGATTTAACTGTTGAGCTACCGGAGGTTTCAATGATTACATTATCAAGTTCTTATAAAGATAGAGCTTGAATAATCATCAACTTTGTTCTACACGAGTGTTAGTTTAATCAACATAGCGGAGTTTATATGCTTCGCCTTTGAAAGAATTTCGACTGAGGCCACCCAAACCGACTAGCGCCAAAACGATTTTACTATCAACTTTTGACATTTAAACTTCAGCATATTTCTGTTTGGGGCGTTAGTTTGATTGGCTTGAATTTAGTCTAATCAGCCATTTGTAAAGGTTTAACATGTTTGTCAGCGCTTTATGATATCAAAACCAATTCACCTTTTCCAGGACCTCAACAACTACTTACAAGAAATTAACGAACTCGATGATGCCAAAGAATTACAAGTATTCATTTGCGTGGTGACTGTTTAAAACATCTTTTTAGATTGATCTCGATGCGGTTTTAAAGTTCAACTTCGCTGAGGCCGGCGCAATCGTTAAAGGATCGGCAAATGTTTACGGAAGAAAGGTAGGTGTTTTGTCAGATCAAAAATCGTTTTGTTTAGGTCGAGTTTGTTTACGAGGCAGCCTGCTCATTCAATCAAACGATCGGCGACGCAAAGAAGATGAAAAAACTTGCAGGCAAGTCTTGAATGGAGAAATTGTTGGAAGCTAGAGCGACCCAGCTGAAACTGATATAAACACTGGATAATTCGATTGGTTGTTAAATAGTGCGATAAATTACACCATGATGACACATTTATTAACATTCCAACCTTTTCACTAAACAGTGTTATAAGACTACTTTAGGGGCCGGAGTTGACGACGATGACGGTGGCGGTGGATCGGATGGGGAACTTGGCGGCGAAGAAGGACAAAAGAAAAAACGAGCTCGCACACACGACAACGATCCGCTCTCGTTTCCTTCACAGAAGCATCGGAAGCACCAATACTTTGACGCAGCCATATTACGGAAAAATTCTTGCAAAGAATACCTTGGTAAGGATTTTTTTATGACTTGATTGCCTTATTGTCATTTTATTTATAATAACGGTCGAATTTTAGGAGTCGACTTTGTGGCGGCAAGAATGAAAGAGCCAAAAATGTTGAATCTTTTGCCCGAAGAGCTACGAGCGATGCCCGATGGAGAAAAGTTGCCGATTTGTGTCGTCGGTTTATGGGCACGATCAATTGAGGCAAATACTCATTTTTTACAACTTAATATTTAATGTTTAGGCTGTCGGAAAATTTGAAGATTTCTGGACTCTTTCCTACACAACAGTGACCCCAGAAAGAGTAAGTTTTTTACTTTAGCCGGGTAAAGCGATACATTTAATGTACAATTACATTATGTGATCTTTTTAGAGATGGGTAAATGAGATGAAACAAGAAGAGCATCCACATCACGCGGCAAAAGTGGGTGGTTGTGCTGGATGTGCTGACAAGGATTGCCCAGACGCCAATTATCTCATCCCCACCATGCACTTTGGACCGAAGATGGCCGGACGGATGAGGCAGATTGTGCTGAAGTCGATTTACTTAGACCTTTCGGTGAGCTCCATCCCGCAGTTAATAAATATTGGACCATTTTAGAAGTTTATGACGATACGGCGAGAACAGCTCGAGTCAAATTGGGTTTGTCATGGTGATTTGCGTCCTCGATCCGGTCTTTGGGATTCAACGGTGAATGAAGTGAGAGCGAAGAGGAAACATCAATTGGAAGTGGTAAAATTCGCTGTGGAAAATGTGATGGATGAGAATAATTACACAGCAGGTTTGAGAGAAAAATACCTCGTTTTACTGATTTCTTTAGCGTTGACAAGACGTGGGCGTATCACTGGAATGACGGGTTCTCAAAACCCTCTCTCTCAATTATCATCACAACAATCCTCGCAACAAACTTGCAGTCAGGTTTGTAATCTTAAATTACTGCAATACGGTTGTACTTTCCCAAATAAATTGGTATAACGATTCTTTTAGAGAGCTTCACAAGAGACACAATTTGTGGAAATCGACGGAATGCGTTTTCCCGGACGGGCTTCTAGTCGACTAGAAATGGCACGGTGAGTTGCAACTTTCGAATTACATTCATTTAGCTTGTTTCAGAAAATCGTTATCGACGAATGGACGTACATCGACAAGGCTTTCAATTCAAGTACTACAAGGGCAACGAGAAGTGAGACTTGAGCACCGACGTTTCTTTTATTTTTTTTAGCTTTATGCCGATGACGATTCGTTTGGCGGTGGTGGATTTGACGACGATGAAGGAGAAAACAAAAAATTTAATCCGTTCGACGTGCGACCGTTACAGGTTGGACAAGTTTTTGTATGAATCTTATTCAAAGTTCTGATTTAGGAAAGTCGCCCGAATACTCGTTCTGCATCAACAGCGCCAACAACAGGAAACGTTAATTCAGTGAGCTTTTTGGCGCGTTAAAAAGTTGTCAAATATTAAATTTTAGTGGGTTGAGGAAGCGTGCACGTCGCAGAAGACATCACTACCAAAAAGAGACCTCTACTTGCCACTTCCACGCTCGTTTGGACCGCAAATGCAAACGGCGATACCAAAAGCTGTGCCCGTCAGGAGACGTTGTGAGGACGTGCTTGCTAAACGAAAAGATTCGCAAAAAGTTTATTATCGATATCATCACTCAATCAGTGCATTTAGAAGCTCTTATCAATGCCGATGAACGAACGCTTCAGCAATCTCAATTGGAAAATTTCGGCCGGCAATGCCGCTCCGCCAACAGATGCGAATTGGGTTTGTTTTTGGGCTGACAATCTTATTGTTAATTTATAAAATTTAGTTGGGCATCGTGACCGTCAATATGCGTAACACTATCCGGGTGCTGATCAAATCTCTCAACAAGTTTAAAAAGGTAAGAAATTTGAGTAAACTAACAATGAACTTGTGCTTATAGCCAGCTGTTATTCAAAAACGAAACACGAGTCGAGCTCGATCGGGAACAATCGGTGTGAACGCTGAGGAAGGATCGAACAAAGGTTTGAATCTTAAGCTCTTGTCGAGTTTCTGGCTATTTTAAAAGTTTTCGGGTATTTTGAATGAGTCGTCACGCTTTGAAGGCCTATAACTTTGTTCAGAGGTACTATTTTTGTCAGCTTTTTTTTTAGGTTGGAGGAAAGTTCTCGAAAAAGTTTGTACGGGGATTTTTTTCCTTTTCTGGGTAAACTTGACTATATTTCAAAAGTTTTTGAAAAAACGGGGGGGTCGGGAAGATGGTTTAACAGCTTTTGAAGGGGGGGTTTTTGGTGCAAAAAGTGAGCTAAATTTAAGCTGGAAAATAATAATTTTCAAAAATCTTTAAAATTTTATGGGAAAGCTGCACTCATTTTTTACAGGTAAAATTTCTTGGAGTCGACTTGTAAATAATAGAACAAAATGTTCTTGAATTGGTGGATTCGTTTTCAAGAAATTCCAGTCAAACTTTTTCGAGAACTTTCTTTCCAACCTAATATCATTGTATAGGGGAGATTTTAGGCTTTTGAATGGTACCAAATACATTTTAATTGGGTTTTTCATTGCAAACCAGGCGACACTGCATCCGAGTTGGATCGGCCTCGTTTGCTAAGAGCTGGCTTTGATTATCCTGAACTGGATTATCCAATCATACTGTATTTGTTGTCATTCGAAAGCCTGGAATGCCCTCTATGCAATGATATAAAAAGTTAGCCATAATATTATCTGGATAAAGTTATAGGCGACTCATTCAAAATACTCGGAAACCCGACAAGAGCCGACTCTTATATTAGAGGAGATACGAGAACGATTGTGACGACTGTTTTCAGAAACTCAAGAGACCGATCATGTGGCCGATCCATGGGCTGATATGGATGATGACTTTGGACCGGCTGACGACTCATTCGATAACATGAAAGACGTGCCGCTACTCCCGGATCCAAATTCGCAACCAATTGGAGACAACCTACCACGGTTCTCGGATCTAAGTGAGTAGTGTTTGTTATTGCATAAAATACAAAGTGCTTTAGATCAAGAAGACATTCGTTGCGAGTTGATCGATCCGAAATTGCAACAAGCTCAGCTCAGTCAGGTATTATATGCATCTTTATTCTTGTATTTCCACTTTTTAGGTCGCGGATCCGTTCTCTCGTCATTCTCTACACTCGGCACTCGACACGGTACTTGCGCATCCTGAAATGAATGCTACTTCGCGACTGAACGTTTTCCTGCAACAGTAAGTTTTTTAGTGTCCGTTTGCAGCCGAAACACAATACTTAGTGCTTACACATCCGATGATTCGCGTTCCACAATCCAGAGGGCGGTGCAAGATTGGGAGGACTCAATTCTTCCTCTATTGGAAAAGGTTCGGATTTGTTGTTAATGCTAATGAAAGATTCACTTAGGAAATGCATCAAAAGGCATTTGACGTGCACGACTATGGAAAAAATACGATCGAGAAGTTCGACTCCATTGGGGAAACGGTTCCATTCGAGCAACTTTGTCAAGGCCTGGAGATTTATGAGGTACGCAAAAATTTCAATTTCTTTTATTGCGTTAGTTTAGGTTTCGCGAGTATTTTTATCCTGCTTGATGATGACGAATACAAACAATGTTGAGGTAAATCTTTTAAAACACCGTAACCTAAATTGCGTTTAGTTAAATTTCGATGCGAAAAATCCGATCGATTCGCTGAACCTAAAACTTCTGAACGCGGATCGACCGCACGAGCGCTTGGACGAGGATGGGATTTTGTAAGAAAATGATGATTTACAATTTATTTGTATCTTCGGTCAATTTTAATATTGTTTGCTGCTTGCATACCAAAACGCGTTGATTTTATAGGCATTTATGTTCTCGATTATCTTATTGGATGTTTCTTTAGGCATTTATATTTGCTATAGATATGTTTATTCTAATTGTACTTGGATGTTTTGTTGAATAAATCTCTCGAGCTTCCGTTTGACAATGAAAATTCTTGGAGATGAGAGTACTGTACTGGAGACTTTAGTTTAAATACTATTTAGCTACCGTAAATGCTGTAATTGAACGGCACCCTCTAATAGGACGACAGGGTAGAGGGGGAGGGAAAAATAGAACCGCACCCTCTAGTAAAATGGCACCTCTACGCAATTTTGTATTAGCACAATTAGCATACATTTTGTTGTTTTTATCTTTTCCTGCTTCTTATTATACTAATTTTATTTTGTCTTTCTATTGATGTAGATGGTTGGTACTATCCGATTATATCCCTGCATGCATCAATCCAGTTGTTTATTCCAACAAATTGAGTAGCATACAAGCTTTCGAATATACATATGATTACATAGAATTAAAATGCAAATTTTAACAAACCATTGTAATTATTATGGAAAATATTCAATCTATTAACTAGATATTGGATCCAATTTGGAACACACTGAACAACCAAAATGTACATGTATCTCGGGGGTAGGCTAATCTCCAAAAAGTTACTTTGTGTCAAATTTCTAAAAAACTTTACGTGGCTGAAAGTGGTAGGGATGGTGGAAAAAAGAAAAATTATTTTTTGAGTCGCAAGTTTTGGTTCTTGTTTTTTTGTTTTTGGCCTGCCTTTTGTCCCTTTTACCATCTCACGATTTCCCTATACAAAAAATTTCCCATAGCCGCCGCCAACACCATGGGATTTTTGCCATAAAATTGAAAACTTTCTATTGGCATCGTGGTCTCATATTAGAGTTAATATACTATAAACTAAGGTTTTTTTTTAGCTAAACACTCTATTCATCGTATGATATTCTGTCGTACATCAGGGTTTTTCAACACGCCTTTTTTAAAGAAGTGTCCCGTTTTTTCAAAAAAAAAAAAAAAACGCTGATCAATAAAGTGTATGGTTTAACATTTGTAGCTCCACAAATAGTGTTTCTTATGCACCGACCACGACACCGGTGGAAAGTTTAATTTTTAAAAAACAGGGGGGGGGGACCGTGATGGTATCATGACCAACCCAAAGGGAAATTCTTGTATCATGAGAGGGATCGAATCAGAGATGGAAAAAAAAGGCAAAAGAATAAAATTTGGACCGAAACATCTTTTACCATACTTTGCACTTTGAGCCACTTAAATTTTTTAGAAATTTGACACAAAGTTACTTTTTTTCGGACATCCCATAGATATTCACAATATTTACGGTGGATATTCACTTTCGAATTGGATTCCTCGCTTTGTAATTAGATCATTAATGTCTTTCAAAGATTGGACAAATGACTCTTGGTGAAATCTTCGACCTCCAACAGGAAGCTTGTTGTCTCATGTTAGTGACTCGTGCAAAGTCTATAGAAGTTTATCGAAAAAAAATAACGAAAATTGATAACAAATTTAGTTTTTCAAAAATCTACTAGCGAAAGATTTTGCGCCAACCAACTCGTGCACTAACCAATATTAGCTTACGGAATAGCAAGAACGATAAAATTTATACTTTAAGAACAAGAAACAAATGCCATACTCGTAATAACAAAATCTACAAAATGCCCTAAATGAGACCAGACTGACAAAAGATCCATGTAAAACACGCATATAGCAATGAAAAAGCTCAACGGGACAGTATGATATGATGACAAGAGTATTGGGGGAAACATAATAATATTAAACCACAAAGTGAAAAATAAAACAACGAGATCAAAATTTCCAATGTTATCTAGTTTTTTCCAAATTCCCGAAACATCATCAGCTGCATGCACGTTGACGCATCCTCTTTGCTGTCGTGTCCATTCACTAAAAAGAGAATTTTTTATCGTTTTAACTGATCAATGTTGGTTTCTTATCAAAACTTAGGACCCTAAGAAAATATTATTCTGAAAGCTTCGATAAACACCAACCATCCTCTTGAATAATCTTTAGTAGCTTCTCGGTGGCGAGATCCTTCAGCGACCATTTGTGATTCTCAAATTTGTGAGGGAAAACCTGTGCCGTATCGATCACCCGTTTGTGTACTAAAAAAGTAATGTAATAAGTTTCAAACTACTCCACGGCACGATTTGTAACCAACTCACCAATACGCATCGCCTTGAGATCACTTTCAAGCGAGTGTCCAATGAGAATCGTGTGATCGTTGATGATACGATCGAGCGCTTTCTGTGCCGCATCCCAAGTTTTCCCCTCTTTCTTCAGTTCATCGATCGTTAAACCGGAAAATCTAAAAAAGGATTGTTAGATTTGCTTGTTTCAACAATCGAGTGCACCTTGAATTTGGACAAACTATCGCATCGTCTGGGAGGACTTTGACATCAAGAACCAGCTTGTCGAATCGATCCACAACCGAGACTCGAGCAAGAGCCTGCAAATTTAAATTATTAACGGTTGCTTCCAAAGTATCGCTTACCGGTCCCCAAACCGTGTACACCATTTCGCAGTCGAGAGCGTAGACTTTTTTTGATCGTGGATCATCGTCACCAGTGGGCTTGTCGAATTCTCTAAAATACAAGCATGTTGCAGTCTGCCTGCAAAAGCTTGCCTGAAACGCAGCAAATCCGATTGTCGAAGCGATTCGGAGACGTGTCCTCGAGCCACCGAGCAACCCATACCGTCATTCTGCGCATCGCAACACGGGTAATACGAGACCAAAGCTTTATTCTCTAAAAGGCTTACATGATATAATTGCAAAATCGTCTGACCTCTTTTCTTCCTCATTCTCAATGGATGATAGAAGCATTGGGAATCAACAATCTCCCCATTCTTGTTCAGGAAAAAACGCTGTCCACAACGAGCACAATGACGTTCGAGGACTAAAAGCAAAATTGAGTTGTCTTAAGCTTTTTATGTTTTAAACTTATAGTACAAGGGTCGTAGTCCGTTTTAAAAACTTACTATAATCCGCAATAAATCGCTTATCTCGTCCCTCTCTTCCAGGTGCCGTGTCCCATTGACTTTCCGGGATGGCAACCTAAAAGGAGAGTAAGTTAGTACAATTATTTTCAAAAACCTGAATCTTCTCATCGTCAATCCAGTTTGGATAGCAATTCTTTTGCAGCTGATCGGCAGTTGATATGTATTTCTAAAAAAACATGGTAAATTCTACTAGGCATGCATTATTACCTCCATGTTGTTGTAGAACATTTCTGTAGTCATTTTCAACGGGTCCATATCGACACTCTTTCGTTTATCCTTGATGTTCATTGAGATTTCGCTAGCCTTTGGTCCAATCAGATTCGCTTGGTGGGAAACGGCTAAAAGGTGATGGATGTCATAAATTTAAATTCATAACACTTGCATCTCTTGTTCGAACTCGATGAACTAGCGCCACGAATTCTAATTCTCGCAGAAACAATCTAAAAATTTCAACAATTTGCAAAAAATTTCTACCAAAACCAGCCGTTTTCAGCTGCTAACACAAACACCAGCCTTGAATTGAGACGCTCATCGCGACTCACGTCGGGCCTCGCGCTTATCCGAAAGCCTTGTAACAATATCGGGATCTAACTACTATCCCTTCGAAGCAATACCGTGATACCCGAATTTTTAATTTCCTATGCAAATTTGGTTCTTGGCTATTCTTGCCACAATGGACCCTACTACACTTCGTAATGAGTACTAAAGCCGACTCGTATTAAAAATCTGATTAGGTAAACTGAATCAGCGGATTTTTTTACGTACCATCTAGTTTTCAATTCTCTAGTTCAACGCTTTAAGGTATCAGACGAACGGACCGTTTTATATATGTTAGATATATTAAATGAGATTTACCTTTTGTTCATATCCTTTCAAGTGCATAGAACTTTTTAAAATTTTCAGTTCTTCTTCCATAGCCTAAAATAAAAGTAAGCTGCTCACAAAGAAAAGCAGTAAACCTCTTCCATTGACGCTTGTGAACCATACTTCTTCTCCATTTCTGCATAAAGACTTTTTACGCAAGTGAGACGCGTTCGCATTGGCGCCCATGATCGCAAAGTTGGCTCAAGCAATCGCGGTGTGGAACTTGTTGTAGTCTAAATGCAAAACTTGCTTCCAATTAACTACGCATTTATTTACAAAAAAAATTGAGAATTAGCTTACCGGTACATGTGCAACTCGTGAACTTCCTTTTCCCTCGTGGCCCGTGAATGAACCAGTTTTGGGCGCGGTTGAAGCAAATTTGGCCGCTTTCTCCAGTCGTGCTCCCAATTGTGCGACTGGATTTGGTGGCTTTTTGATGTGATCCACTGGGCGGATTGGCCGCTGAGCTTGCTAAAGAAATTTCATGGTTTCCTAGATATTTTCAGTTAACTTAAAAAGCCTGATAGTACTAATATTATTAAAATCTCCATTTACCTGAGAGCCGAGTTTCTTGGCGGCATTCATTTGCGCTTCGGTGAGGTCACTCTTCTTCTGGAAACAGAACTTTGCATTTTAGATCACAAGGCTATTATTTACCTTGATCTCGTCGTGTTTTGATGTCGAAGCGGATCCGGTTTTGTGAATCGTCACCGTTTTCTTTGGCAATTTTCCATTATCGCTATTACTTGGGGCCACCCTTGAAGCATCTTTCTTCGAAATCGATTTCGGCTTGGCAAAATCGTCAGACTAAATTGAAAGTCTATACTTTCAAAATGGTAAAAGACTTACTTCGCCAAACAAATCCTGCATGAATTCATCTGTGGTCGAAATTCTTTTCCTGTCTTCAAAAAGCGGTTTTGGTTGATGAGACGATGTTGACGGCCGTTTCTCGCCGATTTTCTTCTGATCTGTCGAGTAGTTTTTTTCAAAAACGTTTCGCTTCTCTTTCAACTAGAATTTTTAAACAGATTATTCAATTCTCAAAAATATATCTCACTTCTTCGATTCGCTTGAGTTCCTCTAATGGAGTCGGTACGTAAGCATTTCTTGGTGGAAACTCAATCGCCTTTGCTTTCTTATTTGAATTGAGTTTTGCTCGTTTCGGTGGTGGCGGTGGTTTGAGCTCATCTTCAGAGAAATCCTCTTCAATGACCTCAATTGCCGGTTTCTTCTTCAAAGGTCGTGAGACTTCTTCTCGTTCCTAAACGAAGAAAAATTGATGATAACATTGTTCATTAAATCTTAGCCAGAAATTAACCAACCACAGAAGGTAGTCGTTGTGGGATCTCTTTTGGTTGTTGAGGTTGAGGTGCTTCTGGAAGTGGGCCGGAGATGCTATTCTAAAAATTTGCATCTAGGCATGTGAAAGTAGATTCACAAACAAACGCACTTCGGAAAGTTGTTGCTGAGGTACTTCTTGAATTCTCTGTGGCTGAGGTGATCCTGGAAGAGGAGACGACGGCTAAATAATTGCTTTGTTTGTTTTATGTTCAGCGTTTATGAGGTAATAAACTACATACTTAACAAACAGACCTCCGCCTGATTTTTCCCGAGCATCAAATTGTCCAATTTAGCTTTTAGCTCAGCTTTTCTTCTAAATATTCAAACTTTCAAGAACAAAAGTAGGAATTTAGCACCTCTCAATTTCTTCATACTCGGCCAATTTTGCTTCCATCTCGGCAATAATTCGCTTTTCTTCAGCCAGCTTTTTGTCGAGAAGAGCCACACTGTCATCAGTTGTTGACGTAACCATGTCAGACACGGCAGGTGTTGCTGGCTTCTGAAAAGAATCAATAAATTCATTACCATGCAAGAAGTTTAAAAATTAGTTTTTATTATCGAAAGAATATACCTTTTCCACTAATCCCATAAATATGACCTCATTATTTGGTTCATCTTTAATAACATGATTGGCTAAAAAAGATATAATTTATAAAAAAAGTGCTATTTACTTAATGATGCGTGGATTGCAAACGATGGTGTATAAACCGGTGTGATTTGCTCGTATCTCGGTGGAGTTGATCCAAAGTGTTGCGCGCTGGGAAAGAATTGCGGTGCATTTGATGTAGTAGGTATCTAGAAATAGAAGTTACTAATAGTGACATTAGTAGCGGCACCTGTTCAATTCCATTTTCCATGGGTGGCTCGTCGGTTTGCGCGATAGGCTTTATCACAATCGATGGACTGCCAGAATCAGGAATCTCGATATTGCACTTTGTTCTAAAATTTCATTAGAGCAATAGAAAGCTATTAAGCTAACCCTGGCACGGGTACAAAATCGAAGTGAGAGAGCTTCCATAGTGATGAGCCTTTGTGCAACCATGGATGACTTTTCACATCGAGGCTGGATTGATCTAAAAAGATATTCCTTAATTCAAGCTAACATAATCCTTATTCCATTTTAAAATTTTGTCAAGAACTTTATCACTTACGATTCGTGGATCCTCCATGATAGAACGGACAGTGTGGCCGCTTGCAATCATTGCGAGGACAGAACACTTTTCGATAAACGTCTGTGGGGAACATTCCCTTCCTGAAAATATTTATTGTGAACAATGATATACATCAACGAAGAAAAATGAAAACGAAAATAATAGAGTGAATTGGTACATTTGATGATCATTTAGGGGACCCAATCGATTGTAGAATTGTTGTTGATAGGAATTCATAAAATAAAACGAGAAATTTGAATTGGATCAGATATCGTAATATTTGCAATAGATAGAAGCGACTGCCATGGAGTGTTACATTAATCAAAAGAGAGACAAGACAACTCGCAAACACTCTAGGAAAGGGACATTCTATTACAGGGATAATGGTCAACAAAATGATTATTGAGCCTGGAGAACGGAGGCTTTTTCGGGTTGCATCGGTTGTCCATCAACTTGTCCAGAAGTGCCAGCCGACGAGCCATTTGCTCCTTGATTTTGCTTCTTCCTTCGGCAATACTTTCGATGAGTCGCCCAGTGACTTTGCTGACATTGCACCGAGCAATACGCGGTGTTCCAGCAGCAGTGGTAGATCGCCTGAAATTTATTCGTTTTATTTAAATTTGAAAGAGACAGTCAAAAAGTATCTATTGCCACATAAAAGATTAATCAACGGACAAACATTGAGGAATAACAGACAAGTAATGGTTGTGCATGTGTGAGTCTCAAAAAACTAAAAACCTCGTTCTCGCATTGCCAACACCATTGCTTCTTCTTGATCGTCGACAAGTCTCGCTTGTGTTTCTCTTGCAATTTGGTGATCTCCATCTTCAACGATTCACGGTATTTCGCCTCAAGTTCGGCGCGGGTCGTGTCCAGCTCGTCTTTGAATTGCGATAGCAAGTCGGTGCGTATCTTTTGCTGATCGGCGAGGAATTCCTGGTGCAGCTTCTCGGTCAACTCAATCAACAGCTTCTCGCGAGATTGTTGGTAGTCGTTGAGCCAATGTCGTTGCAAACTGACGATCATCTCCTTCATCTAAATAAAATGTATTGTATTTATCCAAATTTTGTTAATTTCTAACAATCGATCCGCTTACTCATAATCTTGCAAGTTTTCAGAAGGTTTTAAACAATTCTCCGGCATGAAGTCCCTTTCGATTCCCTTTACAAGTTTAGAAAGCTATTATATAGGCAACAAAGTTAAACTTAACTCACCCTGTCATCCAAGATCCATGGCTCATTTTCCACTTGTTCTTCTACACCGACACCGACGACCACGCCGACATTCGGTGCTTGCTCTTCCACCATTGTTTGGTGTCTAAAAAGAAAAATTTCCGATTTAAAAAACAAGAGCACGTATTGAAAGATAAAAGGTACGCAAAGACTACATAATACTAATGTTTGGATTTACGGTACGGGTACGGTGGAAAGATCAAATATTTCAAGCTTTGTGCATCAAGCCTCAAAAATTCTGGAAAATAAATAAAAAACACACGACTCTGAAGCTTTTCTGCAGATCAAAACATATTCAGGCGTTACGACATTTATGTCCCTTGATATTCAGTTAAAGGCAGCTGAATATTCTTATTTCGGTCATGACTTGTTTTTAAAGAGTTTTTAAATTTTGATTTGGTCAATTTGCGCCAAAACCTGTAGTTTGAAATGTAAAGATTGAGAAAGTTGCGTTGCGGGCGACAAATTTTCCACCCTTGTTCCGCTTTTCAAGCATTAAAGGGCATATTCTACCACTGATTCAAATAAAAGATTTAAAATTCTTGCTGTAAAGTAAGCTGTACGTATAACAGTTAAATGCCAATTTTCAAAGATGAAAATTTTTGAGCATTTATTCACAGAAGAGAAAAAAGTATTGAGAAAGCCGGCAACGAGTCCGCTTCTTTACTAACTACACAGCCTAAAAGACGGGAATTCAAAAGACAGAATGTGGGAAAAGAGAGCAAAATGAGCAAAATATAAGTCTATCACAAGCAAGAATTAATCTAACGATAATGCTAAAAGAAATACAATATAAGTAGGTAAAACTAGACAAAAAAACGTACAAAATGGATTGATTTATGTGATAACAGTTGGCTCTCGTCTGCCAGTGAATTGCTCCATTTTCGACACCTCGAGCGCTATCAAAACGAGTGGACGGAGGAGTTCCTAAAAATGTCATTTTAAAAATAACATATGCTTTAGAACCAACTGTTTTTGAGACGCTATTCAAAAACTGACCTGTGCCGGGAGTAAAAGCTTCGACTGATCTGATGGAGCCACATAAGAATCCACATACAGACGAATTGTTGCTCCAGCCGATCCAGTACCCGAGAGTCGAAGAACAAAGCGCGATCCATCGGTGAAAACGATTCGTAGTCCCTAGACAAAGAAATTTTCCGGTTAATGGACTTCTTTACCTGTTTCGAGGTCAGACTTCCATCGACGGGGTCTCTGTACTCGAAATTGTCAGCAGTATCTACCTAGACATAAAGCGATTAATTAAAAGCATTTATTTCATCAATTACCTTGTAAGTAACGCCGTTTGCCGACATTTCTTTGCCCTTGAATCCAAGCATTTGTGCCTCCAAAAACGTCATCAACAAATTTGCACCGCCGGCCTCCACGTTTTCGTAGTCGTATCTAGAAAATTTGAACGTAAAAAAGGGTTATCCGAAGCCGGTAAAGCTGACAAAATGTTATCCCTACGTACCTCTAGCTTTGTACAGGATTCTGAAGTTTGTGATAAAGCTTAGGTACTTTTTTTCAAAAATAACTAACCTTGTAAAAACGTTGCGTCCATACTTTGCCCAATGCGCTTTCACGAGCTCTTCAACGCCCATTTTGCGCTCGGCAACGATTTGGAGCCATGCGAGAAAAGCCCAAACACCATCTTTTTCACTAAATACAAAATTTCAATTCACAATATGATTTTTAGACTAGATTTGAGGAAATTGAGGAAATTCAGTTTTAAAAATAATTATTTTGACTATTGTAAATTCTCACCGAATATGATCTGAACCCGTTCCAAAGCTTTCTTCTCCACAAAGCACCATTCTTCCAGCATCCATCAGGTTTCCAAAGTATTTCCACCCAGTCGGTGTCTCGAAAATCTAAAGATTGAAATTTATTTGAAAAATTTGACCCACTTACATCGACTCCTTTCGCTTTCGCAACAAGATCAACAGCTGCAGCCGTGGGCATCGATCGGGCAAAACCTTAGCCAAAGATTTAAAAATATTCTAGAAATCTTTACCTGTAACTTTTTTCGATCTGAAGTACGGAATGCATTGAATGTTGTCGGCGATAACGGCAAGTGAATCAGATGGAGTGACGAAGAAGGCGTTTTTTCCGAGGATCATATTTCGATCCTAAAATAAAAGCTTGATACTTCATAGAGTTTGCTATTAAGTTTGAAGCTTCTATTACGGTTAGCTATAGCATCTTGCGCCTACTCCATCTCCATCAAAAGCTGCTCCAATATCGTGTTGTCCTTGGCCAAGTTGATCAACGAGACTTTTCGCGTAGGTGAGATTGGGATCGGGATGACACCCACCAAAGTCGACTTTTGGCAATGTTCTAAACAAGTTGATGTTGTAGATTTTGTAAACTTTTGGCTAAAGCTTGGTCAGTATAGATTTGGTTATTTAAAAGCTCCAAAACTAACCTCAATAAATCGACCGGATCACACTTCAAGATGTCGGCAAGAATCGAGCTCACATAGGGTCCAGTTGCGCCATGCATTGAATCGAGAAGTACACGGAATGGTCGCCCAAGGATTTCACCATGTAGTAAGGCTTTGATCTAAAATTTATAAAGTTTGTTTTAATAACAGATAAAATTTACCTTATCAAAGTCGAAAATCGAGCGCATCAAGTCCACATAAGCCGAGCAGGGATCGACTACATCGACAACAAATTTCCCGAAGCCATCAACCTGAAATTGGAAATTTCAGTGTGAATAGCTTCTCAGAACTTACATCAAACGTATATTGTCCAGTTTGCGCGACGTTACACTGCAAATCGTTACAGATTCGGTAGGATGTTAAATAAGAGGCTATTTTGTAGATACGATCGGTCACCTGAAAATTTGTTTTGAAAGCTTCAGAGAAAATGCGAAAATTTGTATTTGCACAGTCCGATAAACTTTGAGTTTGATAAGCAATAGCCTCACTAACCGAATCTGGTGCAGGTCCACCATTCTCGCAATTGAATTTGATTCCGAAATCACCCTTTGGTCCACCGGGATTGTGAGATGCCGTCAAAATGATTCCACCATCGATGGGTTTTCCCTGAAAAGGTTAAATTGATAGCCAACAACGAAGCAATAAAAAGTCCTTTAAATCCTCACTTGAAATCCCGCACGAATGATTCCGGAGACAGCTGGGGTGGAGAAGAAACCGTTTTGTCCAACAATGAGATGGCCAATCTAAAATCCATTTAGGAGCTTCTTGTTTTAAACTATTAGGGTTGAAAAACTTGCAAAACCCACTCCATTTGCCGCAGAAATCTTAATAATCGCGTTGACCGCTTCCACACACAAAAATCGTCCATCACCGCCAACAACGACCGTCGAGCCGACCTGAACACAGTTTTTGTTATTATTTTGCTTGTTGATAAGAAAATTGTTAAGAGTCGAAAGTTACAAGGCTTCATAAAAACAAACTGGCTACCTTTTTATCTCCAAGTCCACCATCGAGAACAGCTTGCACGAAATTCTCCGTGTAGTGCTCCTGTTGCCATTCTTTTACCTAAAAAATGAGACAGTTGATTTGTTAAACAAACTTAATAAGTTAAATGTCTAGTTTTTCTCTCTTTTGCCTTAGTTTACCGATAAAGTCAAGTAAGATAATCTTTTTAAACTTTAAACCTTACTCGTTTCCTCAGCCCGCTCGTTCCCGGTTTTTGTCCCTCGAATGGCTTCACATCAACCGTCGTTATCCCGATCATTTCTAAAAGATGTAAGATTTTAGAAGTTTAAAAAACAAGAAGAACAAAATAATCACGAAAAACTTACAAATACATTTTTAGTTTTCAAGAAAAACGACTTCTTAGAGCAAAAAAAATGTGTCGGTAAAGCTCTAATTCAACGATTTTTCGAACAATTAACAAGATTTACTTTAAAACTTTAATCTAAAGAGTTTATTTTGACCAAATCAAAAGACAAAAGACAAAAGACAAAAAGAAAAGAATTTTCATGTGTTCGATTTTCATAGATAAATATAGCTAAAACCAATAAACAAGGTGATTTTTAGGGGAAAAGGGAGAAAATGGCAACGGAGCGGTCAATAAAGTGCAGAGAAAAGCTCGGGAGGAAAGGGGGATGGGCAAAAAAAACAGGAGAAAGTAGAAAAGGGACGAGAGAAGTAAACAAGTGAACGAATTTTTTGTTGACCAAGGGGGTTAGCCAAGAAAAATGCTGTGAAATGACGAGTTCGACATACTTTTTACAAGTTTAAGATGAGGAATTTTGATACTTTCGACCAAATAGGATAGATGTTTAGAATCAAGCAAATTTCTAAAACCATTTTAAAAATTTCTCAAAAAACATCTTCCGGTCAAAAGCACAATGCATTTAGGCGAAAAGGAAAAAGAATGAGAAAAACGTGTGCCATTTGATCAACTCAAGAAAGCAGTGTCTGTTGTGTAATATAGAAAAGAGGACTTTTGCCGACTTTGCCGACAAAACACTCTCGATTTCTCTTCTCGTGTTTATCTCGCGATTCTTTTCCCCGTTATCAATAAAAGAAATCTTATTTGAATGGCCAATATGTGCACTTTATTGAAATTATAAAGGAAATTGGTAAGTAAGTGCAAATTTTATGAACAGATCGATAAATTCAACATAAACAAGGGAAAAAGTGTTCAAAATTTTTGAATTTCAAAAAATAGAATTTCTGGAAAAGAAAAATAGCTATTTTGGGAAGTCAAAAGCAAGCTACCGTGATCTAGAAGAGAGAAGAAAGCTATCGTAACCCCAAGAAAAACTACCTAGAAAAAACTTATGGTAGCTTTTTCGAGAAGCCAGTTTTTAGAAAGCACTTGAATCAAAGGATCCAAAAATAGCCAAATCACTCACAAGGGAAGTCCTTTATCTGGGATTGAGCTGAGACCAAATGGATCTTATAGAATCGACCATGCTGATTACGAAAATGTACCGTAAAAACTCTAATAGAACGGTCCCCTATAGGAGCGTCGCGTAGTCTAAGTTTACTCTCAAACAAACGCTCATATCTTTACACCAGTACGTTTGCTTCTGGGTATCAAATTAAAGTATAGGATGGGTGATTTTTTTTTGAGCTATAACACATATTTATAACATTAATCAGCGCTCAGAAAAAAATGATTGAAAAGTGGCAAAAAAGAATCGATTTTCAATCATTTTCTGAGCGCTGGTTAATGTTAAAAATGTGTTATAGCTCAAAAAAATCACCCATCCTCTCTACTTTAATTTGATACCTAAGCGCGCAGAAGCAAATGTACTGGTGTCAAGATCTGAGCGTTTATTTGAGAGTAAACTTAGACTACGCGACGCTCCTATAGGGTGGGGTTCTATTAGATTATTTACGGTATATAAGTTTTGCCCTCGTTCGCTCAAACACAAGATATTTGGAAAATTTTAGGAATTTCACGGAAATTTTAGCACTTACCTTAACCCCCTCATGCGTTAGAAGAAAGTGCTACTGTAGTCTAGTGGATAAATGTCTTGTATCAGACCAGACTCTTGATTGTTTCGTCGCTGGTTCGAATCTTTGTGCTGCAAAGCTTTTTGCTTTTTTATCTTTTTTCTTGTTTTTTTTTTGCTACGAGTCTAATAGTCTAATATCCACTAGACTACAGTAGCACTTTCTTCTAACGCGTGAGGGGGATAAAGTAAGTGCTAAAATTTCCGCGCCAAATATCTTGCATTTGGGGGAACGAGGGCAAAAGTTATAGACATATTCGTGATCAGCGTGATCGATTCTATAACATTCATTTGGTCTCAGCTCAATCCCAGATGCCGATCTGAAGAACTTTCCTTGTCAAATCATTGATTTTCAATGATATCTTTTCCGAGAACTGAAACCTTTGTTTTTCCCCAAAAACAGACCCAAATTTGTGACTCAAATTTGTCTCACAAACACTTTATATCAATCTGTTTTCTTTTCTTTGTCACATTTTCTCCATTTCCCATTCTTTGTATTCTTTTTTTTCTTCTTTTTTTCTTCTTTTTTTCTTCTTTTTTTCTTCTTTTTCCTTCAACGCGCGTCGATTTGACCGGTTTTTCCTTTCTATTTATGTTTCCTATCAACAACATACGTTTAAAATTCGGAATATCTGTATATTTGTATCAATTTTGAATCATTTTTTCTTGGAAAGTCGATGTTTAAACAAGGATTTAAAACTCAAATAAACAATTAACTACTTATTTTTACATCATTTCTTCCTGAATCTGTTTTAAAATGATCATTTCACAGCTGCTTTTCAAACTAGACAGATTCTATTGGGTTGGTGAATTGAAAACTGCGGGACTTTGAACTAACATTTATGCAACATAAAACCATCAATTCATTCGAAATAATCTCCATTATTATTGACGACTTCTGCCCATTTTACAGGCAATTTGCGGATTCCTCTTTCGTAGGATTTTGTTTCATTCAAAAGCTCTTGAGATTCTCTATTTTTTGGGCGCGTGCATTCGATAGATTTGAAGGAATTTAGAAGCGTTTGTAGTTTGTAGTTTTAGTAGGATTTTGGTTTTTGTGTGAGACAAGTGTGTGACTCAAAAATGGAGGACTGGAGACGGAGACTGGAGATCCCAGTTTGAGCACTTTCTTCAAAAGAAACCCATTTTGATGTCAATAGAAAAGTTGTAGAGAATCAAAAATTAGGCTTATAGCCAAATTTCCAAAAAGATACACTTAGTAGTTTCGCTTAAAATGAAAGTTTTGTGAAAATTCGTAACATTTGGCATTTCTTGAAAACCAGCTTTTGAATCATTCTGAAAATTTGGATATAAGCTTGATTTTTGATTCTCTACAACTTTTCCATTGACACCAAAATGGGTTTCTTTTGAAGAAAGTGCTCAAACTGTCACATATGACAATAGCCGGCAGTTTTCAATTTACCAACCCAATAGATAGAAAAGCTCATCCTCTTCATCTTCATCACTTCCTTCTTCTTCTTCTTCCTCTTCTTCTTCAAATAACTTCAAGTAACAAGTAACAAGTATAATGTATCTACAGAAGCTAATTCAATTCACCAACCCAATAGTTGAATTTTTAGACACAATTGATTCAATTACCCAACTTGGCTTAGGCAAAGTTTGCGGAATTGAAACTTGTGCGTTCTTTCTCTGTTGCTCGTAGGAAAAAGCGGCGTCTAGCATATAGGAATCCAAGAAGAGCCGCCGGAAAGCGCCGTCGCCGGTTTAATTACCCAAGTTTCGTGTGCCGAAAGGCAAGCGATTGTGGGAAAGCTCAAAGAACATTAATATTTGACATTTAATTCAAACTAACATTCAATTAGATTAAAATAATCAACAAAATGTTGTCTAAACGAAAAAAAGAAACGTTTGACACCTTTTCCTCCTTTTTTTCCCTCAAAAACTTGATCTCCTTATCAATTTTTTCTTTCCTTGTTTCTTTCTTTTCTTTTTCTTTCCTTTCCTTTCTTTCTTTCCTTCTTTCCTTTTCCCATTCACATTTAATTATGACGGAAATTCGAAGCTCCTTTCTTTTCTCTTTTTTTTTCATTTCCTCGTTCCGATTTTTCTCATTTCGTTGTTCAAAATCTGTTGATTCAAAGAGTTAGCCAAGAGCCAAGATTAACCCGAAATTCGTTTTAGAAAAAGTTTTAGATATTAGAAATGACTTTTTTTTTGTATAAATGTTTTCCAATAAGAACTGTCAGAAATTGGAAGCTGGAAGAAATGAAATCATTTCCTAGAGAGTTCTTTAAAGTTCTTTAAAGTTTAAAGAAATGAAATCATTTCCTAGAGAGTTCTTTAAAGTTCTTTAAAGTTTAAAGAAATGAAATCATTTCCTAGAGACTTCTTTAAAGTTCTTGAAATCTTGAAATCTTTAAATTATCTGTTATTTTCATAAAATTAAATATATAAAATTTTCAAACAAAGCTTTACCATTGAAAAGAGTTTATTTCCGTCTTTTGTTTTTTTTTCTGGAGTCTCAAAGTCGACATTGATTGCCTGTAAATTGTAATTAGTTGGCTATATTCATTTTAATTAGTTAGTAATATGATTAGTGTGTAAATTATCTGTAAATGATCTTGAAATTCTAGTGGATTTTTGAATTTATCTGTGCTATCGATATTGCTTTATACATTATATCATTATATTATACATTATATTTTCTTGCTTTTTATCGAGTCTTTTCGTGTTTATCATGTATGAATTCATTTGTATTCATCTTAAATCTTGCGCACTTTATTTCTCGTCTTGAATAAAGTACAGTCGACTCTCGATTTAACGATTCGCTTGGGACCAAAAATTTCGATTTAACGTTTCTAAAACGTGCTCCAAATTTCTTTCGTAGCTGCCCAACGATTGCATTTGACTGGACAGCTACGCAGAAAACAAAGGGCATTTTTTAAAATTTCAATCGAGAGTTTTAAAATTTCAATTGTATCGAGAGTTGTTAAATCGAGAGACTATATTTATAGATTCAGAAAATGAATTCAACACTGACAACATTGATTTTCGATGCGACAACTGAAACATCAAAGAGTGCCGCTGATTCAGCGATCGGATATGCTGGTGAGTTTCGAAAAAGTAGATTGAGATCTTTCTAAAACGTGCCCGACAACCGTAATCTCTTTTGTTTGTATTTTTTCTCTAATCTTTTTTTTTTTTTTTTTATTTTTGTTTAAAATACCGACTGGGGCTCCGGGTGAATTTATCGCAACACGAAATATATCAACACAATACAACGACACACACATACAGGCTATATCTTACTAACCCACGTCATGACAGACGGCCCCCCCTAAGCCAGGGGAACTAAATAGCTTTTGGTGGGAGGGAGATGACGATGAAGGAGTGGCTTGTCACTTAAGAACTGGGGCCACAACCACCAGACGCCCCCCAGAAAACCTCTCAACCCGAAGGGAAAGGAAATCCGAAGGGGGTGACCATATCGCATGTGGGGTTCGAACCCTCGACCTTCCGATTAGATAAAGACCAACCGCGCCCACGTGCTCCCATCTATTCCTTTTTTTTCGATCTTTTGTCAATCCTTATAGAAATAGAGCCAAAAAAATGGATAGATTCGATAAAAAAAATAGAGATTACGATAGTCGAGAAAGAAAATGTTTTAGAAATAGTTTTAGTTTAGAAATGTTTTTGTTTAGAAAAGTTTTAGTTTAGAAATGGTTTTGTTTAAAAATAGTTTTTGTTTAGAAATACTTTTTGTTTAGAAAAGTTCCAGAAAATACACGCTTCAAGGTGTACTCAAGTTTACAGTAGTTTTATTTGAAAGTTGACGCGTTTTAGAAAACGCAGAGATCTTGCTAATCGTCTCACTAGTGTTGTAAAAAGATGTCCATTCTGTGGCCTATTATTTAAAAAGAATATCCAGTGCATAGGTGCCTAAAGTACGGTAGACTAAAGTGTTTGTGGAAGGGCCACTTTTTAGAAAATAAAGCTTATTCATTTAGCTCTGCTAATCTCGTGTCTCGGTTTTGGTTTGATGTTCGCCCCAATGCGGAAAGTGGACAGTCGAGATGGTGAGTAAGAGATAGCGATGAGGAAAATTCTCCAACCCAAACCTAATTTCCCCATCGTTTTCTCAGCCGTCTCTTGGCCGATTGTTCTGAAATTTTTGCTTACAACTAGAAATTGAGATTGTAGAGAAAAATTTTGTATTTGCTTGTAGAGAAAAATTTCAGAGTAATCGGTGAAGAGAAAACTGAGAAAATGAAAGTGAAAATAGGTAGGGTTGAAATTTTTCGCTTTCTATTAGAATTTACAAGTCAAAGACTTTAGAAGTCAAAGGGTTTACAAGGCAAAGGCTTTACAAATCAAAGGCTTTACAAATCAAAGACTTTATAAGTCAAAGCTTTACAAGTCAAAGGCTTTACAGGGCAAAGCTTTACAAGTCAAAGCTTTACAAATCAAAGGCTTTACAAGACAAAGACTTTACAGGTCAAAGGCTTTACAAGTCAAAGACTTTACAATTCAAAGACTTTACAATTCAAAGACTCTAGAAGTATCGATTTTAATGAGTCAAATCATAGTGAAAGCTATTAAAAGTTGAAAAATTTCAAATCCTCTTCATATTTTAGGGTTTTTTGTGCAATGGGTCCAGTGCAGTGTCGTCTTCTTATTCGGCTTCATCATCAATATTATACGTGATTTTCCTAAATTTGAGCCAATCGCCGCCATTGGTGGGATACTGTATGCAACTGGTAAGCTAAAGTTAAAGAATAATAGCTAAAGAATGATAGTTAAAGAATGATAGCTAAAGAATAATAGCTAAAGAATGATAGCTAAAGAATGATAGCTAAAAAACGATAGCTAAAGAATGATAGCTAAAGAATGATAGTTAAAGAATGATAGCTAAAGAATGATAGCTAAAGAATAATATTAGGTTGTCCAATAAGTAATGCGTGTTTTGACACGATTTTCAAAATATCACAAAATTAACAAAAGAGAACTTTATTAATCGATATATTCTCCACAACAATCAACAACATTTCTCCATCGTCCGAGCAAAGAGTGAAGTCCGTCATAATAGAATGAAGCTGGTTTCGATGAGTAACATAGAAATAAGTAACACGCATTACTTATTGGACAACCTAATAGCTAAAGAATGATAGCTAGAGAATGATAGCTAAAGAATGATAGCTAGAGAATGATAGCTAAAGAATAATGACTAAAGAAACTATTCAAAGCTTGAGTAAAGATGTTCAAAAGTTTCCAGTGAATGTCGAATATTCTTAAGGAAATCTGTTCTCAATCCCGATCGTCGCAAGGATCGGTGCCGGGCTGTCACTTCTTTTCTGGGGATCTATACAGGTATTACCGTAACCCATTTACAAATACAATAATCTTGCTGATTACTAGATTACTGTGTCTGTTGCTTACTGTAGGCTAAAGCTATTATGGCAAAAGCTAAAGCTACTATGCAAAGTTACTGTATTACCGTAACCCGATTGTCGCTTGTCAAAACCAGCTTGTCAATTCAAAACACAGTAAACCAGATTCAAGATTTTTATGATTATAACTACTCAGTGTACTTTGTGCTCAATCATTTAAACATAAACCTTCTGGCACAGTGAATATAAATTAGAGGTGATGGTCGGTTGGGCGGTGGCTCGTTTCGGTCTTCCTTTTGATCTCCTCAATGAATCGCCCGTCCAGCACAATGCCCTCAATTACATCGGAATGTTTTTAACATTGATTTGGTTGGTTGCAGAATTTCGATTTTTTAAAGTCAAGCAAAGAGTCTCAATGCAAAATCTAGCCAAAATCTTGCATCTAGCTCAGGCCAAAACCAGGGTTTTCCAGGCTAGATCCAGATAATCTTTGTTTTGATCAACTGAAAGCCATTGGCTTGTCCTAGCCTGGCAACCAGTCCTAGCCTGGCAACCAGTCCTAGCCTGGCAACCAGTCCTAGCCTGGCAACCAGTCCTAGCCTGGCAACCAGTCCTAGCCTGGCAACCAGTCCTAGCCTGGCAACCAGTCCTAGCCTGGCAACCAGTCCTAGCCTGGCAACCAGTCCTAGCCTGGCAACCAGTCCTAGCCTGGCAACCAGTCCTAGCCTGGCAACCAGTCCTAGCCTGGCAACCAGTCCTAGCCTGGCAACCAGTCATTCTAATCAAAAACTAAGCGATTATAGTCAATCTAGTCGGGCACTAAACAATTACAGTCATTCTAGTCAAAAAAACTAACCTATTACAGTCCTTTTAAAACTTATGACATCATTATTCTTTATCAAAATAGCATCAGAATAGCCAGAAGAGTAGCTGAATTCAATCAAAATCGAGTTCTATTCTCTTTTCTTCCAGTGGAATCATGTTCATCTTTGTGAAACACGAAAATGATGAAAGAAATGTGATTAATGAAAAAGTTGAACAAAAGGAAACAATAGAATTAGAAGAGAGTCAGGTTGGCAGAAGAATTAAACTAAAAAAAAAACTCAAAACCAGATTAAGGTCAAAATCCAACAACAATCGGCAGAAAAGACGAGTTTAAATGAAACACTGGGCAAGTTACCGTAAGTTTTCAGTTATACTTTGTGCAAAAGTCTAAACGCATCCTCTCTAGTGCATCGACTTCTTCATTTCTTTCTGTACTTTGTGCTCTTACCGCGCGCTTTCTAGGCACCAAGGAATCTGCCAAAGAGTGCGCGTTTGTCGGCGCACACAAAGTACGAGGATCAAGCGCTGTACTTTGTGTGAAATACACAGCTTCTAGTGTATTGAGTTTGCCATTCTTGAATTGAAATGAAAATTGAATGTACCAGAAAGGATGCGTTTACATTTGCCGAGTACAAAGTACATATTTTCAGCTATATCGGCATGGCGTGTTGTCTAGGCGTTTTGCATGGATTGATGATGTGCCCACTGGATATTCTCAAGCAGAAACACCCATCCGATGACAAATATCGAGGTCGATTCTTCAATCGATTCCCCTTGTACTTTGTGCTCCTTTAAACACACTTTCTCTAGCGCACAGAGTTCTTTATTTTGAGCACAAAGTAAAAACCAAAATAAGCTTTGTTGCTTGAGAAAAGTGAAGAATTCAGTGCACTAGAAATGGTGTGTTTTGAGAATTTTGAGCACAAAATACTTACCGTAAATACTGTAACAGTACCCCACCGCCCATAATGACGGTGCGGAGTGTTGCGTAGTCTAGCTTTGAACGAGTTTTTCTCGACACTGGTTTAAGCTAAAATCTTCGTTTTGGTATCAAAGAATAGCTGAAATTCGGGGCTTAGGCTTAGAGTAGGCTTAGAGCTCCCACAAATGTACTTACCGTAAATACTGTAATTGAACCCCACCGCCCATAATGACGGTGCGGAGTATTGCGTAGTCTAGCTTTGAACGGGTTTTTCTCGACACTGGTTTAAGCTAAAATCTTCGTTTTGGTATCAAAAAATAGCTGAAATCCAGGGCTATTTTTTTGATACCAAAGGCGCATTTTTTGAAAGTACGGGTGCTTTGAAAAAAATGAAATACTAAAAACTGCGGCTACGCGACTGTACGGGGGCGGTGGGGTACTAGTACAGTATTTACGGTAAAAATAGCTTTATTTCAGTGTTCGACTTTTGCTTTTCCTACTTTAGTACGATATTTTTCTTCTCTACAATCTATTTCGTTATTTATTGCGTCGTGAGGAGAAAGAAGATTTATGTGAATAGGTTGTTTACTTTGAAAATTTCGACCCGAAGCCCCTTCCCCTCATGGCCGACTGGCTAAGAGCCTTGGATCTGAGTCGGGTTCAATCTCGAGGGGCCAAGGGTTCAATTCCACGTTCCAGTTTTTTCCCTTTTTTTCGGTCGCTATCGCTAGATCCCTTTTTCTTCTCTACATTTAGGCTTAAAGCATTCAGCATTTAGTGCTGTTTATTTTTCGTACTACATTATTCGTGTAAATGTATTCCAGCGCAATCATTCTCCCAACGCTTGTCTACGGGATTCTGTGGAATGTCGGGATGACATTTTGGTTCCTTTCAAGCGATAAATTAGAGCAAACCGTTGCCTATCCTATAACGACAAGGGTTAGTTTATGAAAAGAGAAATTAATAGAGAAACTAATAGAGGAACTAGTAGAGAAACTAAAAGAGAAACTAATAGAGAAACTAATAGAGAAGCTAATAGAGAAGCTAATAGAGAAGCTAATAGAGAAACTAATAGAGGAACTAGTAGAGAAACTAGTAGAGGAACTAATAGAGGGACTATAGAGAAACTAATAGAGAAACTCTTAGGTCTAGGAGAAAGTGTTTGTTCGCTCGAACGAAAGAATCCTAGGAATCATTAGAGAAATCGTAGAGGTTCTATGCCTGAATCCTTATAGATTACTGTAAGTATCGTAATCCAATAGTTCATATAGCTTTTTATCTCTTGAAATTCCAGTTACCCGCCATCATGAGTGCCCTCATCGATGTCGTTATTTTCAAAAGTATTCGGGTGAGTGAAAAAGTGAAAAACTTTTACTTAAAATCTACTTTACGATAGTTTACATAATAAAAAGAATTTCTAGGGTCGAAACAAATAAAAAAGATAAAAAAGAATTTCTAGGGTCGAAACAATCTCCTCTATTTGTCTTTTTGTTGTCTTCTTGGTGTCATGGCTGTCATTTTGATTGCGTTATCGAATCAGAAATTTTAATTGATTTCGATTTTGAGGAAATGAAAGTTTTCTATAAATAAAAAGAATTGAAGAGTTGAATAAGATGAACAAAATGCAGCAAGTCTTTGTTTTCCATCGAAATTGCTAAACAATTCAAAATTTCATCCTAGACACATTCTGGGCACTCAGGTTACTGCTAGTTTGAAACTTGGGTAATCAAACCGAGGAAAGCGGGTCGCCGCCTGGGTATCTAACCAGCCAGTGTGCCAGATGACGCTTTTCCTGAAAAAACACACAAAGGGTACGCACAGCGGTCACAGTAACTATAGCCGCAGTGGGTTATAGTTACTGTGTTATAGGCCATAGTTTTGCCAATGCTGCTATAGTTTTCTAAAAGACAGCTATTCTAGTCAAACTACTGTATTCAATCGCCAGTTTACATTGAAATAGAGAAAACTTCTTTTATCAGTGTACAAACAATGTTTCCATTGCTGAAGAATCTACCGCTGATACTCATTAACAAACTTGACTCAGGCTTTCTTCCTTGTTAAAATCAATCGTTTCTTGGAAGACTTTGTTTTCCATCGAAATTGGTGAACAATTCAAAATTTCATCCTAGACACATTCTGTGCACATTCCGGACAGTCGGGCTACCGTCTGCCTCAAACTTGGGTAACTAAACCGAGGAAAGCGGGTCATCGCCGGGTATCAAGCCGGCCTGTGTGCCAGCTGCCGCTTTTTCAGAAAATACACACAAATGGTACGCACCCCTTAACAAACTTGACTCAGGCTGCTAAAATCAACGGTTTTTTTTTGCAGAACGAGATATTGCACTATTCGCGGAATGATCTTATCTTTCAAAGAAGCTAACAAATCTTTGTAGATCTCAGTTGCAGACTTTTCTGGATTACTTTTCGATATGGTTTAAATCCTGTTATCGTCTCGAGTAGTGGAATGCCGACTTTTTGCAATCGTGTTTCCTTTTGTCTTAAAAAGCTTCAATTCCTGAAAGAGTTGACTGATTGATTCTCAGAATGGTAGCAATTCGATCGTGTCGCTGATCAGCTTGATGAAAAGCTTGATCGTATCCTAAATGACAGACTTATTGTTTCTTGTCGGAAGCCATTGACTGAAATGATTTCTCTGGGTGTCAATGTCTAAAATATCAATAAAAACTAAAATACTAAATGTCAATCAAATTCTAGTTTGATTATAAGAAAATAAAAGAAAAGAGAACAGAAAAATAATCAAAATTACTTCATAATTCAGAAATATGAAAAGTTTTTGTTGTAATTTTGTATAAGCTTCAAAAGCTTCAAAAGCTTCAAAAGCTTTAAAAGCTTCAAAAGCTTTAAAACTTTTTTTCTAAAAGTCTATTAGATTAAATGAATTATTTTAAGTAAACATTGTATTTTATTGCAAAAAAAACAGTTGCTTTTATTGCAGAAAAAGAGCTAAATTATTTAAAGTCTTTGCCCACTATTGTATATGCAATTTTCGAAAGTAATTCTTTGAAGGAAAGGAAAATCTCGGAGGAAAATGCATTTCTCGTTTATAATTGAATGAGTTCCGCAATATGATTCGCATTTTTTAAAATGATTTTTCTCTCAAAGTAAGACGTTATTTACAAATTTTCTCTTTATTCTTTTGAAGAAATGAATTAAGAACATTTAAATTGAATTAAGACAATCTCTTTTCAAGATCTTCAAATTGAAAAAGAGTTTCGAAGATCTAGATTCGAGAGTGTCTGGGAAGGGTTTTTCTGCTTATTTTGCATCATTTTGTTTATGTTTCCTAGAAATCTGAATATTATTAGTATACTATTGGTGAATTATTAGTATACTGTTGTATACTGTTCGAATTATTAGTATAATGTTGTATACCGTTGGAATTATTAGTATGCTGTTGTATACCTTTGGAATTATTAGTATACTGTTGGATACCGTTGGAATTATTAGTATACTGTTGGATACTGTTGGAATTGTTAGTATACTGTTGGAATTATTAGTATGATGTTGTATACTTTTGGAATTATTAGTATACTGTTGGATACTGTTGGAATTGTTAGTATCCTGTTGTATACTGTTCGAATTGTTAGTATACTGTTCGTGATTGGGTTGGTGAATTGAAAACTGCGAGACTTTGAACTAAAATTTCTTCAACATAAAACCATCAATTCATTCGAAATAGTTTCCATTATTATTGACGACTTCTGCCCATTTTACAGGCAATTTGCGGATTCCTCCTTCTTCGTAGGGTTTTGGTTTGTGTGTGAGACAAGTGTGAGAGTCAAAAATGGAGGACTGGAAACGGAGGTTGGAGATGTCCAGTTTGAGCACTTTCTTTAAAAGAAACCCATTTTGGTGTCAATGGAAAAGTTGTAGAGAATCGAAAATTAGGCTTCTAGCCAAATTTCCAAAAAGATACACTTAGTAGTTTCGCTTGAAATGAAAGTTTTGTGAAAATTCGTAACATTTGGCATTTCTTGAAAACCAGTTTTTGAATCATTCTGAAAATTTGGATATAAGCTTCATTTTTCGATTCTCTCCAACTTTTCCATTGACACCAAAATGGGTTTCTTTTGAAGAAAGTGCTCAAACTGTCACACATGACAATAGCCCTCAGTTTTCAATTCACCAACCCAATAGATAAATAATGGCTCAAAAACCCTAAGAAGGCCAAAGAACAAATTGGAGTATAAGAGTAAAAGGAGGTGAAAGAGAAGGTGAAAAGGATGGTTAAAGGAAGTGGGGTAAAGAGGTGGGGGTGTGGCTGATTGGAGCCCTGTGCAGTCCTCCCCTTTACTCCCCTCCATTTCCCCTGCCCACCTTGAAATGCCCCATTCATCCTCCCAATTACCCGAAGACCTTACGAAAAAGAGCTGAGGTCCTTTAGGAAAGAATTTTTCGTTAATTTTTTTGTCCCAACGGTTGAATCTTTTACTTAACAACTTCTCGAATCTCCATTGAATCTCAAAGTGAAGGTTGAGGCTTTTATTTCTCAAGTCTAGCTTTTTTTAAGGACATCCGGCATTTTTCTTTACATTTTAAAGTCTTTATTGATCAAGTCATTAATTTTATTTTAATTTCAACGTAAAGTTATTAAACAAAAAAAAGTTAGCAGATAGATTAAAATTAATGGGTTTTCTCAAAAAGGAATCCAGAACTATCGTAATCAAAAAATCAAAACGAATTTCCATGAAATCATCTCAATTTTTGTATCATTCGAAACCTCATCGAACGATCTACCAAAATTGAGTTGATCAAATGAAAAATTTCGGTCAGAGATTACAGTAGTTTTTCTAGAAAATTTCCCTCCACATGAGTGCCTTTAGAAAGCGCTTTCGTGTCGTTTTTAAATTCGATTTGTTTTGAATAAAAGCTAATAACCAAAACATCCGTGTTTTTTTTTCAAAATAGTCACTTTCAAGCAATTTTTCCACGTTTTTCCGCCCAAAAATCGGCACTCATGTGTAGGGGAATTGTGGGAAGTGAAAAGCGGTCAAAAAAAAATGTCCAAAAGGAACCTTAGAAAAGGCGTAAAGATCCAAAAGTTGAACCGAAAAATGTTTGAAAAATTTATCGGTTCCCGGTTCCCAACTTCAAAAGGGTTATTTTGATGGAAAAACAAAAATCTTCAATTTGACCCGAATCTAAACTTTGAAAAATTTAAAACTTAAATATTATTTTTTTCAAATTTCCGCTAAACTTTGAGCTATTTAATTTTCTCAAATTGTTGTGAGAAAATTTTTGAAATGTGAATGATTCTCGATTTTTCGTCTTACTCACCTTTTCACAGGGCCCTCGCGAATTTTCACTCAACTTGATCCAATGTAATTCGTGATTTCATTTGCTTGAACCACTCATTATAGGCCCGAGAATCGTATCAATTATCTTGAATTTGAAATTCATTTAAAAGCAACTTGTGATCCATTCTAAATTCGATTCAAAAGCTACAAGACATTTTTTCATCAATTCCTTGTAATTCGTTTATCTTTTTCAAATTCCGTGTCAAACCCATTCGATTTCAGGGTTCTCCCGATAGTTCGTGATCATCTATTGTGATCATCTCCATTGATCCTGAATGTCTCTCCAATATTTTCTCCATAATTTCCTCTTTTTCTCTCTATTCATTATTTTCTCATTTCTTCTCTCATCAATTCAATCATCGCCATTGTCGAGAGAACAAATCGACGAAGTTTTCCCACTTTTTCTCGATAAACGCAATTTTTATGATGAATTTCACATGTAAGTTTCTTTTTCTTCTTCGGGAATTGAATTTTCAAAACTTTAGGGAAAGCTGAAGATGGACATTTAGAAAAATCTCTTTTTACCGTAATCTTACCTCTATTTTTATCCAATCTATCCACTTTTTGATCTAATTCCGTAAGGGTTCACAAAGGATATCGAAAAATGGATAGATTAGATAAAAATAGAAACAAGAGATTACGGCAGTCGGCACGTTTTAGAAAACGAATTTGTTGAGAGGAACATCGTAATCACTATTATTATAATCTTACACGCAATATCAAACACAATCCAAACCTTTACCCAACCACGAAATCTTTCAGGAATCCTCATCTCCGTGCTCGTTTCCTTTCATTGATGGAGGGCAACGTTCTCAGCGCACAACGTCTTGGGTAATCTCGATAAATCAAGTCGAAAATCATGTACAAATCCGAGGGAACGATTTTTCATTTTCTCACTTGTTAAATAAAACATTTATTCAGTTTATTTACAAATGCACAACGGTGGATATATTGATAATCACACAGATGATATAAAAGAAATACATATAAGCGATGGTGAAAACAAGAAAAAGAAAGGCATCAATTAAAACATATCTGCTCATTTCATTCTGCGTCCTCGTCTTCTTCCTCTTCAGTGTTCGTACTTTCGTCGTCTCGTTGTTCTTCCTTGGGCTCATCGCGAATTAGTGAGGCTAAAATTTTTAAATAGCAATAATGGCTGAAATTATAGCCTAGATACTAATTAAACCAGTAGTCCTTCTATATTTTACTACAAACCTAAGCTCTTGGCTTTAGTTAAACTATATCACAAGCCAAACCTCTCCTTTGTAGACACCGCTGATCACACGGTAGATTCTCTCGACTCATCGACAAAGCCAAATTCATCGTCGACATCGTTTGCACTTGGGCGAGCGCTTGTTGAGCCTAAAACAAAAAGAATTGTTTTATATTTTGATCACTAATTCACTTCACGTTTCATTGAATGAGTGCAAGTGCGTGTTTCACACAAAGTGTAAAGTGTGCATTTCAACTCAACGCAAATTTTCCCACGGTTTCCATATCCATTAGCGCAAAAGATTCGCGATCAGTGAGTTAATAAATTATAAAAAACAATCATTTGAATGTAAGATGGAATTACTAGAATCTTTCCAGGAAACATGCTAAAATCCTAGGAAAAAAAGCTTTGAATCAAATTTTAGTCTTTACTCAACGTTTTTTTCCATTTAAGCACTCGAATCGTCCCAATTAAACAAACTTTGAATTGTTCCTGTTTCTTTGCCAATTTCACACTTTCCGGCTCGGCGGGGAACATCAATTTCAGAAACCACGTCACCCCGAAGACCGTATTCTAAAAACATGCAAAGTGATAAATAAGAAAACAGATAACTCACAATAAAGCAGGACATGAAAAAGACTCGGTAGAAGAAAATCTAAAAAGCGTTGAGTGATTGCAGTTAAAGCAGCATTTACTTGAAGAAACTCGGGTGATCGTTCAACGGTGTTCGAGCAAGTGTCATCTTCCGGTGCCAGTGAGCAAGGAGTCTTGTACATCCCATAAAATCTAAAAAAGCATAGAATCTTTCTAGATAATCACAAAGTAATTGCATACCTGCATTCAGTGACATTCTTGTGCATTGATCGACTGATCGTCATGTTTCTCGTGTCGAATCGAGCGTAGACAAAGTCGAAATACTCAGCACCTGAAACAAAAAAAAAGACTAGTTGAATAAAAATAATTGAAACTCACCAAGTCCATATTGAGTTGCATTATGAAAATTCTTGAAAACATAGACGAGTCGAGGCACGATATCCGTTGTGAACGCCAACACAAAGCCCTAAGAATAAATCAGCTGAAAGAAAACCCTCTAACCAAATCACTCACATTGAAAGGTACAGCAAAAGTAGCAATCATATTCAACAATTTCATCCAAATACCAATGGATGGGGCCATTTTCGGGGTTGCACGACGAGCCATCTTCGTCCACTAAAAGCGCAATATTTTGATCAAATAAATAGGAAAAAAAAATACCTTGATTGCATCAGCTCGTAAACATATGATGTTAACTATTAAGGCAAGGAATGGTGCAAATGGGAATGAAGCCGAAAAGAGCACAACAAACGAGAATTGAATTACTAAAAGGAATCAATCACATAAACATTTGTTAAAAGTTTACTCAATCTCAAATGATCGTAGCAGAGCTGTTGCTTGGAGAATTGCGGCAAGAAGAAATCCCGTTCCCACGGTGGTAAATAGCAACCCTTTTGCGAGCGAAGGCACACACGTCGAAAGACACCATACACCCAACTAAAGAACAATAATTAAAGTAATTTGAGTTCAAATTTACGTCCACTTACATCCAAAACGCCTTGAAGATCTCTCGGAATATTTGCGTAAAGCAAAAGAACACAATCATCGCCTGATCAAGCTCCTAAAAGTAGTCGGTTTCGTTGCTTTTTCTTTAATCCATGCACCCACCTCCATACATGTGTAGCTGCAAGTATCGACAAACCATTTCACCCATGGCCCATTAAAACTCAACAAATTCGATTCGCTGCCAAAACGAACCGCCCAAATAGATACCCTGAAACAAATGCGTTTACAAAGCTAGATAAAAAAATGCTCACATTGTTCTCACAAACACAATGTAGAAAAGTGGAGCGAAGTAGTCGAGAAACTAAATGATGCAAAAATGATAAATTTACAAACAAAACACAAAATACTTCAAAGATAAAGATCATCTTCGAGTATTGATCATCAAAAGCTCGTTGCGTCTTCGGGTTCTCCCATTCCACAATCCATAAACACGTTTTCTGACTGATCTAAAAAATAAAAGAATAAAATGAATTCCTTTTAAAAAGAACACACCCAATTCAGCAATAAAATTGTACCCGAGTGTACAAGGGCGGCCACGATCGCAGCTCCAATGATAGTAAATCTAAATTCGAAAGGTCAAATGCAACCAAGAAACTTTAAATCTCACCTATCAAGTGGATGATTCAAAATGTGCAACATAGCGGACCGAATGTGATATTTGAGGAGAAGACACCCGAAATTCACCCCCAGAATCATAACCACCTAAAAATTAACAGTAAGATATTATTCAAAGCTTTAATCGAACTATTTATAACCAATTCCAGCACCAACCATGAGCACGATGGTGAGCGTTTGAAGGGAAAGAACGCTGAGACGGTGAAGTTTCGAATGAGCCGGCTCTTTTCTCCCAGTGATTGCGTTAAACGTGTGACGTTTCACGTTTGCTCGCACAAACTCTGGTCGTAGCATTTCCTGAAGAAAAAACGTGAATTGAAAAAGAATTTCAAGAAGACATTTTATCCTGTTTTAAAAGAGTTTTAGAAGGAGTTATGTAGTTAAAATTAACCTCATCATAGACGTTGTCCATCAAGAACCATCGATGCACAAAGCGGGCCTCTTGCCGTCGCAGATATTGAACGAAGATTGCCGCCCAAATGCAGATGATCATCGAGTGGATGAGTGGAGCAAGTGAATGCGATGTGTAGACAAGAGCCAACTAAAAAGAAAATCGTTTAAATAACAAAGATACGTAAACAGATATTGAAATAGTATTTCCTAGTGATGATAATTCAAAATCAGCTTTTAATTTGCCTCATTGCACATCTTTCCCAAACAAACTTTCATATTTTAAAATCATTCACCGGATGATCGCAAATATGTGTCAAAGATTCGAAATCACAATTGAGAGAGCATTGCGGGCAGATCAAGATCTCTTTTGTAGCATTTCTGTACTCTTGACACACACCGCGTGGAATCACTCGTTCACTCAATCTAAAAAAAGAACCGATAATTTATTTTTAGCAGCTTCACTTACATATTCAACTTATGCGATGCTCCATCTTGCCATGTAGAGAAAAGCTAAACAAACCAAGATGGTTTTAAATTTTAAATATCAAGCTACCCGAAAAATGACACTGGGCAATGAGGCGAGCACGAGCCATGAGATGTATGATCCAAAGAAGACAAAGTAGAGAGCGATTTGTGGGCCGAAATATGATCTAAACAATGATCTTTGATTCATTTTGTTTCAAAACGCTTACCTAACCACATCCAATGGTTGCTGCATGAAGAGGGCAAAGAACGACGCCCAATGGAAGCTCAACCACTCTCTTTCTGTCGTCTCCTCATCGTCGTTTCCTTCTTCGTTTCCAACAGATTCTTTGCGTTTACTCAGCTTTCTTGCCAATTCACTCGGCTATAATAAAATCTATGATTTCAAAGATTATGCCTTTAAAATACCTCATGTAGTGGATAGGCGGTTGTGTAGATGTTTTGATTGAGCATGCTCTGGAGGCCAACCTAAAGAAAAAGAGCTTTAGAGGCCTAAAGAAAGACCTAAAGAAAGAAAACTTGTTTGTGCTTGCTAGTCTCAAGCTTTGTACATCTAATAGAGCAAGAAATGCACCGTCTATTTAAATATTTGCCCCCTTTTTCTTTTTCATCAAACCATTATTACCATTTCATTTTCGTGATGCGGCCCGTAATTCGTTCTCGCGAGAAGATCCCGTACAACCAACGCTCGATCCGACAAACTCCACCCGCCTGGTTGTTGTTGCTGTTCGTTGCTAAACACAGATTTATCCAGAGTTTAAAAAGTCTAAAGCAACCTATGTGGTTCCGGTTCCTCCTGTCGCCAAAACATAAAGAAGCGAAAAAATTGCACCACCGTCGTCTTGTAATCGGGCAGAGTCCATTTGTTCTAAAAACGATATTAAACAAAGTCTTTTAAACACCAAAGCTCGCCATTTTCTTTTTGAGTCCAATGATGTCCGAGTGTTTCTCCAAAATGTGGCTCGGCGCATGAACAAGGACAAAATAGCGGCGCTTAGCCTAAAAAGTAAAAGTGCAACATAAACAAGGTTGAGATCAAATATTTAGCAGATTACAATGTTTAAATTATCGTTCCAGTTTCAGGCTTTTCAATTGGAAATAGCTTTAACTTTCGAGAGTGTTTAAACAAAATAGTATTGCCAAATTTCTAAACGAAAGAACATGAAAAGGCTTACTTGATGGGCGGAGACAATGCGAATTTTGAGGCCAGCCTCGATGAGCCGTCGTTGGTAGATTTGGCGATATTGGCGGCGTTGACGAAGGATCTCGGCACGCTGAAAGAAAACGAACATTGTCAATGCAACTTAATAAGTTCAACAAAAAGATTACCGTATCCGGTATTGGATGCGGCAAACTAACAAGGGTGGACACATGGCCAACAAGACGGACATGCGGCTCGAAGATGTCCCTCCATTTATCCACTGGCTCTCGATATACCAACACATAGTCGATCTGAAAACAAACCCATCAAATCTATAAAGCTATTTATCATATTTAGAAGTAATTATTAAAGAAAACTCGAAAGATATTTGAAGATGGAAACAAAAAAATGGCAAGGATTTAAACCATTCACATATTTTGAGCCAATTGAAGCTGATTATCAACATCAATACAACGTCAATTTAGCATCAAAGTGATTAAGATTCAGAAATTCGGAAAGTAAGCATCATTTACAAGCAGATTTCAATTCTACACCCAGTGCAAACACATTTACACAGCAAATAGTGTAGGCGGGCAATGCAGATAAGTACAAGTTAGCTATTTAAAATAAAACAAAACAAAAGAAATACTCACTTTGAGCTCACCGTCGCTACTCGTTTCCATTTGATGAGTTGAAAGAAATGAAAATTTTTCGCAAAACTCTCGTTTAATATATATACTTTAAATGGAAATTTCGCGTAAATTGTCTCGTTTTTGACGTTGTTAATTGAAAACAGTATTTTGGGGTGGTTATTTTACGCCAACTTTTTAGCGCAACTATCGTAAATACTGTAGTAGTACTTTGTAATAAACTGTAATGTAATAGTAATAGTAAATACTCCACCCACCCCCCCTTCGTACAGTCGCGTAGTCGCAAAAGTTTTTTAGTATTTCATTTTTTTCAAAGCCCCCGTACTTTCAAAAAATGCGCCTTTGGTATCAAAAAATAGCCCTGAATTTCAGCTATTTTTTGATACCTAAACGAGCATTGTAGCATAAACCAGTGTCGAGAAAAACTCGTTCAAAGCTAGACTACGCAACACTCCGCACCGTCATTATGGGGGGTGGGGTACTATTACAATATTTACGGTAGGCAAAATTGTGTCAAAATACCTTTTATTCATATAAAAGCTCTGAAATTGATGGAAAAAAATGAATAAGATCAGCTTTCCTATCTTTTTAGGAGCTATCTATCTCTATCTTTTTAAAATCTTAAGCTCAATGTGATTTTTGGTTTGAATCGCTTTTCTGAATTCATTACAGAACGAAAAATTGACTTAAGATAACTTTTGGATAACTTTACATTCGTGATTTCACGAGATTTCACTTGGCAATACTTTGATCTAAACTTATAGAAACTCTTTTACAATTTCTTCACTCATCCAACATCCTATTCTTCCTCCTTTTTCCCCTTCAATAATCCCTATTCACTTTTCTTTTCTATTCAACCATTTCCCCCTTTATTCTTGACCAATCTTTAGTTGATTTTGTTGATTTTGGTGTCATTTTGTAGATCTCAACAAGTGTAACAAAATGACATCAAAATCATAAAAATTGGCCCAGTTGAACAAGGTTTATAGTATTAAAAGTAACAAATATTTATTTTATAGTATTTATTGAATAGTATTTATTGAATAGTATTTATTTAATAATATTTATTCAATAATATTTATTCAATAATATTTATTCAATAATATTTGAATATTATAAAGAATATCTATTCAATGATCAGTTAATGGTTTAGTGGGTGGAGGAGAATATTTGAAGACGATTCCTGTATCGGATGGAAGTGCGAGAGTCTTTTCGGAGAGATTCAACAAATTACGCGATCGCCATTCAATCGAATTTGAAGTAGCGACAACAATCTGGAATTTTATTTTAGAATTTGTAATTTTATTTGTAAATCTATTTGTAAATTTATTTGTAAACTTATTTTTAATTTCACTCATTTACTGTTTATCTTTTTATTGAAGCGCTTTAAATAGTGATGTTAGAAAAGCTATTGTAAAGCTATTGTAATCTCGAAGCTATTCCAAAACAACCGTATTCTCTCTAATCATCTAATCTCTAATCTCTAATCGTCTAATACTCCAAAACTATGGTAGTTTTGGAGTATTAGAGAGATTCACCTAAAGCTTTGCCTAAATTCCTCAAAATCTCGAAAAGCGCAGAAACTATCGATGTGAGGTCGGAAAATATAGGTGACGATGAGATCTAGTGGGGGATTAGAGGGTTGAGCTTTTGTGAAAGGTTTTAAACTGTAAAATAGTCATCAACTCGACTCGACGCGGTGCACTATTAGAGAGAATATGGTATTTCAAAGCTATTCAAAAGTTATTCAAAAGTTATTCCAAAGCTATTCCAAAGCTATTCAAAAGTTATTCAAAAGCTATTCCAAAAATTGACAAGCTCCCTTCGTAATTATTGGAATTTGAAACGGTTTTTCTCTAGCTACATCATTCAAAAGCTATCGTAATCCTATTGATTTTCAATTAAGAAAGCTAAATTTCAAACCTGAACTTTCTCAAGTGATCCATGATGTGGAAGGCTTTCCAAAGGGAGAATTGATGTCGATTTTCCAAAATTTACAGCACAAACATAGATCTAAAAGTAGAAGAAGTAAAAATTCGATTCTAATATATCTAAAGTACTATAAATTAAAGTCTACAGCTATTCTAAAAGTGTCAAAAAGTATCAAAAAGCGTCTAAACGTACCTGTCCAGCAATAGTAGCTTCCGATGAAGGGAAACGGGTAAGTGTGAAAGCGTGATGATCGATCAGAGAGCTGATTAGGGTTTCACCCTAAGAATTTTCCCCATTCAATTATTTTGATAACTTTTTTATATTTAAAATTATTTTAAATGTTAATACAGTACTGGACAATGAAATATGATATTCGAAAAACGATCGTCACTTTCGGGGGTGGGACAAATGCGACCTTTTTTTTTGCGCACCTGGACATTTGCGCACCTTTTTTTTGCTGGAAAAGGCCTTAGGCAAGGCCGTAGAGCTTCAAAAAATGTATTCATAGAAGGGAATCGTATGCGTAGATTCCGAATTTCGACAAATCAGACCTCGCTGACACGTCAAATTTGGGCTAAAAGGCAAAAACTACGCAACTTAACGCTTTTCCGCAGTTTTTGCCTTTTAGTCCAAATTTGACGTGTCAGCGAGGTCTGATTTGTCGAAATTCGGAATCTACGCATACGATTCCCTTATATGGAAATATTTTCGAAGCTCTACAGCCTTTTCCAGCAAAAAAAAGGTGCGCAAATGTCCAGGTGCGCAAAAAAAAGGTCGCATTTGTCCCACCCCCCGGAAAAATGACGAGCCCCGCATTATATACGACACTTTTTAAAGATACTCAGCTGTTTAACTGATTTGGTGGCAAATTCCCCTTCAAATGTAAAAAATAACTTTATAAATAACCACCCCTTCACTTTCGCGCGTCTGTAACTCCCTTTGTCTTTGAGTTTAAACTATTAGTGTTATACATTTTCTGAAAGCTCTTTTCAAGCGCTACACAATGGTAATATTAATATTTAGAAATACGGTAAAGACAAGGAAGTTATAGACGTGCGAAAGTGAGTGATCTTTTTTCAAATATACATATTTCATTGTCCAGTAGTGTAGTTATTATTTTCAAAATGAGAAAAAAAATCGAATTACTTGCATAATCGTCTCATCTCTTTGCCTCAATTTCGCCAATTTACTGAACATTTTTAGCGGTGATTTCTCATCTTTCCATTGATTCTGTAAAGAGTTTTAAAGATTCAATTAGAAAAAGATTCAAATTGTGTAAACACACCATTTCTAGTGCACTCAAATTCTCATGCAGAAAGTGCAATAGAAATGGATTTACGTTTAAGCACAAAGTACACTGCTCGAGGGTACTTTTACCTAGTAGCCTAGTATTTTCGCTTAAACCGTTTTCTGGTAAACTTTTTTACATAAGTGCACCAAGAGCACGCGTTTACGTAAGAGCACAAAGTACACAAAAGAAATGCAAAGAAATGCACTAGAAAGGGTGTGTTTAGATGATTTTAACAGAAAAGTTATCTATAACTGCTTTATAACTGCTTTAAACTGCTTTAAACTGCTTTATAACTACTTTATAACTACTCTAACTACTTTATAGCTACTCTAACTACTTTAAACTACTTTATAACTACTTTAAACTACTTTAAACTCCTTTATAACTGCTTTAAACTACTTTATAACTACTTTAAACTACTTTAAACTACTTTATAACTGCTTTAAACTACTTTAAACTCCTTTATAACTGCTTTAAACTACTTTAAACTCCTTTATAACTGCTTTAAACTACTTTAAACTCCTTTATAACTGCTTTAAACTACTTTAAACTCCTTTATAACTGCTTTAAACTACTTTAAACTCCTTTATAACTGCTTTAAACTACTTTAAACTCCTTTATAACTGCTTTAAACTACTTTAAACTCCTTTATAACTACTTTAAACTACTTTAAACTACTTTAAACTCCTTTATAACTGCTTTAAACTACTTTAAACTCCTTTATAACTGCTTTAAACTACTTTAAACTGCTTTAAACTACGTTATAACTACTTTATAACTACTTTAAACTACTTTAAACTACTTTATAACTGCTTTATAACTGCTTTAACCTACTTTAAACTACTTTAAACTGCTTTAAACTGCTTTAAACTACTCTATAGCCAAAATTTCGTCAAACCTGCCAATTGACATTAACAAAATCGGGATGAACGGGTATTTTGGAGTTTTGTGAGGTGGAAAAGCCGGCATTAAGTGATGAATCCCATTGCATCGCTCCTCGTTGTACCATCACCTAAAAAGTCTCCTTTTTTTCTACCGTATTCCTTTTCCTTTCAAACCCGTGTATCATTTTGTAAATCTCTCATCCCAATCTCTTCACCATAATAAAAAGAATTTGTCCCTGGTAGCATCAATTGTAGAAGAATGAGTAGCTCGGCATGAGATCTTGAGCCAGCTCGAGCTGATAAACGAGACACGAAACCGTTCGATAGCTGAAATAAACTAAGTAAGTTTATCAGTTACCTCAATTTTTGGTGTCAGTTAGACGTTAGGCTAGGTTGTGCTAGTCTTTAGATCTATCAGATATTGGACAAGGATTCGATTCTAGTTCTTGATCTAGTGCAAGTTTGATTTGAAGTGGAATTTGATTTAGAACTAGTTCCAGTTACTAGTTAGAGTCTTAATGAGCAGCTGTTGTTGATCGGCTCGATACCTTAACCAGTTTACTATAAGATTTAACATTTAGCCAACAGTACCTAGTAGATTGCACTACTTGACCTATTGTACTCAGTTCTAGCTAGCTAGGCGTGCTTTTCGTCACGCACATTAGGCACGTTCGTGTCAAATAGAAAGCACAGATAAGCGGGATATTCTAGCATTTGTAGCTACCGTAACCCATCAACCTATTCCTTTACCGTAATCAACTGCCATGATACTGTAGCCCATCTACCGTCTCCCATCTACAGTCTCCCATATACCGTATCCCATCTACCATATCCCATCTAACATATCTCATTTACCGTCTCCCATCTACCGTCTCCCATCTACCGTCTCCCATCTACCGTCTCCCATCTACAGTCTCCAATCTACCTTCTCCCATCTACCATATCCCATCTACCGTCTCCCATCTACCGTCTCCCATCTACCGTCTCCCATCTACCGTCTCCCATCTACCGTCTCCCATCTACCGTCTCCCATCTACCGTCTCCCATCTACCGTCTCCCATCTACCGTCTCCCATCTACCATATCCCATCTACCATATCCCATCTACCGTAATCCATCTACAGTGTCTAGTCCTAGACTACTCTACTGTACTAAACAACCGTACTAGATTTTCCTTTCAGCCAAAGCAGATTCTAGCGGTGAGTTACCGTAATCAGCTACAGTAATCTTTCTCTGACCGTACAGTAATCAATTTCCCATCACTTTAAGCGATAAATCTCATGAATTTCTTATGAAATGAGCAAGCGTAACCCTAGAACAAACCTCCCAATGTGGCCAAACATTTGGTTTGAGGGAGTGAAAGAGAAGGACATCGGATAGAATCTCATGCGCACAACTGGCCACCGTCTCCTCGCTTATATGGCAAACTTTCGTATTCTTTTCCACCTAAAATTTTCGAATCAGAAAAAAAAGAGGGTTTTATTCATGATTTCATTTCCACAAACACAAACAATATCGATTTTTGTTAAATTTTTTTTCATTTCCCTTGTGCTTCACAATACAACGTTTCCGTTCTACAAAAAAAAGAACAAACAAAATCTTTTTTTTTTTCTATCAAAAATTGAAAAACCTTTAGCGAGTCGTTTACCTAAAAAGTGTTTAAAGTAATATCTAGAGAAGATCTTCTAGCCGATCAGCTACCATATTACTACATTTAAATGACTTTATGAAAGATTTACATTGGTGAGCTCATAGTTGACAATGGTGTCAAGCCCGGTTTCAGCCAAAGAACTCTTCAGCTTCTCTTCAGCACCCTCGGCTCGCATGAATATCGCTCTGAAATCATTTTCATGAAAGAATTTTAGGATTTAAATCTGAATTCTTAAAAAGACGGGAGTTACAGTAACCTAAACAATAACAGAAAAGTGAAATTCCCCAATTTCATCTCCTTTTTTCAATGGTTAAAGCTGAATTTTTGGATTTTAATTTTAAAAAATGTTGAAACAACTTGAAGCAAAAAAATTTTTTTTACATTTTCTTTCCCAATCGACTCTCATTTGCATAAGTGTCCACGTGTTTGCGCACGTCTTTCAGAATATCGTAAATCGATTTCCAATCCTAAAATTTCAATTAACAAATGAATCTTCTCCTTTCGATGATGTTCTTTAAAGTTCGTTACCGTTTAAAGTTATCTTCTTTCTTAAGTGGAATAATTGTACTTTGAAGAAGATGTATTCAATTAGCTATTAATAGACAGCATTCGGGTTGCGTCCCTAGCCTAGTCTCAACTAAATGCGTCCCTAGCCTGGTCTCAACCAAATGCGTCCCTAGCCTAGTCTCAACTAAATGCGTCCCTAGCCTGGTCTCAACCAAATGCGTCCCTAGCCTAGTCTCAACTAAATGCGTCCCTAGCCTGGTCTGAACCAAATGCGTTCCTAGCTTGGTCTCAACTAAATGCGTCCATAGCCTGGTCTGAACTAAATGTGTCCCCAGCCTGGTCTCAACCAAATTCGTCCCTAGCCTGCTCTCTGGTTCCTTACCGGTTTCGAGAAGTCAGCATTTCTAGCTAAATATTCGACGGTTGTTAGATGAAATCCATCGACACCCCGATCAATCCACGATGAAAGAACACCCTAAAGGATTAGCAAAAACTAGATTTTCCATTCAAAAAACTCACAAACATATGCTCTCGAACATTATTATTTCCCCAATTTAAAATCGCTGCTTTCGGCTGATCAACCTCGTGAACGTAGGTCACATTTTTGTGCACTGCGAACATGGCTGCCGGATTTGACGGTCGTTTATTCAACCAATAGTAGAACTGAAAGAGTGATGCGTTACGGTTTTCTAGACAAGATATAATTTCAATCAGCTATTGTACATTTTTATGAGTTCAAGGATGCCGTCCGTTCTTTTCCTGTCGCTCGTAAGAAAAGGCGCGGTCTGGCACACTGCCTGGATATGAGGCGCCAGAAAGCGGCACTGTCCGGTTTAATTACCCAAGCTCTGTGTGCTGAAAGGCAAGCGATTATGGGAAAGTTCAAAGAACATATTTCATTTAAAGCTTTGGTAACTAAACTGGATCGAAAAACAATAGAGAACACTAGCAGAACTGTAGCTACAGGATGCTGTAGGGTTACTGTAACCAGAGGATTCTGTAGGGATACTGTCGTTACAGGATTCTGTAGGGATACTGTAGCTACAGGATTGCCATAGCTTGCCTAGGATATCGTAAGCGGCTGCCGGCAGGAGAAAGTTACCCTAATCCACCAGGGGAAAGCTACCGTAGTCTACCAGAGGAAATCTACTGTTACCGTAGCTTCCCGGGCAAAACTATATACAGTACCGAAAGCTACCGTACTCCAGTAAGGGGAAGCTACCGTAACCCAAGAGGAAGTAACGATAGTTTCTCCGATCTTTTAGAAAGCACATTTTTCTAGACTCACATTACTGTAGTTTCGATTGTCGGGTAAGCTTGCCGAGGCTGATTTGAGAAACCAATCGTGTTGAGTTGATGTCGTTGCAAGGGGGATGCTGATGACAAGACGGAGATCTGTAAACGGATTGAATATTTCGAATTTGTAGCCTTTTATAGAAACCATGATATTTGCAATAGTCGATGAACTTGTCGGCCACTTCATTCACTCCCAATTTCGAGTCGATCGCTTTATGGTCACGGATGGCATTCGAGAAATCGTCCGATAAAAGGAATGGAGACGGCCAAATTGTTTGAACGCCGGTTTTTCTGGAAACAATTTGTGATTTCTAAAAGATGCTATTAGAAAGCTCCCGTCTCCCTGGAGACAAAAGGTTACGGTATTTTAGGTACTGTAGATAAGCTGCTGATACTTTTACTGTGCATTAGTACTTGAGTACTGTAGCTGCTATATGAATACTATAAGAGGTACTGTAGACTCTTGTAGAGTACATTAGTAGCATTGTAGCTATGGGGTACTGTAGTTGATATAGTAGAGGTGTATAAGTCTGTAGCTGATCATAAGCACTGTAGCTAGTCTGTAGGGGTAGCGTAGCTGCTAAAAGTAGTATGGCTACTGTAGAAGTGCTGTAGGGTTACTGTAGGGTACTGTAGCTGTCATAGGTATTGCAGCGGCACTGTAGCTGCTTTTGAAGCGTTACCTCAAATTGTCAAGTCTTGAGATGAGTCCCTCGAAGTCGCCGAGTCCATCCCCGTCCGAGTCTTGGAATGAAGGAACCCAGATCTAGAAAAAGATCATTTTTTCCCACTAAAGCTAAATGAAATCTTCAAATACTCAGCTAACATTTGAGTTCACATTACTGTAACTAGCCAGCCTGAGCCTGAGCCTAAGCCTGAGCCTGAGCCTGAGCCTGAGCCTAAGCCTGAGCCTGAGCCTAAGCCTGAGCCTGAGCCTAAGCCTGAGCCTAAGCCTGAGCCTGAGCCTAAGCCTGAGCCTGAGCCTGAGGTTGAGCCTGAGCCGTACCCTATGAATGTCTAGCTGTCATAGGTACTACAGAAGTACTGTAGTCTAAGTCTAAGCCTAACCAAATAGACTTAGTGCAAGGCGCTAGCCGCTAGCCTTTGCACTAAGCCTAAGCCTAAGCTCTAGCTTACATTGTACGCAATTGCCGTTTGCCACCATGATGGTCGGATTGAAAGGGCACAACCGGGTGAGAAGCAGACGAGAAGAATCGCTAAGATGAACATCCCCAACCACAGTAACCAGAATAAAACGAATAGCAACCATCTAAAGGAATAAGATATGGATTGGCTTTTATATAGTATGCCAGATGGGGTGTGTTTACAAGAGAACTATAGAGAACTTTCGCTTTTCGCTAGTCTTTGTCAAAACTTGACTTGTTCCAGTTTATACTGTAGTTACAGTATCCTTATAGAAGCCTGTAGCTACAGTATGCTTACAGGATTCTAGCTACATGATCCTGGAAGAAGTTACAGTATCCTTACAGGATCCTAGTTACAGTATCCTTCCAGAATCCTGTAGCTACAGTATCCTTAGAGAATCCTAGTTACCGTATCCTTCCAGAATATTCTAGCTACAATATTCTTACAGGATCCTAGTTACAGTATCCTTCCAGAATCCTGTAGCTACAGAATGCCTTATTAGCTGAATATCTTGAAAGTCTCCACAAATTTCTGCTAGCCAAACTGTTTACTTTCCCCCGTTTCCTAATCCCCCAAAAACGCTAACCCTTTCGTCAACAAAAGCACCGATTCCCCCCGCTCTAAACCCTGTCCAACCCTACCGTAATCCTTTCCAAAAGGGATCATTTCGATAAGCACTAAGATCTTGTTCAGTCAATCCGATTCGATTGTTTTCACGAGGCTTTACCGACCCTTCACCACCAAGATCAACTTTTTCGCCAACCTAAATCATTAACCTATCATTACTTATTTTAACTTGATCAATAACTACATCAACAATTAGTCTTTTGTTGACAATTCTTTTTCTAAAATGTTTCCCTTATCTTCAAATACCGTAATCTTGTCTCTATTCTTATCCAATCAAACTACTTTTTATCTTTCGATATCTTTTGTGAATCCTCATAAAATGAGAGCAAAAAGTTGATAGATTGGATAAGAAATAGAAAAGAAATAGAATAGAAGATTACGGTAGTCGAGAAAGTGGGGCAAGGTTTTAGAAAACGATGCTGTCCAAGATCTGTTATGGGCTGAAAAATTGAACAAACCGGATCATATCTTATTGGATTCGCTGGATTTGATGAGGACGGCTGTGGTGGAATGGGATTCCCGTGTATCGCCGTCAAATAACTTTCCGTTTTGTGGCCTTTATCAACCTGAATTCATACGTCCGCTCTCTTGCTTTCATGGCCGACTGGCTAAGCTCCCGGGATCTGAGTCGAGAGGTCAAGGGTTCAATCCCGGTCGTTAGCTTTTTAATTCTTTTTTGATTCATTGGTTATTTATTATTGTTTATTAGTAAATGGGTTCTTTTCCTCTACGTTTAAGGCTTAGAGGTGTTGCTTTTGTATTGTTTATATCAAATAATTCATTTCAATTTATATATTTGTATATGTTTTTGTATTTTTATTAATTAACCTCATAAAATCTAGGCGTTTTCCCCTCTGGGCCGGGCATTAATTTGTCACTGGCATCGCTCATTTTAAGCTGTAAAAAAAGATATATATGTCGTAGCCGTTTACGAAATTCGCTAACGAATGAAATTTTTCGCTAGCCGCTAACGAATCGTTCGTAACGCTAGCGAATGATTCGTTAGAGCTAGCTGATTACGAATGATTTGTTAGCAGCTAGCTGATTATGAATCATTCCTTAGGGCTAGCTGATTACGAATGATTCGTTAGAGCTAGCTGATTACGAATGATTTGTTAGCAGCTAGCTGATTATGAATCATTCCTTAGAGCTAGCTGATTACGAATGATTCGTTAGGGCTAACTGATTACGAATGATTCGCTAACAGCTGAATTTCGTAAACGGCTATGATAATATATATCAAAATATATCAAAATATAGCAATTGAAAGATACTTAAAAAATAAGAAAGTTTGAGAAAAAGTCTTAAAAACAAGATTCTAAATCGAAAATTTGAGAGAAATAAGAGAAGAGAGAAGAATAAAAGTAAGATAAAGAAGTAAAACTCTTTCGAGGTCATATAGTAAAAAGAAAGGGAAAGTTTGCGAGCTGAAATCTAGTATAAGAGATGTACAAGGGTTGATTGTCCTCTCGCCGACAAATCGGCTCAAAAGAGCTCAAAAGAGCGCTGTTCCGGAAAGGTTCATCAAAAAAGCAACAAAAGATGAATAGGAGAGTGTTTCTCTCTTACTCCTCTTATTCCTCTCACTCCTCTGACTCTTCTTTTCCCTTTCCTCCACCACAACAACTGCTCCCACACCTCTCTTTCTCTGAACACTTACACAAAAATGGATCACATTTCCATGAACTCTAAGATTTTTGATTTGAACTTAACTACAAGATTTGGTTTAATAGAAAGAATGCGTTTGCGTACAATGCGTACAATGCGTACAATGCGTTTACCTTTTGAACAGAAAGAATGCGTCAATCCTGGTTGATTGACTTGTGAAAATATCTTTGGAACAACAACAACAACAACAACAAGCAAGCTACATCGGTGTCAAATGATCAAAACAAAACCTGACTTAGCTTGCTTGAGGTTTGCCTTGAACTCAAGACAAACCATTCATAAAAGAAAAATCCTTAAGAGTCGATTGCATTCGTTTGTTTAGCTATTTGCTTATTCGATCGACAAATTGTATATACAATGATTGATTTGGGGGAAAAGAGGAAAGAAATCACTTTCACTCCTTTAAATAAACATTCTAGGATTAATAGAATGAAAGAAATAGAAAGAATGAAATTAAAATGAAAGAAGAGAAAGAAAATTCGATAAATTTTCGAGTCAAAAAGTTAACTTTCCAAATACTTTAAAGATTAAAATGGAAAAAGAGAGAAAGAAATGAAATCAATGAAGCTTTTTGGAAAAGAGTTGTTACTCGAAGAGAGCTAAAAATGGCAGGGTGCCGGGAAAATCGAACAGAGGCCAAAAAGGAGAGAGGAGGGGAAGGCCCGGTGGAGAAGAGAATGGGAAGGATGGGGGAAGGTGAAAAGAAGAGAATGAAAGAGGCAAATGAAAGCATTCAAGGATGGGTAATTTGGAGGGAAAGGGAAAGAAGAAGGGGAAGAAGAAGGGGAAGGGGAAGAAGGGGAAGGGGAAGAAGAAGAAGGGAAAGAAGAAGAAGAGGAAGAAGAAGAAGGGGAATGACCGGAAGAGATCGATGTGGACGGACGTGGGGAAAAGAACAAAAACAGAAAGAGGTTTTTAATTGGATTCTTTCAAAAGTTAAAATGATACACTTGAACCTCAAAAACTGTATTATACTTGGGTTTACTTAAGAATGGATAAAGGAGACGTTGAGCCAAATAGAGAAGACTTTTGAGTTGCATCAGGGGCAACTCAACCAGGCCGAATTCATTAGTTTTCCGCTCATACAATCAGGGTTCGATCCCTGATGCAACTTTTCGTTTTTACTTTAGCGCTATTTAATGCTTTGCTTATTCAATAAGGAAAACTGTGAATTGAAAGAAGAACGGACAAAATCGAAAGGAAATTTTACTTTGTTCAAATTAGCGATTTTCTAGAAACCGAATTACTTACCGAATTACCGTATTTCTTCGAATAGAAGACCGGGTAAAGAGTATCATCGCGTACGCCTGCGTAGCAGCCCTTTTAAAATTTCTTTTCTACATAAAAGCTTTCAATGAAGTGCTATAGAGCTGGAAAATGGCTCAAAAATCTGTTAGTGAATGTGGTATTTTTGAGTCATTTTCCAGCTCTATAGCACTTCACTTGAAAGCTTTTATGCAGAAAAGAAATTTTAAAAAGGGCTGCTACGCAGGAGTACGCGATGATACTCTTTACCCGGTTTTCTATTCGAAGAAATACGGTACTTACGCAATACTGATTCATTACTAAAGCAAAAGACCTTTTTTAAAGCTTGAATCTAAACTGAAATTTTATAGGATTTAAGTCAAAAGAGTCAAAAAAAAAGCGGAAAAACAAGAAAACGCGGTATGAGATGCCATAAGCAATGCATAAAGAAAAGGAAAAGAATGAGGAGAAAAGAGGCGAAGGGGACCCATCAACCCGGGCAATGCAATGGACTCAGCAAGGGGTGAGTGAGAAAACGACACAGCCACATGCCCTATCCAAGCCCCATCCTGGTGATTCACAGCTGGCGCAATCGTTGAACCGTCGTCCGGATGAATCGCATGCATAGATTGGATTCCTTTATACATTCTACATTCTTGAAAGTTATTTTAAGTGATGGCTAAAGTTATGATTGATCTTGATTGTTTTAATTGTTGTTGTTTGTTTGTTTGTTGTTGTTTGTTTGTTTGTTTGTTTGTTGTTGTTTGTTTGTTTTTTGTTTGTTTGTTTTGTTTGTTTTTGTTTGTTTGTTGTTGTTTCTTTGTTTCTTTGTTGTTTGTTTGTTTCTTTGTTTTAAAATACAATGAATTAAACGTGTGATCCTCTTTTCGAAATCCCATCAAACGCCGAGCTGACATCTGATTCAGTGGATACCGTAAATACTCTAATAAAAGCCTATAGGAGCGTCGTGTAGTCTAAGTTTATTCTCAAAGAAACGGTGATTGAAAAATGATGAAAAATGACTGAAAAATGATGAAAAATGATGAAAAATGATAAAAAATAATAAAAAATTGTCTTTTTTTGTCACTACCGTAATCTTTGCTTTATTTTTATTTACTTTTTAATATAATAATATCGAAAGATCTTTGACACTTTTCTAAAAACATTTAACACCATTCAGCTCACTCATTTATCTAAATCAATCATTATTTTCATTTCCTGTCGACAAACATTGAGTAATCAATCACTGACAACAAAGGAATCAATGGAAAATGGAAAAGAAAAGCTCCTCATTCAGCTCCAACACTAAGATCAAATGAATCTTTTGATGGGGAAGGGGTAAGTCTATCATCTAGTCTATCATCTAGTCTATTGTCTAGTCTATCGTCTAGTCTATCATCTAATCTATTGTCTAGTCTATCATCTAGTCTATCATCTAGTCTATTGTCTAGTCTATCGTCTAGTCTATTCGAGAGTCGAGTTTAAGTATATTGAGCTAACCAGAAAATATTTTCCTAGCTTTTGAACAATTTCTTCAAATCTAAAGCATTTATTTATGGAATCTATTCACCAATTTTAAACATCGCTTCTTCTCACAGAACGAATGAGTTTAGTGGGCAAAAAAGTCGCGCAATCAAATCTTGACTTCACCTTCATCATGGTCATTCAGCAGCCACCATCTGATGACATCTGAGGACAAGAAAAATCTGATGGGACTAGTTCTGGACTGTATGCTGGATGAAGGGGAAAGCTTAAAACTTTCACTTTTTTTTTCTTGATCAACTTGTGTGGCATTGTCGTGCAGCCAAAATGATCTTTCCCTTGTTTGGTCTTTCTTTTGTGATTTCAGCCGATCTAGATCTTTGGTGTATAATCATTTTGTAATAGTTGTTCCTTTAGGTGTCCTTTAGATGTCCTTTAGATGTCCTTTAGGTGTCCTTTGACGTGTAGCCCACTGGATGAAGATCGTCTATTTCACTTCCATTTCCAACTTTTTTCAGAAATAAAAAGAAACCAGTCTTTCATTTGGGGTTCTCAGGAACGAGTAATAGAGAAGTGAAAGTAAAAACAATTTCGTTTAAGTATATTGATCACGCTCTAAAGAGAAAGACGAAAAAAGAGGTGAAAAGATCGTAAAGAGCGAAAGACTTGTCAAACTGGTAGTTTAGTTTTTGTATAAAACGGATTTGGGAAACAAACAGGGCTACTAAAAGCAAAAGTGTTCATTTCTCAAAATTCTCAAAATTTTTTCAAATTTCCCGGATTCTTGTCATTCATTTAACGATCATTAAAAAACGGCTTTTTGCTTAAAATCTATAAACAAATGACAGATGAATAAACATTGAAAAAAACGACCGGTTTTTACCAGAAAAATTCATTTTATAAAAACGATCAATTTTATGAAATCTGTTGTATTTTTCTTTATTTTTGACTGAGCTTTTCAGTGCTCGTTTTGCTCCAATAATTGCCAATTCAATCGCTGTACTTAATGCCAAATGATCTTTAAAAGAATTAACGACGACGCGACTGTACGTCAAAAATGCCGTCGTCTTTTTGATAAAGAAGTGAATGAATTGGCAAAAGTCGACGGCCGCGGATGGGATTGAACCCTCCGCGCTCGAAGGCCTCGACCTCTCGCCAACCAATCGCTTTAACCACTGAGCCATCTAGTCCCTTAAGCAGCGAGGAGAAAAAGGGGAAGACAAGGGGGAGAGAGGCATTAATCTTGCAAAATCTGAAAAACCTTTTAAACGATTTAAAGATACCTAATTTCTAAGAGTCGTCTTGATGTAGATTTTTGAGGTTTCTTTGGTTGGCGAGCTCCGGGTAGATGGGAAAAATCGGTAGAATCTCCAATTTCACTGCTGTAACGGCAGAAATTCCCTTTCAAAACATTACTATCTGATAAAGATTGCATTTATTTCCCCAAATTTCCCAGAGAAGTCTCTTTATTTCTTTTCTTTTTTTGTGCAATGTTTACGGATGACTTTCCCCCTTTTCTTTCCCCAATTTTTCAATTGGAATCACCATGGTTTCTTCCTTCACTAATTCCCCATATTTCCGCAGAGAATTTTACAACGTAACTCTTTGGTGAACTTTGATTTCACTTTTAAATTTAGTCAAATACAAATTGTGAATTTTTAAAGAGATATCTCATTTCATTTCGCCTCACGCCATTGATTGGAGTAGACTTTTGAAACAGTGAGACACTAGTATATACAGGCTTATCACTCCTATTCTCTACAAAATGGGAGTCTTCTCATCCGCCTCTCCCTCCCTCCCATTGAACTCATTTTCACAGCAGGAAACCTCTCCCACTCCACATAACACCTCAAAATCTTCAAATTTTCTTGTTTTTGTTGATTTTCTAAAAATTTTTCTTTCCTTACATCCTTTTGACTATGTCTTCCTCTCTCCGTTTCCTAAAAGGCACCCGTAAAAGGCCAATTTTTTAGACAAACTACCGTAATCTCATTGTCAGTTTTCATTTAGATCAACCCTGAATTTTGGGATCATTAACTAAACCTGACTTCTCATCGAATTTGATTGAAATTGAGCTGATCGAATGTAAACTGGCGGTTGGGGTTATTGTAGTCTAAAAATAGGTGCCTTTTAGAAAACGAGAAAAAGCTTACTCTTGGTTAAAACGTTTTCTGAAATGTAGCACTTCTCAAAAGTGCCATAATCTAGGGAGTGGGACATTTGCGCACCTTTTTTTCCGCACTTAGCCCATTAGCGCACCTTTTTTCGCGTTTTAAAAAAGCTCTAAAAAGCTAATATTAACCAATTTCTATTCCAAAAGTTGTTTTTCTAGGTAATTTGAGGGCGTAGAATCGAAATTTTGACATATCAGAGCTTGTGGAAACAAACGGACGAAGTTATACAAAGAGAAAAATCGATAATTTTCTGTAATTTGATCTAGCCGTTTTGTCTTTCAAATTGGTTCCACACGCTCTGTTATGTCAAAATTTGAATTCTACGCCCTAAAATTGGTTAATATTAGCGGAATAGAAATTGGTTAATATTAGCTTTTAGAGCTTTTCTGAAACGCGAAAAAAGGTGCGCTAATGGGCTAAGTGCGGAAAAAAGGTGCGCAAATGTCCGGGTGCGCAAAAAAAAAGGTTGCATTTGTCCCACTCCCATAATCTATGTATCAAAGTATTGTAAGCCTTTTTTTTTAAAAAGAAAATTATTTCCAAATGTAAATCTTTCCACATTGCACTTGAAAAGCAAAGATTTTTTTAATTATTGGACCCATGGGAATTTGCAAAAGAAAAACACGATTTGACGCCAAAGAAAAGGAAAGTTTTGAAAGCATTTTTGTCTTTTTTCTTGGTTTAGAATTTGAAATTCACCTGATTCAAACTTTTATTGAAATTTCAGTTTTAATTTTATTCAGAAATTTGTCTAGATAATCTCAGCAACCGATTCAATTTCCACTTTTCCAAGCACACTTCGATGAGAATTTTTCTCGAAAATGGCCGATCCACACTAATCATTTCGTTTTTTCTGCTTCTTCTCCCTCAAATTTCTTTCTCAATTAAGTGCTATTTTCAGTCGACTTTTGCCCGGCATAGTGTGAGTTTTAAAGTATCATTGCTTTCACATAATCCGTTTTCTAAACCGTATCTCGCTTCTCCGATTGCCGTTAATCTTGCCTCTATTTCTTATCCAATCTATACGCGCTTTGGTCCAATTTTTTGAAGGTTCAGAAAGGATATAAAAAAATTTTTTTAAAAAGTGAATTGGTTGGATAAAAATAGAGACAAGATTACGGTGGTCGAGAAAGTATGATACGTTTTAGAAAACGAGAAGAGGTCAACGCTCATCAACTAAAAAATAAAATTCTATCAATCAACCCGAAATCCCTTTTAGAATATCAGTCTTCAAGAAGCTTCATGCGAATGCGAATACTGTGCAAAAGCCGTATCAAAGGTAAGAAGTGAAAAATTACCTCATTATCTAGTTTTCAGGTTGATAACACCAAAGAGATCATTGAATATTGGTGCGGATGTAGACCGGAATTCACGTGTCGGGTTGGTTGCTCAAGAATAGTTAAAACGTTACAATTTTTATTCGATGAGCAATTCTATGAAATCCTTTCCAGAGTGACGGTCTCTACCGCTTCAATAGTATCTATGATGAATACGCGATTGCACATTGTTGTTCAACCGACTTGTGCAATTCATCCGCCTCACAATTTCGCCTTTTCTTTGCCTTACTATTTTTGTTGTACGTATTTTAAGATATTTTTATCCTAATAAAAACATCAAAAAAAATAATCCATAGCACATTGAGCCACCATTGAGCAGAAACAAAAAAAAAACAAAAAAACAATTGACTAGCTCAATTCAGTAAGAATCCCGTGCTCGCCTCCATAAAAGTGTCCATGGTAATAAAGCATTTCTAAAATTTCTGAACTAAAAAGGGTGAAAATATTAAAGAACGGACCTCCTTTGTAACTTTTTGTCAAATAATAAATAGTCGGCCTTTTTTGTAGTTCGAATAATGTATTCACAAGAAGCAACAAATGAAAGAAGAGCGGGTCTCAACTAAATTTTATTAGATTAGTGCTTTAATTTCAAAAAGTCACCTCTTTTGGTACAGCAGCCTTGAGAGATCTAGCTTTCAGTAGTTCATCGCTTGCAATCTATAAGTTGAATCGTTGAATGCAAAAAGTCAAGCTGATAAACTTACATTAATCAAATCACGAATAACCCCTTTGGACTCATTTTCTTGCTTTTTGTTGTACAGACGATCCGGAGTAACACCGTGAATTGAGCACAAATCGGCTGGCAATAAAACGATGCCACGGGAGAGGAGTGGTAAAGCGGAACTAAAATGGACATAAATACATAGGCATACAGAATTTCGAACTTACCGAACCATATTAGCCATCGAAAAAGCTGTAGCAACGTGTTCAGCAGCTTGGATGGCTTGGGGATGATCGATGAGTGAAGAGGCATTTGGAGAAATCGTTGCAAGTGAATTCATCCACAGCTTGATAACACTTCCCCAAGTCGAAAGTCCATATTTGCAAGCCTAAAAATAGATAGTTGTAGGTACGCCTGTATGTAGTTTAAAAATTACTTGAATATTTGTAAATTAAACTCAAATCTGTACCTCATCAACTGTTTTAAATTGCCGATCTCCAATCGTTTGCTGTCTGGCGGTGACGATGCTTTCCCATAGCAAAAAAGGACTAGTCGAGGCAAAAGAACACAGAGCAATGGCTATTGGTTGTCTAAAACATCTTAACTTTTAATAGAAAAAAAATCAATACCTAGGAACTGGTCCAACTCTTTTATTGAATATCGACTCAAGTGTGTCTTTCCAGAATTGTAAACGATAAATGCCGGTTGTACTCTAAAATTGGCAATATGGTAAAAAGACAAAGGCGCATTCTTACTTTAGAATCAGCTCCCACTTTCTCGCGAATTTGGGCTAATTCCACATTAAAGGCGAGAACCTAAAGTAAAAGATAAAACTAGGTTTAAAAGAGTGTATACCGCAAATATTCCTGGCTGCGCTGCTTTTGGACTGAAGAGGCCACCAATGTAGTTATCAAAATCATGTTGGCGAACGAGATCCACACTGTGTTTAAACGAAGAGACAACTTGTTCATGGCTAAAAGAATTCTAACATGTAAAAACCTATTAAACGATTTAAAGATACCTAATTTCTAAGAGTCGTCTTGATGTAGATTTTTGAGGTTTCTTTGGTTGGCGAGCTCCGGGTAGATGGGAAAAATCGGTAGAATATCTAAACATTTGTAGAATAAAACAAAACGAAATTAACTTACTGTGCTATAGAAAAATGAATGATTGAAGAAGATTTAAAAGCGTGTAGAAGTGAACTAAAATTAGCATATAGAAATTTGCATTTTGTTTTGAAGAGAACGCACTTTTAGGGAGGACTTTCATATTTTCGAATTTATTTTACGGAACCTGTCTACTCCTATATTCGATGAGCCTTAACAAAGAAGGACCGATCAACGACCATGCTGCACAAATAGGTATTTGAAACTTTCCGACCTATATTTTTCCTTCAAAACTGGTTTAGTTCAATCATCAACTGATATGCAAATCGATTTCATTTTCATCGGAATGATCGCAATCTTGACCGTCTACCATCTTCACACAAAACACCGACAAGCTACTGTATGGATTTTTATGGTGTTGGCAACTCTATTAGTTTTTAGGAAAAAGCTCAAGTTGCAACGTCTGCTTCAAACTCGTATGCAACTTTTCATCCACTCGACGCGCATGCAAGGGCGAATGATTACGATTTTGTGAGATCCCATTGAATTTCTTGATCGACTGTCGATTTTAGATTCACTCAGCAGCTTTTTGCTCCGTGCAAACCGGTATCGAAGCGACAAAAGATGAAATGGGTTTGCCAAATTTATTTAGCTTTAAAATTTAACTTTAGCAAAAGCTCAATGTTTAATCGATCGTGAAAAGACAAAGATTCGTCCACAGAAAGCTCACTTGCATTTCATGAATGCGCTTCATAGGTAAGGTTCATTGATTCTAAAGATACGATGATCGATATATTGGTCAGAACTTCTTTTTAGTCACTCGCTGTCTAACCCACGGTCATACGGCCATATGATCGATCAAGCCGAGTCGGTGAGTGAATCGATCTCAACCGCCTACTCGTTCGACCCTCGTTCATACATGCCAAAGAAGACGACGAGGAGGAGACAGGAAGTGATGTGAACGGTGATTATTTGGCCATTTCAAAAGTGACCTTTCCTCTAGCTCAATGAAGATTTCCCAAATCAACTCATCTCAACCAAATAAATTTATCACGCAGCGTGAATAAAGAAGTCACCTATTTGTTGTTGTGCTTACTTATTTAAAAGTTGAGAAGATTGCTTTATTCGTCCTGATCTTGTCGAAGAGCTGAGTGAATCGGAGAGAGCATCCGAGAGCGATGGTCGAAAGTTGAAAACGAGAGGCATGAGCCGACTTCGTCCCATGTTCGACGGCGATTCTGAAAAAAAACAATGGTGTACGTGTAGCCAGTCAAGTGATCTCAAAAGTAAATACCACGCTTCAGCCCTCACCTGAATATCAGCTCTGATTGGTTCGAGAGTTCCGGCCACACGACTAGCGCCGTAGATTAGCGCCACAAGCGAAACCAACGTCTAGATATAAAGTTAAGATTTGTAAAAAAACTTTGCACTATTACCTGCACGACAATGTCGAGGGGCAAGTGGGTGAACGGCTGTTCGGTCAATCGCAGATAGAAGCGATGCTAAAACAAAAATGTTGACGATAGTTACAACTGGACTATGCATCGATAACAACTAGTTAGCCACGTGAAATCCCAATTTTTACTTGAGCTGCAGAATATGCGCAGTGAAGAAGAGAAAACAAGGCAGCGATCGTCACCGACTTCTCCAAGAAAGATGCTCCCATGGATAAACACTAAAAAAAATTTCGTTGTCACATAGTTGATTTCATTTGCTTCAAAGGCTCAAAATCCTCAAAGTACAGAGCAGCAAAAACTGTTCAATTAATAAACTTTCATGACAACATCTTTATTGCACCAAAAACAAAATATATACAGGTGATAGCAATAATCAAAAAGGTAAACTCATTTGTTCAACAAGTGATATTTTGAGAAAAGGCTTTCAAAGGTTTGAGGAATGAAATTCGGAAAGAATTTGAAAAAACATAACAAATAAAGTGTGACTATAACAAAGGAATTGAGCGATAAACTCATTCTATCAATTTGAAGATTAAGTTGAGTCCTCGCAATTGATCTTCTGAATAACTTGAGGTCCTCCCATCAGTTTCTGTTTCAAACGCGAACCCATATTCTCCTGAAAACTTAAATAAAATGGTTAAAGATAGAGTTTGAGAATTTGCTTCACTAAAGCTACTTTTGTAGTCAAGTTAAAATAATACTTACATGCAAAGGATGCCGCGAGCCAAAATACAGTTCGAGCACTTCCGTAAATCCCTTCATTGTGTTATTTATCGACTTCTAAAGGCAAAACATAGCTTTGTAAAGTAAACAGCAAACAAACCTTAAAGCCAAGAAGTGTTATCTTTTCATATAAAGATGACATCTTTCCAGAATTGAATGCAAGCGATACGGCTCGGTTTACTTCTGTCAGTGGTCCATCCAAATGTTCAGAATCCTAAATCGAAAAAGGATTAAAACTTTTTGACAAACTCACCCTGTAGTGTACTTTTTCGTGCAGATGGAAGAGCTCCATGTGTGAAACATTGCGAGTATATGTGGTCAATGTTCTTGTCGTCTAAAATAAATTGTTTACTTGACAGAACAACAATGTTACCTTATCATATATGCTTTCTTCAATCACGGGAACTATTCGGATGTCAGTCATTCGTGAAAGCCATCGGGGTACGTGTTTCAAAATCGAGCTACCTAAAGCAAAAAAGGTGCAAGGTGCTTGCTAAATTAAAGTATCTTTCCTTGGGTTTAAAACCAACCTTGTTTAACTATCAGCTTCTTCGTGAAAATCTTGTCCTCAGTGATTTTTCTTTCAAGCACGTCTTCCGAGTGAATGTGTTTGGCAAACGAATTTGGGTAGCGATTGAAGAACGCGAAGCAAACCTAAAAAACAAATCATTTCAATCATAGCAAAGACATTATCTACCTAGCCATCTGGTAGCCATAGAGTGCAAAAATAACCAAAACTTCCTTACCTCATTGAAATTGTAGGGGAAACCTGACGTTGGTGCACTCCATTCTTTCATCTTCACGGATGAGCTGAGATAGAAAAAGTCAAACAAACACACGAACAAATGGCAAAGGAAGCAAAACCCCAAAGAAACAAAGAAAGTACGCTTCAAAGTACTTTTGTAGTGATGCAAAGAAATAGTTAAAGTTTGGGACGATTTATAAAGATTTAGTTAAAGCAAAAGTATTTGGTTGAGCAACTCTATTGCAACCAGTGACAAAAAGCTTACTTAAATCAGAATGCGCACAAAAAATCATTTGCAAATGTTGTCAGCGAGGGAATGCGCACCTATTAATTAGCATTTTGCGTGTTTTAGAGCTCGAGCTCTTGTATAATGACAAACTTTTGCCACTTTTGCCACAAAAATCCCTACTAGGTAAAGCTTTTAGGTTAGGAAATGCGAGCACTCATAAGATATTTCATGTTTGTCTGGCCCCTGGCCCGGGCAACGTTTTACTCCAAATTGCGTTCTTTACCCACGATCCGATAGAAAGTGCTAGTAAATTACACAAAATTCATCCATTTCAAATGCGATCTCTCCCTTTTTCTCTTTCTTTCCTTTTTAGCATTGCTTTCATTTTAATATTTCTTGGTTTAGGTAAATAAAAAATGTCGAGTGCGGCCGAATCGCTTTTGGCGTTGACGGGAAGACGAACAACGGGGCAATCGATCAGGACACAAAATGGTGGATTTGCGGGGCTTTTGAGATTTATTGAACTTAACTTTTGGTTTAAGATTAAATAATTGAAAGCAATTCACGTTTAATTTTTAGTGACGGCAGCGGTGGCCATTGCGAATATCGTCAAGTCATCACTCGGACCGGTTGGACTCGATAAGATGCTGGTGGATGACGTTGGAGACGTGATTGTGACAAATGATGGAGCCACCATTCTCAAGCAACTCGATGTCGAGCATCCAGCAGGCAAAGTTCTCGTTGAATTGGCCCAATTGCAAGATGAAGAGGTCAGTTGTTTGGAACAATTGATAGTATCGTCTTTAAAACAGTATTAAATATTGCGGGACTTTATCTAAACAAGGTATTAGTTTTAGATATTTATTTAGCTTTAAAATACGATAGAAACTTTCCAAAAACAGTAACTTAGGTCGGTGATGGAACAACTTCTGTTGTGATCATGGCCGCAGAGTTGTTGAAAGCAGCTGATGAGCTCGTCAAGGGCAAACTCCATGCGACAACCGTCATCAATGGATATCGTCTTGCTTGCAAGGAGGCTGTGAAATATTTACAGGTTCAGACGCATAAGTACTTATTTATATTTGTTTTAGGAAAACCTTTCCTTCTCAACGGAAGAACTTGGACGCCAATCGATTATTGGAGTGGCAAAGACGAGCATGAGCAGCAAGATCATCGGACCGTACGTTTTTTGGTTTTAAATTATCTAGTTGCTTTTTAGGGACTCGGACTTCTTCAGTGAGATGCTTGTGGAAGCCGCTGAAGCAGTCAAAGTGACTGATTCTACCGGAAAGGTCACTTACCCGATCAAGGTATGCACCTTGGTATTTTAAAGGAGTAAATCAAGGAAAAATTTCTATTTCATTAACATTAGGCCATCAATGTTCTGAAAGCTCACGGAAAGTCGGTTCGCGAATCGATTCTTGTGAAAGGATATGCTTTGAATTGCACTGTGGCTAGTCAAGGTAAGATTTCTAGTTTTGTTTTAAAACTATTGAAATTTAGCAATGCCACTACAAGTCCTCAACGCCAAAATTGCTTGCCTGGACTTCTCGTTGAACAAAGCCAAAATGCACCTCGGGATCTCCGTTGTTGTAGAAGATCCTGAGAAACTCGAACAGATTCGTAGAGAGTGAGTTTCAAACAGCATCCAATGAAGCCGGACTTGTGCATTTAGAGAGTACGACATCACAAAGCGTCGGATCGAAAAGATCCTGAAAGCTGGAGCCAATGTTGTGTTGACGACTGGTGGAATCGACGATCTCTGCCTCAAACAATTTGTTGAAGCTGGAGCAATGGCAGTTAGAAGGTGCAAGAAGACTGATCTCAAACGTATCGCAAAGGCTACTGGAGGTCAGTTTTGCAAAATTTATGGCAATTGAGGGATATTTAGCTACAATGACAGCTTCGCTCGCCAATTTAGAAGGAGAAGAAACCTTTGATCCATCGTTCATTGGACACGTACGAATTGTGAATTGACAATATTATTTGCTGTTTCAGGCTGACGAAGTTGTCCAAAAACGTATCTCGGATGACGAATTGATTTTCATCAATGGTCCAAAAGCTCGCACGGCCAGCAGCATTATTCTACGGTATGTTTAAACAATTCAAATAAATATGGTTTTATTTAGTGGTGCCAACGATGTAATGCTTGATGAGATGGAACGATCTGTACATGATGCGCTTTGCGTTGTTCGACGGTATGAATTTTTGAAAAGATCACTGACTTGTCAATATTTAGTGTTCTTGAGAGTGGTCGATTGGTAGTTGGTGGAGGAGCCGTCGAGGCAGCGCTCAACGTTTGGCTGGAGCATTTTGCTAACACTTTGGTAAGTAAAAAAAAGGTTTTGAGTTTTAATATTAATATTTAGTCTTCTCGTGAACAATTGGCCGTTGCCGAGTTCGCGAGCGCTTTCTTGGTGATCCCAAAGACGTTGGCCGGTAATGCAGCCCGAGATGCCACCGAACTTGTCGCCAAGCTCAGAGCTTTTCACAACATCGCACAAACCGACAAGCAAAGGCCACATCTTAAATGGTTTGTTCATACACGTTTTTGCAATAAACTTTTTCAGGGCCGGCCTTGATTTGGAAAATGGAGAGATTCGCGACAATCGGGAAGCTGGAGTCCTTGAGCCGCTTGTGTCAAAGGTTGTTAATTTCTATTTTGCAGTTATAAAGTTTCTTTAGATCAAGAGCATAAAGTTCGCCACAGAGGCCGCCATCACAATCCTGCGAATCGATGATCTCATTAAACTTGATAAGGTTTGATGATGTTTGTCATGTATCTAATATTTTTTCTTGTTGTTTAGATTGAGCCAACCGGCCGTCACGGCGATGAATGCCACTAGATGGGACGACCGCAATCAAATGGATCTTTGCTTTACAATGAATCTTGTTTTTGTTGTGCTAAAGTCTTTTGACAATTTCATGTTGTATTTTGATATTTTAATGTGCTTGTTCTGTTCAATGTGTTTTGTTGTTCTTGTTTTCTCTCGAGCCGTCTTCCATAAATTGTTAAATCATCAACGTTCAAAAAAAATACCAAAAAGACCAGCGAAGGTGAGATCTTATTGCAGATCACATGCTGCATAGGGGTCGCAGGGTGTACAAAAACGTTTTCAAACTGAAATTCCTCAGAATTTCACCAGAGGTAGTAGTAGGGTATGGTGGCTGACGAATAATGAGACTGAAAATTTCGAAATTTGCATAATGTCTGAAATCCCGTCAATTTTCATTTATCAGTCAAATAAAAGAAATCGATTCGCTTCCGAAATCATCATTCGGCACTTTGCCTTCAACACCTTCAATCGACTTTAAACGATGGCCTACGTAAGTTTTTTAATATTTTCTTATTGAATTGTTTACTGCTTGATTTCGAGCACCCATTTTACCCATGTTGTTCGGTTGAAACGTAACTAGGTATTAGTCTTAATGGATCATTTCTTATTTCGTTTCCATTCGTCTCTTTTTAGCGCTCCGCCTATTTGCCCTCAATGCAAAAGATGCCCGGTCTGACCAATCAACAAGTCTACCAAATTCAACACTACAACGAAATGAAAGCCGTCGGAAGGGATCTACGTGTTCTTTTCCGCGCCCGAGACGCCGCTCATCATGCCGCCCAACAAGCTGCCTATCTGGTCGCTCATCAACAACAACAGTACAAAGGTATTTGTGTTCTGATTGTTACTAACTTTCTGTTTATATTAGGCACTCATTCGAGCTCCTACGATGACTGTGTGACGGCTGTTGAGGGACGTGAAGTTGCCGGTCGTCAGGTACGCTTCACTTTATTTTTTTTCTAATCTTTTCATTCTAGGTTGGAAACGGAACTTTCGTCGAGATTGTTGCAAAAGCTCCCGTCTACTCTCAATACTTCGGCAGCTTCTACGGATACTGAAAGGGACTTCTCAATCAATTTTACACGTCCTCGAATAAAAGCTTCTTTTGTCATTTGGTTGCCCGTTGAATAAACGTTCCATTGGCAGTGATTTTTGGGATTTGGTTTTGTTAAAATTGAATGGGCGAACTTCATCGCTAAAATCACTTTAAAGTATCCCAGGAAAAAACAACTACATTTATACATTGAAAATGCTTCTTTCCTGCTACGAATAGACAGGCTTATTTCGATTTTCTATTTATCACTTTTAAAATTAATATTTCGAAAATCGAAATCTCCCTATTTTGACCTAACAAATAGTGCGAATCTTATTATTGTAAGCAAAGAGGCGAATTGCTGAACTGCTGATAGAATCGGTGGCTGAATAAACTTACGATTAGATTTAACATTTGACAGAGTCCACAATTGAATTATTACCTTTAGTAAGAAAATAGAATGACAACCTAGTTTCGTGTTTTGTTTTGTGAAACTCCATAAAAACCCCAGTTTTATGCTCATAAAATGGGCGAAAAAGAGTAAAAGAAAGGTTACCTTGTTCCTAAAAGCCGAAATGCATATTAGCCCGGTCAGGCGAAATCAAAGCAAAATCCTGGTAAAGCCTAGGAATCGTGGCACAGGAATAGCCATTGTTTCATCATTTTTTTAAAAAATTGATAGTTGATAGTTTTGTTCGTTGGTCTCTCAATCAAACGATTTCCGCGCCTTAAATCTTTCAAAAATCGTGATCAAATCAACGAAAAATTGTCGAATTCCCCATTTCCCATTCAATTATTTTCCTCTTTTGCACTATTGTTGTTCATTTTTTGTTTGACTTAATCGAACCGTTGGCCAGTAGATGCCGAATAATGCCCTAAATCTCTCAATCTCAATTTTGGCTAAATTTCAATTCAAATTTCAAACCGTAGCCTAAACCGTAGTTCAGTTTAGCCGCGCCCTCTTCAATCCATTTCACATTCTGATTTCACTTATAAGCTGGGGGAAATGAGTTGCTGAAACTACACTTGCTTATCGATATTATCAATATAAACGGCGAGCTCATGTTTAACCGTTCAGATCTCGCCTTCTAGAATAGCTATCAATCTGAAAATTGTTTCATTGGAAAGTCAAAAAGGTCAGCTTTCGATTACTATTTTATACATAGCGACTTTTAATGAGTAAGCACCTCATAAACCTTATCGATATTTGAATAACGACAAGTATTGATAAGCTTTTTAAGGCACTCACCTATGAGAATTTTCTATGTATAAAATTGGAGTCAAAAGTTTAAATTCTTGACTTTCCAATGAAACAATTCTCCGATTGATAGCTGTTCTAGAAACCGAGATCTGAACGGTTAAACATGAGCTCGGCGTTTGTAACGATAATATCGATAAACAAGTCTAGGTGTGGTTTGCGCCAAATTTTTTGCGCAATGTTTTTGTTTTGTTTTGTCTTGTTTTGACATTGTTAAGGCTCGTCCGTATTATGCACTTTCAATTCGTCGCTAGATGTGTAAAATTTATTTTAACAACAACAACAACTTGAAAACCTGAAAATAAAACAGCAAACCGGTCCAATTACAAATAGAAATAGAAAATTGAATAATTTAAAGAGATTGATCAAGTCTTGCGAGAAATTAGGGCTTCGCCTCGACCTTGAGCATCTTTTGGACCTAAAAGAAAATTGTAATTCTAAAAATTCACATTTCAAAGACTTACCTCAATCAGCTTGTGAATGTGCTTAACGAAATGCTCACAAACTCGTCGCGAAACCTTCGTGTCCGCAATGCAAATCATGTCCTGAAAACAAGAATGGAGGTACTAATCGATAATCTTTTGAAATTTTAACAAAGAAAACACAAACTAACCTTATCGACATAAAAATCGATATCCTGTGGGGTGCTCTCCATTTCCTCGGCATCATCGTCTGCCGAACCCTTTCCCAATCCCGAGACCAACATCTGAAGAATCAGTATTGTAAGAGCTAGCAGGCTAATGTAAATACCTTAAACGAGAGGAGTTTCCCCAGAAATGAGTCGAATTCTCCCTCACCGACGTCCATAAAAGAAGCTAGTTTTTGAGTGGGCAACGATGTGTACAACTAAAAAAAGCAAATATTGTTTCCCGTTCTAATGAATCTTACTTTCAAATATCCTCGCAGAATCGGCACCGCTCGTTGACTCTCAATTCCATCTAGAAAAGCCTAAAAATTAATTAGAAAAATGGAGTTAAAGGGGGAAAAATACTTGACATTGTCTCAACAATGGCTCCTTTGACTGATTTCCGCCTTCATAAACGACTGTTGTTGGTGAAAGGAATTTGGGGCAACTAAAGTAGCACATTAAAGCATTTCCTTCTTATCACTTACCCAAGCATGAAAGCATTCTTGTACTCGTCTACCTCTCCATTTGACATACGGCTCAATCGGTCGCCCATCTTCTCGATAAGCTAAAAAAATACCGAATATAATTTCTACTAGAATGAGTGTAACTATTAGCAACTTAGTTACCTGCGATTGAATCGATTCATCGATACGCTGAGGTTGAAGTGATAAACAAATGGCCAGCAAATGGAAGAGTTGATCGTGAGTCTTGCCAATCTATTGGAAAATAAGTCAAAATCAATTTTATTTAAACTCACCACGTCATATTGGAAGTTCTTCTTTTGTTGTGTTTGTTGTAGAGATTTGGTTCGTTGGATGAAAAGGAGGCAATTCACGAAAATTCTTGTCGCCTAAAGATAATTTACTTTAGAATGTGCATAAAATAGCACCTCTCCATAGTTGCGCATCATCATATGCGAAAAGCCGACGAAATAGTGCAATGTCACAAAGCAAGAAGGAACCGTGTTGTAGAGACCCTAAAAAGTACCGTTGAAAACCACCATTGATATCAATCACTTAATGGATATTTATTAAAGATTAACCTTGGCATCAAACTCGAGAGATTCCACAGTTTTGAGCGCTTGGTGATAATCGGCGAGCAGCACATGAGTCCTCAACAATCCAATCAACGAGAAGTAGCCGAGCTTGAAGTAGAGAGGTGATTGCCCAAATTCATCAGCAACAAGATCAGCATTTTCTGAAATACAATAAGAATGATGTTATATAACACAGAAACTACTTCTGTTTCGAATCATCTGAAGTTGTTGCGAAATCTGAAATTTATTAGTTTAGTTAAAGACACAAAGAACGTCTCCTGCAAAAACCAAGCACACCTGCGATTTGCTGAGCAGCGAGTAGAGAATGTTTAACACCGGATACACGTTCCAAGCCTAAAGAAGGGATATCAGGCTTGCAAGCTAGATTGATCACAATTTCATTTTAATTAGTTAGGTTTTTAAACTGTTATTTACATTTTGATTATCCTCAATGTGCATCAACTCATCAATTTCTTCGACCGCTCGTTTTCCTGGATTTGCCTTGTACAGACAAAAGGCTTGAAACTAAAAATAATCGTTTTGCAAAATGAAAGTCTAAACAAACCTGATACACAAATTCATCAACGATATCCCATAGCCAGATATTCGGAAGAGTGAGTGCCAACGGTTCCTTGCTTCCGAGAATCTCCGAGAAGAGATCCTAAAAAAGGTGAAGGTAAAGCATTCTAGAAAAGTTACCTGATAGTTCATGAAGCTTTCATAGCGATGATTGAGCGATGGCCCTCGTTGATTGCGAGCATACACTTGACGGTAGTAAAGTTCTTTGTAGAGAATGATGAAGAGACGATTGTCTGGAGTAAGAATTTTATGGTTGACTCTAACATTTGAGATAGCACTTACCAGATCCAACTATATTCTCCACGACGGTCTCATCGGGCCACATGCGCTCTGTCTAAAATTTATCATGACATAAATAAAACAACAAGCATAAACTACTTCACCTCAACACTCAACAACAGACAAGAAAGAAAAATTACTTACCGGGCGGAAGAAACGCTCGGTCAAATCGGGGAATCCGTGTTCGTACAAATTGTGGATCTCGGCCACATTCTCTTCCTAAACATCAACATTTAAAATCCATAAACTTTTCAACTAACATCAATAACTTTAGCGAAGTAAAGCAAGAAGTTAGTCACTTCTGTTGGAAGCTCGTCCATTTCTAAAGAAAATTAGATAAAGTTTTACTATGTATATAAAAAAGAGAGGTAAAGAAGTATAAAATCAAACGGCTATTGCAATACTTGTCATAAAGGGCACAAAAGCCTGCTAGTCTTTCACAAGGGATAGTGTACGGTAGGAATAGTGCAAATGTAGATGTTTGCAACCTAAACAGCAATGCGCTAAAAAGAAAGCATCAATAAAATGTCGAATTTTCTACCGTAATCCATTTTCTACAATAGCTTTTTGACCGATAAGCTCGAAGATAAAAGTCGAAAATTCTAGTAGAAAACACAGCAAAACGGCGCTCAAACGAGCGTTTTCTAGCCTTTTGGACTTGGCGCTCAAATTAACGGCGCTGTTTTGTTCGCGCTCACAAGCAAAGACTGAATAAAACTTTAACATTGGCAAACATTGACAATCCAACATAGCACAACAAAGAGCTAAAATCACGTCAGCAACGTATAAAACAAAATAACTTTGAGGTTAAACTTTTAGAGGCTTGAATCTCGCATTTCTATAAAGAAAACGATTAGTCTTTGAATAGGAAACATTAAAAATGATGGGCAAAGCAAAACTTTAAAAATTCAAGAAAGCAAATGCACGAAAAAAGGAATTAGTGGTACAGTGCCACTAGTTCCTTTGGTAGTTGGGAAGGGCCACTTTTAGAGCCTAGCTTGGCAAAACCTAATTTTTTGAGTGACCGGGTTGATATTATTTCTTTTATTCCGGGTAATCAAATATGCTGAAGCTATTAGTGATAATTTTAACACGTTTTTCGATAATCCTAGCCCACGATTTGCCTAATCTGCTATACTTAACCACTTAATCTGATTTTTAAATCAGATTACACTTTGAAACCAAATAAGAGCCGAGCAATATGGTCTTGAAACATGTTGGAGATACTATAAATTTAGTACTGATAGATTTAGCATATTTGATAACCCTGAATATGTAATTGAAATGGGTGTTTTTGTTGCTATCAATACTGAAAAAGATCTGAGAAGCTATCTTTTTTGCGCAACCGACCCAAAGCGCAACTTTTTCCGAGTTTTAAAAAAGCTCCCTAGATTCTGTTTGTTTGTTAGGAGATTCTAAATTCCCAACCCCCTTAAAAAGGTCATGACCTAAATAAAAATATTCAGCTGTCTTTAACAGAATAGCGTTTATGTCGGAATGCCTAAATATCTTTTGATCTGCAGAAAAGTTTCAAAGTCCTGTGTTTTTTATTAATTTTCCAGAATTTTTGAGTCTTGATGCACAAAAGTCTAATGCACAGAGCTTTAAATACCGTAAAAGCTGTAATAGTAGCCCCCCCCCTATAGGAGCGTCGCTAAGTCTATGATTGAGTGATTGAAAACAAAATGATGGAAAAATGATAAAAAATCGGCCTTTTTTGTCACTTTTCAGTCCTTTTTCTCTAAGCGCTGGTTAATGCTAAAAATATGTGTCATATCTCAAAAAATCACCCATCCGCTCTACTTTAATCTGATACCTAAGCGCGCAGAAACAAATGTCTGGGCGCCGAGATATGAGCGGTTCTTTGAGTGTAAACTTAGACTACGCGACGCTCCTATAGAGGGCTACAGCTTTTACGGTATTTGATCTTTCCACCGTACCCGTACCGTAAATCTAAATGTTAGCCTTATGTAGTCGTTGCATAGCTTTTATCTTTCAATAAGTGCTCTTGGTTTTTAAATCGATGAAAATTTGGTGCTAGAGTAGTTGAGGGGGGCGGGGGCAGTCTGGAACTTAACCCAAAATCAATATTTTTCCACGAAAACTTGCACACAGGGTTTTTGACTATCCTGGATCGTATTTATTTATTTTTATTTTCACCTATATCTTCTTAGACTTTAGCTCCGCACCTCTGTCGGGCCAAAGTCACTCCTATGAGCTTGAAGCACCGGCTCCGAACGCACCAGCGCTGTAGCCTTAAGGCTTAGAACTTCCCTCACATAGTACTAGAGGTGTTTTTTGCGGCTGGCACTTCTGGACAAATTGATGGACAACCGATTCAACCCGAAAAAGCCTCCGTTCTCCAGGCTCAATAATCATTTTGTTGACCATTATACCTGTAATAGAATGCCCCTTTCCTAGAGTGTTTGCGAGTTGTCTTGTCTCTCTTTTGATTAATGTAACACTCCATGGCAGTCGCTTCTATCTATTGCAAATATTACGATATCTGATCCAATTCAAATTTCTCGTTTTATTTTATGAATTCCTATCAACAACAGTTCTACAATCGATTGGCCCCTAAATGATCATCAAATGTACCAATTCACTCTATTATTTTCGTTTTCATTTTTCTTCGTTGATGTATATCATTGTTCACAATAAATATTTTTAGTAAGGGAATGTTCCCCACAGACGTTTATCGAAAAGTACTCTGTCCTCGCAATGATTGCAAGCGGCCATACTGTCCATTCTATCACGAAGGATCCACGAAGCGTAAGTGATAAAGTTCTTGGCAAAATATTTAAATGGAATAAGGATTATGTTAGCTTGAATCAATGAATTTTTTTTTTAGATCAATCCACCCTCGATGGGAAAAGTCATCCATGGTTGCACAAAGGCTCATCACTATGGAAGCTCTCTCACTTCGATTTTGTACCCGTGCCAGGGTTAGCTTAATAGCTTTCTATTGCTCTAATGAAATTTTAGAACAAAGTGCAATATCGAGATTCCTGATTCTGGCAGTCCATCGATTGTGACAAAGCCTATCGCGCAAACTGACGAGCCACCTATGGAAAATGGAATTCAACAGGTGCCGCTACTAATTTCACTATTAGTAGCTTCTATTTCTAGATACCTACTACATCAAATGCACCGCAATTCTTTCCCAGCGCGCAACATTTTGGATCAACTCCACCGAGATACGAGCAAATCACGCCGGTTTATACACCATCGTCTGCAATCCACGCATCATTAAGTAAATAGCACCTTTTTTATAAATTATATCTTTTTTAGCCAATCATGTTATTAAAGATGAACCAGATAATGAGGTCATATTTATGGGACTAGTGAAAAAGGTATATTCTTTCGATAATAAAAACTAATTTTTTAAGCTTTAAACTTCTTGCATGGTAATAAATTTATTGATTCTTTTCAGAAGCCAGCAACACCTGCCGTGTCTGACATGGTTACGTCAACAACTGATGACTGTGTGGCTCTTCTCGACAAAAAGCTGGCTGAAGAAAAGCGAGCTATTGCTGAGATGGAAGCAAAATTGGCCGAGTATGAAGAAATTGAAAGGTGCTAAATTCCTACTTTTGTTCTTGAAAGTTTGAATATTTAGAAGAAAAGCTGAGCTAAAAGCTAAATTGGACAATTTGATGCTCGGGAAAAATCAGGCGGAGGTCTGTTTGTTATGTATTTAGTTTATTACATCATAAACGCTGAACATAAAACAAACAAAGCAAATTTTTAGAATAGCATCTCCGGCCCACTTCCAGAAGCACCTCAACCTCAACAACCAAAAGAGATCCCACAACGACTACCTTCTGTGGTTGGTTAATTTCTGGCTAAAGTTTAATGAACAATGTTATCATCAATTTTTCTTCGTTTAGGAACGAGAAGAAGTCTCACGACCTTTGAAGAAGAAACCGGCAATCGAGGTCATTGAAGAGGATTTCTCTGAAGATGAGCTCAAACCATCGCCCTCGCCTCCGTCACCACCGAAACGATCAAAACTCAATTCAAACAAGAAAGCAAAGACGATTGAGTTTCCACCAAGAAATGCTTACGTATCGACTCCATTAGAGGAACTCAAACGAATCGAAGAAGTGAGATATATTTTTGAGAATTGAATAATCTGTTTAAAAATTCTAGTTGAAAGAGAAGCGAAACGTTTTTGAAAAAAACTACTCGACAGATCAGAAGAAAATCGGCGAGAAACGGCCGTCAACATCGTCTCATCAACCAAAACCGCTTTTTGAAGACAGGAAAAGAATTTCGACCACAAATGAATTCATGCAGGATTTGTTTGCCGAGGTAAGTCTTTTACCATTTTGAAAGTATAGACTTTCAATTTAGTCTGACGATTTTGCCAAGCCGAAATCGATTTTGAAGAAAGATGCTTCAAGGGTGGCCCCAAGTAATAGCGATAATGGAAAATTGCCAAAGAAAACGGTGACGATTCACAGAACCGGATCCGCTTCGACATCAAAACACGACGAGATCAAGGTAAATAATAGCCTTGTGATCTAAAATGCAAAGTTCTGTTTCCAGAAGAAGAGTGACCTCACCGAAGCGCGAATGAATGCCGCCAAGAAACTCGGCTCTCAGGTAAATGGAGATTTTAATAATATTAGTACTATCAGGCTTTTTAAGTTAACTGAAAATATCTAGGAAACCATGAAATTTCTTTAGCAAGCTCAACGGCCAATCCGCCCAGTGGATCACGTCAAAAAGCCACCGAATCCAGTCGCACAATTGGGAGCACGACTGGAGAAAGCGGCCAAATTTGCTTCAACCGCGCCCAAAACTGGTTCATTCACGGGCCACGAGGGAAAAGGAAGTCCACGAGTTGCACATGTACCGGTAAGCTAATTCTCAATTTTTTTTGTAAATAAATGCGTAGTTAATTGGAAGCAAGTTTTGCATTTAGACTACAACAAGTTCCACACCGCGATTGCTTGAGCCAACTTTGCTATCATGTGCACCAATGCAAACGCGTCTCACTTGCGTAAAAAGTCTTTATGCAGAAATGGAGAAGAAGTATGGTTCACAAGCGTCAATGGAAGAGGTTTACTGCTTTTCTTTGTGAGCAGCTTACTTTTATTTTAGGCTATGGAAGAAGAACTGAAAATTTTAAAAAGTTCTATGCACTTAAAAGGATATGAACAAAAGGTAAATCTAATTTAATATATCTAACATATATAAAATGGTCCGTCCGTCTGATACGTTAAAGCGTTGAACTAGAGAATTGAAAACTAGGGATGATACGTAAAAAAATCCGCTGATTCAGATTATCCAATCAGATTTTTAATACGAGTTGGTTTGGAACTCATTACTAGGTGTAGTAGGGTCCCATGTGGCAAGAATAGCCAGAAAAGCATCCCAATTCAAAGCTGGTGTTTGTGGAAATTATTCAAATTTTTAGATAGTTTCTGCAAGAATTAGAATTTGTGGCGCTAGTTCATCGAGTTCGGTCAAGCGATGTAAGTGTTATGAATTTAAGTTTATGACATCCATCACCTTTTAGCCGTTTCCCACCAAGCGAATCTGATTGGACCAAAGGCTAGCGAAATCTCAATGAACATCAAGGATAAACGAAAGAGTGTCGATATGGACCCGTTGAAACTGACGACAGAGATGTTCTACCAGAGAATGAAGGTAATAATGCGTATCTAGTAGAATTTGTCGTTTTTTAGAAATACAAGTCAACTGCCGATCAGCTGCAAAAGAATTCCTATCCAAACTGGATTGACGATGAGAAGATTGAGGTTTTTGAAAATAATTGTACTAATTTACTCTCCTTTTAGGTTACCATCCCGGAAAGTCAATGGGACACGGCACCTGGAAGAGAGGGACGAGATAAGCGATTTATTGCGGATTATAGTAAGTTTTTAAAACGGACTACGACCCTTGTACTATAAGTTTAAAACATAAAAAGTTTAAGACAACTCAATTTTGCTTTTAGTCCTCGAACGTCATTGTGCTCGTTGTGGACAGCGTTTTTTCCTGAGCAAGAATGGGGAGATTGTGGATTCCCAATGCTTCTATCATCCATTGAGAATGAGGAAGAAAAGAGGTCAGCCGATTTTACAATTATATCATGTAAGCCTTTTAGAGAATAAAACTTTGGTCCCGTATTACCCATGTTGCGATGCGCAGGATGACGAGACGGGTTGTTCGGTGGCTCGAGGGCACGTCTCCGAATCGCTTCGACAATCGGATTTGCTGCGTTTCAGGCAAGCTTTTGCAGTCAGACTGAAACATGCTTGTATTTTAGAGAATTCGACAAGCCCACCGGTGACGATGATCCACGATCAAAAAAAGTCTACGCTCTCGACTGCGAAATGGTGTACACGGTTTGGGGACCGGTAAGCGATACTTTGGAAGCAACCGTTAATAATTTAAATTTGCAGGCTCTTGCTCGAGTCTCGGTTGTGGATCGATTCGACAAGCTGGTTCTTGATGTCAAAGTCCTCCCAGACGATGCGATAGTTTGTCCAAATTCAAGGTGCACTCGATTGTTGAAACAAACAAATTTAACAATCCTTTTTTAGATTTTCCGGTTTAACGATCGATGAACTGAAGCAAGAGGGGAAAACGTGGGATGCGGCACAGAAAGCGCTCGATCGAATCATCAACGATCACACGATTCTCATTGGACACTCGCTTGAAAGTGATCTCAAGGCGATGCGTATTGGTGAGTTGGTTACAAATCGTGCCGTGGAGTAGTTTGAAACTTATTACATTACTTTTTTAGTACACAAACGGGTGATCGATACGGCACAGGTTTTCCCTCACAAATTTGAGAATCACAAATGGTCGCTGAAGGATCTCGCCACCGAGAAGCTACTAAAGATTATTCAAGAGGATGGTTGGTGTTTATCGAAGCTTTCAGAATAATATTTTCTTAGGGTCCTAAGTTTTGATAAGAAACCAACATTGATCAGTTAAAACGATAAAAAATTCTCGTTTTAGTGGATGGGCACGACAGCAAAGAGGATGCTTCAACGTGCATGCAGCTGATGATGTTTCGGGAATTTGGAAAAAACTAGATAACATTGGAAATTTTGATCTCGTTGTTTTATTTTTCACTTTGTGGTTTAATATTATTATGTTTCCCCCAATACTCTTGTCATCATATCATACTGTCCCGTTGAGCTTTTTCATTGCTATATGCGTGTTTTACATGGATCTTTTGTCAGTCTGGTCTCATTTAGGGCATTTTGTAGATTTTGCTATTACGAGTATGGCATTTGTTTCTTGTTCTTAAAGTATAAATTTTATCGTTCTTGCTATTCCGTAAGCTAATATTGGTTAGTGCACGAGTTGGTTGGCGCAAAATCTTTCGGTAGTAGATTTTTGAAAAACTAAATTTGTTATCAATTTTCGTTATTTTTTTTCGATAAACTTCTATAGACTTTGCACGAGTCACTAACATGAGACAACAAGCTTCCTGTTGGAGGTCGAAGATTTCACCAAGAGTCATTTGTCCAATCTTTGAAAGACATTAATGATCTAATTACAAAGCGAGGAATCCAATTCGAAAGTGAATATCCACCGTAAATGTTGTGTTGGGATGCCGAAAAGAGTCAAATTTCTAAAAAATTTAAGTGGCCAAAGTGCAAAGTAGGTGCAAAAATGTTTTTGGGGAATTTTTTTCCTTTCTTTCCCCGCCCCATCTCATGATACAAGAAATTTCCCTTCATATTGGGTTAGGAAGATGTTTGCCATAAAATTAAAACTTTCCGGGTGTGGGTGGGTAAGGGGGTACAAATGTTAAACCATACACTTTATTGATCAGCGTTTTTTTTTTTTTTTTTTGAAAAAACGGGACACTTCTTTAAAAAAGGCGTGTTGAAAAACCCTGATGTACGACAGAATATCATACGATGAATAGAGTGTTTAGCTAAAAAAAACCTTAGTTTATAGTATATTAACTCTAATATGAGACCACGATGCCAGTAGAAAGTTTTCAATTTTATGGCAAAAATCCCATGGTGTTGGCGGCGGCTATGGGGAATTTTTTGTATAGGGAAATCGTGAGATGGTAAAAGGGACAAAAGGCAGGCCAAAAACAAAAAAAACAAAAACCAAAACTTGCGACTCAAAAAAATCATTTTTCTTTTTTCCACCATCCCTACCACTTTCAGCCACGTAAAGTTTTTTAGAAATTTGACACAAAGTAACTTTTTGGAGATTAGCCTACCCCCGAGATACATGTACATTTTGGTTGTTCAGTGTGTTCCAAATTGGATCCAATATCTAGTTAATAGATTGAATATTTTCCATAATAATTACAATGGTTTGTTAAAATTTGCATTTTAATTCTATGTAATCATATGTATATTCGAAAGCTTGTATGCTACTCAATTTGTTGGAATAAACAACTGGATTGATGCATGCAGGGATATAATCGGATAGTACCAACCATCTACATCAATAGAAAGACAAAATAAAATTAGTATAATAAGAAGCAGGAAAAGATAAAAACAACAAAATGTATGCTAATTGTGCTAATACAAAATGCATTGCGTAGAGGTGCCATTTTACTAGAGGGTGCGGTTCTATTTTTCCCTCCCCCTCTACCCTGTCGTCCTATTAGAGGGTGCCGTTCAATTACAGTATTTACGGTAGCTAAATAGTATTTAAACTAAAGTCTCCAGTACAGTACTCTCACCTCCAAGAATTTTCATTGTCAAACGGAAGCTCGAGAGATTTATTCAACAAAACATCCAAGTACAATTAGAATAAACATATCTATAGCAAATATAAATGCCTAAAGAAACATCCAATAAGATAATCGAGAACATAAATGCCTATAAAATCAACGCGTTTTGGTATGCAAGCAGCAAACAATATTAAAATTGACCGAAGATACAAATAAATTGTAAATCATCATTTTCTTACAAAATCCCATCCTCGTCCAAGCGCTCGTGCGGTCGATCCGCGTTCAGAAGTTTTAGGCTCAGCGAATCGATCGGATTTTTCGCATCGAATATTGTCCATTTCTCTGTACATTGTCCCAGATTGATTAGTCGAGAGCTAGCTAGCCACTTTTCATTTGATTAATCATTGAAGATAAAACTTTGAATTACTTCTTCTCTTTATACGATTGAATTTTTACCGTCATCCTGAAAATTTCTACATCAAGACTCAATTTGAACAAATCAGTAGGGTTTTATGATGTATTGTACTCGCACCTAGATTTTACAAAATTTAAATCAAAAAGAACTCCAACTAACGAAACCTGAAAGTTTGGCGCAACTTTAAAGGGTCGGGGTTAAATAGTCTGGTCGCCAATGTGTTAACAGATAAACTCATGAAATTTATTATACATTAAAATCGATGAACAAAAATCGGCTTACAACTACTGCACAATCCGTTAAATATCTCAGATCGCCTGCAATTGCATGGATGGCTGCGAAAATTTCTTAAGAAAATGACTTTTGCGTGAAAAAATAACGAAGGCCAGTTGGGAATAGAAAATGAAGCAAATAAATAAAGTGAGCTGAAGCCGAACACGTTAAGTCTTCAACACATAAAAGAAGATGAGAGATCACAAGCAAGGCCAATACTAACGATTAGAGCGATCTTTTTTGTTAAATACACAGAAAAAAAACACGGATAAAGCTCTTTGAATTGCAAGAAATTCACCAGGAAATAGATAAACAGCATTTACAGAATTTAATTAAAAATATTAGTTGAGCACAAAGAGAGATACCTGAAAAAGCACACACCAAAAAAGAAATGCTGGGATTTAACATTAAAAAGTTGGGAAGAAAAAAAGCTTAGTCCGAAATAATACAAGAAATTTAACGACACAGGTTATTATGGCAAAATTGAAAGAGATTTGTACATGAAAACTGAACCGGCACGGTAAAGAGATAGCTACCCGAACTATATAAAGAAAGAAATTTGGCAGCATTTTATATTCGGACTTGTGATGTTGCTTTGAACGTGAGTCCTCCGTCATCGTCCTCCTCATCAGTCTCATTGCCATCGCCGCATCGTCTCCTGAGTGGTGGTGGAGGCTTCAAACGATTTCCACCATTGATTGGTTTCACCTAAATGAAGTTTTGAGTCTAGTTCTTCAGAGTCAGTTTACCTCCATTGATGGTCCTGAGAGTGAAAGGAGCACGGGTAGCAACATGAGCCCATTGATGAGACCGATGACAATCAGCGCCGACATCACCACGAAGAAGTACTTGACAACAAATCTTAAAAATTTGCATTTTGGCTTGTTGGAGATCATTTGAAGTTTATACTTTTACAAAACCTACTCGAATTCCGAGAAAGCAAGCATGAGGATTCCAAGTAATGTCGATAGAGCTCCGTGGATCACAGGCACAAACACTCGATCAACGGCGGCTCGCGTGCGCTCTTCCCGTGTTCCGAGGGCGGTCAAGAAAGCAAGAACAACTAAATGTATTCAATTAAACATGGTAAATCAGCTTAGCAGGTCGGCTTCACAATTTAAGTAGCCTTTAAAAGTTGAAAGTCATACTCACCATGTGCCGTGAACTCGACTCCGATTCCAACTGCTGTAATCAACGTCACTGCCGAGACAGGATTCATTTTCACGCCTAAACCAACGAAATTTTATTGCTCAAGTTTGTGAAACTACCTGCCCATCCCATGAAACCAGCAAGCTGCACCGTCATGCACACAAGAATGACAAGAATCGTTCCGGCGGCCCATGGGTTGAAGAGCAACAACGAGATGACCACGAATACGGCAAAAGCGATCAGAGCAATTGCCTAAAGATATCTTAAAGTTATTTATTAGAGATTTTAATTCGACCTTGAGAAGATTTCCAGAAAGATGAAGATATTGCTCCCAGAATGTGAAAGCAATTCCTTGTGGGAAATTTGGAAGACCCGCATCCGTGAAATTGTCGCAAATTTGCCGGATGTCCTAATCAATCATAAGTATTAGTTCGAGAAAAACTTTTTACCTTTATCATCTCAACAATTACGGGCGTCGTAGTGAGTCCAGTGAGATAGAAAGGAATTTGCGAGTAGGCAAGTGGTTCAGCTGGTGGAACGAGCAGCTTTTCGCGACTATCGGCAGACCTTAAGCTCTGATATAACAATAACGTCGTTAACGCAGTACCATTTTGGCGGGCGTGGATAGAAGCTGGCTTGTGACACGTAATACATCATGTTGTCCGAGTTGTACCATGCAGTCAAATAGTTGTAGAAACTCTCGTGGTTGATTGTGTGCGCCGAATCAACAAGTCTCACTCGTCCAACCTGAGCAAATGATTAGCTAGTTTGAGATAAATGAGTTACTCTTCCGGTGCAATTGTAGGTGTTTCCCTTGCTGCAAACGAGTCGATAGGCAATCAGGGCATCCTCGGTCAAGTTGACGATCGGTCCAGGGGTATCTGGCTTTGCGCCAATCACTTGTCCAGTTTGAAGATCGAACCTACAAGTAAAGAGTTTAAATCTCTTTCAACTTAACTTACTTTCCATCCGCGACGGCCTTATCGAGTGCCATTTGAATTGAAAGCAACCAATCTCTCATCATTTGGAGCCAATATTTCTCGCTCGGTTCCCCAGCCGCATTTCGAATCACATATTCAGAAGCGCCTGAAAATGAGTTTGTTGCTAAAACATTTCCAAAACCACTAACCAATTGCTCGCCGATAATTATCGATTTGATGTTGCTGCCTGGCGTAGTCGACATTCGGACCCTTGAGCACGGCAAACATTGGGTAGAACGAGAAGTACTTGTCACGAGCCTTCAGGAAAGCCGCTGGAGCCGTGTGTTCCGGAAGAACCTAAAAATTTCATAATTAAAACTCTTTAATAAAATGTTTACATCAGAGAGTTCAAGTCCGATCGAAGCTCGTTGCATCCCAATGACGGCCATGACAGTGAGAAAGACGGACAATGTGAGCACAAACGCCTTCGTTCCACGTCGCTCAATCCAGGGAATGTAGTGATTTCTGATGGCCGAGTGCAAAGAATATGGTGCTGGCTGATCGTCGTCCTCATCCAAATCCTTGTCTGAGCGTGACAAGAAGTTCCGGTAGTTGTTGTTGGACGTCTCCAAAGTGATCGTTTTCTTTTGCTAAAACACGAGTGAAATTAAGAATTAAACATTATTCCACAAACCTGCATCTTTGGCTTGTTGATCATCGAGTAAGTATCGTCGAAGGTGGCTGAAGTCAAACAGCAGAACAAGTCACGTCTTCCCGACTTTCTTCTCTTCAAATCAAGAGCTATCAAAGCAGGGTAGAGCGTTAGAATGGCGACGAAGTTGAATGTGAGAAGAATAGATGATTGAGCACAGAAAGACCTGAAAAAAATTTGTAAAATAAGAACTTCAAATAGTGATCAGCCAGCACTAATAATACTTTACCTCAATGCAGGGATTGGCAGCAAAGTACCAGCCAAAAACGACAAAATGTTATTGATCGAAGTAGTGAGAAGACTCATTCCCGTTTCTCTCATCAACATTCCAAGCTCATCCCGTCCGGCCATCAAAACCTAAAGACAAAATTTATCCTCTGATTTGCTTAACACTGAATTCTAATTAATAGGACGCAATACGTACAACATCGTGGTAATTGTGGAGCAACATGAACATGTTATCGACTCCAATTCCAAGCGTCAAGAAAGGCACGATCTAAAAGAATCAAGTCACAATTGAATAACTTAGCAACTCTTACCTGTGTGGTGGCAGCATTGAATTCGATTCCAAACCAAGTCGAGAGTCCAAGTCCAGCAATGGATGCAAAAGTGACGGTGAAGACGCCAGCGAAAGCCAATCCCATGCACGAGTGAGCGGCTGGAAGGCAGCCCTCACGACGCAGCTGTGTGGCGACCGCGTAGACCAACTTAAGTTAAATTTAAACTTGTAAGATGCATTAAAATACCATCAATCCATAGCCGACAAAGATGATCAAGTAGTTGAATTGACAAAATTCTTGAAGCATGTCCGCAATAGAGGTCGAAGCAAGCGGGTGAATGGTTCGGTGTTCATACCCCTAAAAGGATAATAGATTACATTCTAAAGGCTTGCATACATTTTCATCTTTATTCTCAGCATGTTGGTACAGTGACCGGGTGAAATTTCGTTGCCACGTTGCGATCACTTTTTCTGCAACCTCCGGATTCCAATTGCTTTCATTGAGGCCTTGCTTCATGACGGAGCGTCCAGGCTTTAAATATGCTAGTGAACAACACTGAATAATCAAGAAATACCTTTGCTTTGAATCGTAAGTAGACATCGTTGGGTGAAGCAACCAAGAAGACGGATTGAAGAGCATCGGCCGATTCAAGTGATGACATTGCTTTTGGTCGTCGTGCACCACCGAGAATCATATCCTCGGGCCAATGAAGCACTCCTTTTGCGAATCCGGGGCATCCACCCGACATGACTTTTCCGAAATCGGGCATCTTTGGTTGAGAGTCGGTGACAAGAAAGTTGTTCCATTTGTCTCGATTTGTGGCCATGTACTCAAGCATCGGCTTGCGATACTCTTTGCATCGTTCTGAAATCACAATAAATTTTGCAAACAATTTAAAGAAATACCTTTTGGATCGACTTTTGGTGTCGTCGTAGTCTCAATCGACTTTTGAGTTGTTGTTGTCGCTTCCACGACCGACTCATTTGCTTGACGCTTGCGTCGTCCACCTAAACATGAGCACTAAAGTACCAAAATTTCCAACACACCAAAAATGCTGAAGAGATCAAATCCTGAATCCTCCTTGGCTGGCTTGACTTCAATTCCATTTCTTCTTGCAAATTCGAGGAACGAATCGAGATGTGGGCAATGATCCCAGTAGTTTGGCGCTTGTTTCGGGCACTCCAAATCGATCGGATTGATGCATGGTCGGTCTAGATATCCGTGGCCAATCCCCGTCTAAAAGCAACATCAATCACAGGTTTTGCTCTCGAAAAACGCACTCTTTGGAAGAATGTGTAATGCGTTCCAAGCGGGAAAATCCCATGAATGTCCTCGATGACAGCAATTGGGTCGAAATTCTTCCAGGTCACATCACCAGATGGGATCGAAGAGAGCATGTGCAAAACTCCGAGGACACTAGAATATTTCAATATTAATGAATAAACCCATATAAATTTACTCATTGAGTGGTCTTTGCGGACCAAGTGCTTTGCTTCCCTCCCAAAAACAATCGATTGGTGTGATCCTGAAAAGCATTTAGATTTGGAATCGAATATTGGGCGCTTACCAAATGCAAGGAATGACACGATCGAGTAAATCGAGCAAATTGTTGGCCATCGAGTCTTTAGGAAGAGTTGGAGCAGCGGGCTTGAAGCAGATATCCGACAAACTCCATTGAACACCGTCCACCTGAAACTTTACTTGATAAAAATCGTTTTGCTTAACTTCAATCAGAGAACAATGCTTAGTTTTGACCGCAAACTTATTGCGAATTTTTAAAGTTGTGCAAAATTTTCGAGTTTCAAAGTGGACCCACCGTGGCTGTGTAGTTGGCGATTTCTCTCATAATTTGCACGTGCTTCAGAAGTTGTTTGCTACTCAACGCATTGTCCCCTTCGAATTCCGGTGTCTAAAAAAGAGCATAACAGGGTTAATGAACAGTTAAATACCTGTATCACAACTTGATATCCGCCGCCTAGACCGTTTTCTCGAACCATTTCCACTTCGTTGTTATCGGAGTCGTTGTGTAGTGTGCGTTTTTGTATCTTTTCCAGAAATGAAAGCTCGGCATCCAAACGTCCTCCTTCTAAACTTGCCATTAAGCTCTTGTAAATGCTTTTTTTTCCTTAGAATCTCTAAAAACTTACGGTCCACCCAAAGCTTGACGATATCCGTTTCAATGTGAACAAATTGAAGTCCATAACAACAAATCGAAAAGAGAATGACAACCAACGCAATAACAATGTAGGCATTTGCCTAAACATTCATATTTTTTAAAAAAGATTGGAAGCTTACTTGAACAAAGTTTCCCAAGCCATTGAGACCTTTTTGAATGAAACTTCGCGTATACAAGGCACCAATATTTCCATCAGCTTGTCCCTGAATACAAAACAGTTTAAAAGACTACTACTTAAATGAATTTACTCGTCGAATCTGTTGAAGACACAGATCAGCATCACAAAATGAGGGACGTTGTCTGAATTCTTTTTTCCATTTGTCCGTGTAGTCGCTGGAGCTGGTCCGCCAAACGAGTAAGTTCTCCAAGAGCTAAAATAAAAGTATTAAGAATAATTGTTTAAACATCTAAATAATCAATATTTCAGTTAAAGCAAACTAAAATTTAATTTTAGGGTTTGGCAAGCAAAAATCAAACTTCAGAATATTTTTGGATCGGGTTCTCAATTTTAACTTTTAGGAATCAAAAACAAATATTTACAATTTTTTCTTTTACGTAAACACTCTCTAATCCAAAAACTAACCGTTACAAATCGATTCGACTCGAAATTGGGACGATCTTGCGGGATGCACGACTCATCATAGTAGGCATCATCTTCGGCAGGTCCTAAATGAAGGAGATGTTGCTCGGATCGACTCCCATCGTGCGGCGGTCGTTTTGCTCCAGGTGGCTCCAGCAGAGTAAGCATCGATATGGAGACGGCCAATCACAGATCACACAAAAAACTGCTCGCTCCCAAACAAGCAGCTTTTGCGAGCGTTGCCGACCTGGAAAAAGAGAATATCGTCAATTGAAGAAAAGAACAATGGCGTAAAAGAAAGAATAATTTTCAGAGTGGATCCCTTAATATTTTCGTTTCAAAGCTAGACTTTCAACAGTAAAAAGCAAGAAAGTTCGAAGCGTTTGCTAAGGTTTTGGTTCCAAAGCAATTTCAATAAAACTTTGAAAAAAATTAAGGGCACACTCTGAAAACCATTTCACACAAGAAAGAAAAACAAGACGTGTTCCACAAAATAAACGCACAAAAGTTGCACGCAGAAAGACCGAAAAAAAAGTATCGATCGAGGGCAATAAGTCAAAAGAATCCGCTGAGTAAACGAAGCGTAAAAGAAAAAAGGGAAAGAGAAGAGAGAAACGAGCGGCTGGAAGAAAAAAAAAGGATGATCAAAAGGATTGAAAGTCACGAAGAAGTGAGGAGAAGGTCAACTCAAGTAAATAAACCACACTTTTGATTGGCCGGTTGGTTGTGTGTGGATCGGGCAGGAGGGGTTGCGAATAGGAATCAACGGAATTAATCTCTAGGTTTCCACGGAAAAAAGCGTCAACAAGTTGGGGGAAACGTTACAGACAAGTTACAGACAAATGAGGGGACAACGCGACAAAATTTGATTAAATAGGCAATTTGTGAGTGCCATAAAGATATTCAATTGAATGATTGAGATTTATTTTCGCGGTCTTCTTTCAGTAAAGATATTCAGTTGAATGAAATAGGTGGTAGGCTAATTTTCATTTTATTTGCGCAACTCATACACAACTTTCACACATAACTTTCTTCTAAATCGGCCAATCTTTATGATTTTGATGTCATTTTGTTGCACTTGTTGAGATCTGCAAAATAACACCAAAATCATAAAGATTGGCCCAGAACAAGATTTATAACAGCCAAATAAATTTGGATTTTTGGATTAAGTAAGGAAATTTTTCAGTTTAAAATCTAAAAATTCTTTAGCTAAAAGCTCTTTAGTTTTACAAGAATATTGCTAAAAATTAAAAGTGTAGGAAATTTCCGAGGTTTTTCTGCGCAATTCAATCGAAATGACGAAGATTTCGAGGTGGAGGTGCTGTATTCGGCCGCCTCTAAGCGGGGTTAATTAGATTTGAAAAGTGGACCGAGAAGAATCGATTTCCATGAAAAAAAGGAATAGAAGAAAAGGAAACGGTGATGAAAAAGAGGGGCCCGACCTTGTCTCAATCGCAATTTAGTCGAGAAAGAGGAAGCTCGAGAAAAAAGGCTCGGCTCTTCGGAAAATGAAAGTGAGGATTCGTACACGCAAAAGGGTGGAAAGATAGGGAAAAGGATAGAAAGAGGGAGGGAGGGATGGATGAAAATCGATATGTCGCCCTCGATTGCTGTGGCTGGGTGGAGGCTGCCCGGGCTGGCTGTGTCTCAAAGGCTCTTCGGCATTTGAACGCGCTGAGCCGGACCCTCCCCTCACTCTCCAGTCCCTGCTCTCCAACCGCCCCTTTCCTCAGCCAGGGGCCTATTATGAAAGGAGCTTCGCCCTGCGGGGAAGTGACCCCTTTGCCTGGGAAGATAAATGGCGAACGGGGCAAGGCTCAGTCCCACATGCACACTCTTTTGAGTGAAGGGTTTTTTATCGTGACTTGAAATGCATGGTAGAATAACACGAAGAGAGTGGGTAGAGGATAAATATTATGGAGAGGTTATGAAAGATGTGTTCCATTGGAACATTGGATTGGAAGAATCCATTCTAACTTGTAAAAGCATTCCTAATCTTCTTAAACTTCTCTGTTTTTGAGTCTAAGTGGCTCTTTGGGAAAGCTAGAGTAATCCAAAACTTCCTTGAAAAGTTACTGTAATCCAGGCTTAGAGAAAAACCTATCCTAATCTGGGCTCCTTTGAAAAGCTATCGTAATCTACCTACCGTAATCTACCTACCGTAATCCCATTGAAGAGAATAATAAGCTAAGCTTCACTTTAAAGAAGCTAAGCGGCATAGAAACTCACTTTCTCACTAGGGAATGTTGTTAACTTATCGTGGCTTTTGACTCGGAAAATAGCCTATCTGATGCAGTTTTTCACGCTGATTCCGAATCTGCAATCAGTTTTTGCCAAACGCTTCTCTATCGCGAGATATTTGGCATACAACATTTATTGTTTGAAAAAATGAAAATTTAAACCCAGCAAGAAAACTGCAACTTAATGCGCCCCTTTAAGCTACGATTCAGGCCAAGGAAATTCACATGCTTAAGCTTGCCAAAAGCAACTAGGGTACGCTAGCCTTCAGGAGAAAATCTTTTAAGAAAGCTTTCAATCAAGTCCCAGGCAATCGGAGTACGATAGCCTTTTCTAAAGGACACCTATTAGAAAACGAGGGACCCAGAAAACGGAGAAACAAGTTCAAGCTTAATACTTTCAACTGAATTCTAATAAGTTGTTAAAAACATAGTACATTGACCTTACTCTTAAAATAAAACATCAAAAACAATGTGACATTTGTAACAAAAACCAATCAAAACAATGGCTCATCTATGAAATGATGCAAAGAGTAACATCAAAAACAAATATCAAATATGTTTTCAGATAATTACTCACTTACGGCTTCAAACCTACTCTTACTCATTTACAGCTTGAGATATATTCAAACCTACTCTTACTCATTTACAGCTTGAGATATATTCAAACCTACTCTTACTCACTCACCAGCCAATCAGCCAATTAACTACGGATTTCATAAAAAAAAAGCCTATTTTTAGTGTGTACAATTTTTAGATACAAGTGGGAAATCTCTAAACGATTACTCATTCTGTGATTCACATTAAAAAGAAAAGAAAAACGGAAAGGGGAATGGCGTTTAAAATTCTTGAAATACGGCCAGAGATGAGTCACCCATGGAGACAGAGAAATGTGCAGGGAAAGGAAAGGGAAAAAGAGTTCCGAGTTCTTTCAATTCAATGGATTAGTCCTTTCAAAAATTGTCTTGGATTTGGATTTCACGATTTTACAATACAGTAAGCTCGACGAGTCTTTATCGTACTCAAACTTTTAGTTCAAGTACCGGATTGCGCTTTAAGAGTACGGTAGTTTTCTAGAAGGAGCTTTGGGTCAAGCCATGCCAAAAGCTGACAATTGACTTGGTCTTGACTTGGCTTGACTTGGGCTTGACTTGACTTGGTCTTGGCTTGACTTGGCTTAGAAAATCGGCTCTAGAAACAACCTAGAAACCCATCCACCCAGCGCACCCAAGCCCTAGTCCTAGCTCTCTTCCACTCATCCCCAACCCAGCCTACCCCTCCCCTTCTCACCAACCCAACCCCTAGTCCTACCTATCCAACCCTTCAGCCTACTCCTCCCCCAATTCCACTAGTCAGTCCACTTTTGGATTGAAAGTGTCCCTTTTTCCCCTACGCAGCGATTTTTAGAGTGCAATTGAGCATGACACAGGGTAAATATCACATGCGCTACCGCATTTTATTTCGATTTTTGTTCTTTTTTTTTCTATAGAACTGGATAAGAAAAGGGAAAAAAGGGATCTTTTTTTGAACAATTTTTCGATGGGAACGTGTTTACGTTTTCCCCCAGCAGGCCTGGAGAAAAGAATTTACAAGATAATTGGTGGAAAGGTTAGAAAAAAGATCTAATTATATAAATATTTGATTATATAAAGTCATCTAATTGATTATCTAATTGAATTTTTAATTACCTAAAGATGGAGACATTTGCGGATTATTCAGGATTGGATTTGGATGTGGTATCGGCTTATCTCGTGCCTAATCTCAGGACTTTTGGCTTAGATCTTATCGTGAAACTCTTAGACTTAGACTTCTTGACAATGAGCTTCAATGAGACTTAGACTTCTTGACAATGAGCTTCAATGAGACTTAGACTTCTTGACAATGAGCTTCAGCTACGAAGCTGTACAAAGCTGTACTAAGCTGTACGAAGCTGTACGAAGCTGTTCTTAGTTCTCACTATCAACTCTGAAAAAACTCTAGAAACATCGCGTCAAGAATGAGCAAAAGAACAAGAGTCAGAACAAAAGAACAGGTTTATCACTCGACTCAAATCTGATCCATATCTGGAAGTTCCATGTTGCAGGGTTATAACCTGGAAATGAGTCGAAAAATTCTGGCCCTAGCTATGAACTAACTTTAATCCTGTCTCAAGAATTTCAGGGTTAAGACCATGAAAGACTAAAAGGCTCTAAAAGGCTGTACGAAGCTGTACGAAGCATTTATTATAACATTGCCTAATAGCTTTAACAAGTATTTAATTATAGATAGCTGTAAAGATCTAAAGTTTTTTTTACATAGTCACCCCTCTCCGAATCCTTGTCAAACACTTGTCAACACATTTCCATTTTAAATAAGAGAAAGGAGAGTTTTGTGTCTAAAAAACTTGTGCTAAAATTGCAAAAGAAACCAGGTATCCAGGTGAGAAAAGAAAGGAGAAGGGAATGGACGGCTGTTCCCTGGAGACACCCACTCTCTTTGTATGACGTTTAAGTTTAAGTGAATCTTGTTTCAAGCAAAATCTGGACTTACTAAGGATGTACATAGATTAACCACTGCCTCCAGAACCACAGAAACACCCATTTTATTGGAAACAATTCCTGAATTCGAAAAAAACCTGGTCAGTGTACTAGGCAGACCAGAAAAACAAACGAGAAAGTGTCCAGAACAACACTAGACTTGAAACTTGCTTTTGGACGGGCTTAGGCTATCCTGGTTAATCCAACAGCAATATGATAGCTCGTACAGAGTGCTTAGTTGGCTAATCACAGATTATAGCCAATTTTTAAACTTGAACCTAAAATAGCCACTATCAGTGATGAGTTATCAAAGTAATAAAGTGTTTAGAATTGAGACACAGACCACAATTGGACACATCACTTCCGTACAAGGACAAAAAAAAGAATCTCGAGTTAGATAAGAATGCAATTGGCT